CATCCACACTCTGCTCTTTGGCAAGTACATCGAGACGATGCGCTGTGACCAGGGCGGGCTGGGCAAGTCTGGCAGACGGTACAAGGTTCGCGAGAGCCTCAAGCGATACTGGCAGACGGATCTCTGGTCCGACTGCTTCGAACTTCTGCTCAACCCTGGTGCAGCTGCCGAGGCAGGAGGTGAGGAGGGCAGCAAGATGCCTGTTCTCAAGTCGATGAAGAGCGTGAGGGAGCGTATGGAGAAGTGGCTAGAGGCCAACTGCGAGAGAGGCGTCGGGTTGAAGAGTTTGATGGGGAAGCTGGAGGCTTCGTTTTCCAAGAACCGCAAGTAGATTTTGGCTTGTGTGCGACTTTGTCTTGTTACGATTCATGGCCTGGCGTTGGATCATGTTGTGTCTGGCGTCCCCTAGGATAAAGCTGGAGTGATGAAGGGGGGGGGGGGGGGCATTGGCGGTTCTAGACCTTTGGCTTGAGTTTTGCTTGGGAGTTTTGTACGCGTGATGAGAATACCCGTTTATTTGCAAATGCATTGTTATGAGTATCTTGGATTATTTGGCAATCATTGTGACTCCGTGATCCTGAGCGCAGATAGGTTCTCGCTTGGTATCTATCAGCTTGAAGCCATTCGGACGATGCATGACACCAAGTCCAAAGACGACAGGTGCCAAGGCAACGTAAGGTAGGCTGTACCTTTCCGCTACACATCCAATTTGGCAGTAGCGACAGCAAGATTATGCTTTACCTTTCGATTAATATGTTCACAATTCCTGCTTCGCCTTGGATATGGACACTTGTCACTATTGAGAAACAGTGAGTGCCATGGCATCAACCAAGCGCCCTAAGATAAGTTCAAGGAAGAGATACTACAGTGTATTATTACATTATACAAGTGTCTACTTGCAGGTCTGGATGGTTTCGTCCATATCTATAATCCTCCCTATCAACCATCTGCACTCATTCCTTTACTCGCTATCATCTGTCTCGTCCTTCTTCTTCTTTGCCCCCTTCTTCCCCCTCGTCCCCTTCTTCGAATCCTTGACCGCCTTGCGATCGACCTGATCCTGTATCTTATTCCTCTCCGCCTCCCCTCTTGCCTGCAGCTCCTCCTCTAGCTGCTTAAACTCTTCGCTCTCGGCGTCCATGCCTACGAGCGACTCGAGGAGCTTGATCTCGTCGGCCCAGACCTTCTTATCCTCCACGGACTTGCCGTCGGATCCCGGCCGGTCGATGGGCGTCTCGAGCACCATGGGCATGCCGGCAAAGGGGGCGTGGTTCATTATACTGTGGAAGGCACGTAGGCCGAGGAAGCCGGTGCCGATGTTGGCGTGGAGGTCACGGTTGGAGTCGAAAGGGGCTTTGCTGTCGTTGACTAAAAGTTGTTAGTTGGTTCCAGGAGAGAGGGAGAAGGGGAAGCTTACGGTGGAAAGCCTTGAGGTACTTGTGGCCGACAATCTCGTTGAAAGAATCGACTGTCTTCTTGAAAGCTTCGGGCGTCCGCAAGTCATGCCCAGCAGCAAAGGCATGGCAAGTATCGATACAGACGCCTACACGCTCCTTGTCCTCAACCAAGGCAATGATGTCTCTCAAGTCCTCCCATGTCGATCCAATGACATTGCCACTTCCTGCCATGTTCTCAAGAACTGTTATGACTGTCTTGGTGGCCTTGTGAGACTTGTTCAGCTGTGCCGCGATACGTCCAATCGCAGCAGCCCGACTATCGCCGCCCGTCGATCCGGGATGGAAGTTGTACAGCCGAATACCCAGCTGCTCGCATCGATTGAGGTCATCGAGGAAGCTGGTGTACGCCTGATTGGCCTTTTCCTCATCTGCTTGCGCCAGGTTGACCAAATACGAGCCGTGCGGGAGGGCGTGCTCGGCAGCGCTATAGCCGTGGTGCTTGCATTGCGAGATGAATTGGGTCTTGGCTGAGGGGTCGAGGGGAGGGTTGGTCCATTTGCGCTGCGACTTGAGGAAGAGGGCGAAGGCGTTGGCGCCGATATGGATGGCATTGGTGACAGAGTTTTGTACGCCTGTACGATATTTGATTAGCCCATGAATCGAGTAGAGATCGAGTCAGATTGCGAACCTCCTGCGGCACTGACGTGAGCACCAATATGCATAGCAGGCTTCAACGAAGAGATAGCCGTCCGGTCCGCGAGCGGCGTAGAGTCTTCCTCCTTCTTGGTCTTGCGCTTCTTGGTCACCTTTGCCGCTGGCGCCGGCGCGTCAATCTCTGGTTCCGGCTCAGCCTTTCGCTTAGTCACAGTCTTCGCGACAGCCCCCTTTGCCTTCCCAATCGCCTTGCCCGCGGCCGCGACGGTCTTGGTCACCTTGGGCATCTCGTCGTCGTTGTCGTCTTCGTTGTAGCTGACTGCCTGTCTTTTGCGCAGAGATGTTCGAGCCATTGTAGGCTACAAGGTCATCACAGTCCCAGAGGAAGGCTCTGAGCGGGTTTTCGACGTTGATGAAGTAATTGATCAAGTTTTGTTTTTCGAGGTTGATAAAAGGGCAATCTGCCGTGCCCCATACTGTGTGACGCGATTGACGCGATGCCTCCTGAATTACCAAGCACGAAATCATGTGACCTCACCTTCAACTGTAAGACTCGAGTTGAACTTCAAGAGTATCAATTTCTACCGTATTCCTGACCATTCAAGATCCAAAGAACCCATGATGAATCCTTGCCTTTGTACAAAAACGCCTAATTCAGAACATATGAAATACGGGAACAGTCAGTCCCACGTCCAGAATCCAAGCCACCATTTTCCTTCCTTATCCCAGCATCAGACATATAAAACCGCCGTTCAGACAAAATAGACGATGAAACTTAGGCAAAGATCTCCATCTCAGCCTTTCGATCAGGAGAAAACTGATCCTTATATGCTTCCCACAACTTCTCAACCTCCCGAATGTAGCGCTCATGAAGTTCATCAATGTCCTCCTGTGCCGGCTGAGGTCCATGGGGCCTCTCGACCCGGAGCGGACGCCCAATGACGATATTGACCGGTCGTCGATATGGCATAAGTCCAACGTCATAGTTGAGCACGCCTCGTCCGTGGAGAGCTGGCACGGTGAACTTGAAGACCTTGAGGAAGACCATCTGCATCTGGTGTACAAGTGGGTGCGTCTTGGGGCTGAGCTGGTCATAAAGATCGTTCTCGCCGAATCCGATGACGGGGACAAGGTCAGCTCCTGTTCGAAGCGCCATCTTGACAAAGCCCTTGCGTCCCTTGAGAATCAGACGAAGAGTTCCCGGCTGAGCTTCGAGCGACTCTCGGGCACCTCCCACGACAATAGTAACAGCACGTCCTTGGCCATCGTTATTGGGGCCGCCCTTGGTCAACATGTTCCAGATCGACTCCTTGGAAACAGACTGCAGACCCATCCACAGAATCCAATCACGGTTGAAGGGAAGGCGGAAGTTGGAATCGAGAGTAAGTAGAGTGTTGGTAATGCCAGGGAACAGCTCTCTGAACCCAAGGGCATTGGTAGCAAAAGCTCCCCACGCTCCATGAGAAATAATACCATGGGGATGGTAGCCAAAGATGTATTTCCTGTCAGCGGGCAGGTCAAACGTCTTGTGCAACTTCATGGGGAAGTATCCAGTAAATAGCTTCCACAGTCGCAGACTGCGGAACCATTCAGATCGGTACGACAGACGCCCATTGCTTGCTGCTGTCGAGAGAGTGAGATGGATGAGGTACGGAACAAGAATAGGCCAGGTCAGAGGGTTGGCGCAGATCAACCAGAAGATTGACACCAAAAGGATGATGGACATGCAGTGGAAGAGAACTGCTGCCGTTTGTAATCGCCGAGCCATTGGCACACGCAGGGGGGCAAATCGAATTCCTCCAGCGCGCCAGCTCGCCCGCTCACGTTGCTGCGACTCGGCGATGCTGGGCAACTTTGGGTAAGACCAGTCTTCATCATATCTGGTATCCTTCTCGTCCTTCCCGCCAGCGACGGCGGCATAGCTCTTGGTTGCTCCATTGGATGGGGAAAGTGTCACGTCGTCGAAATCGCCGTTGCTGGTGGATATGGTGGACTGAAGGTCACCGCCGTCCTCCATCTCGGGTCTTGTTAGGTTCCCCTATTACCGACTAGTCAGTCCAAGCGCTTTGCTTCAGCTGTCGTGTTGCAGGTGGCGCATACGTTATCTGCGGTGGCATCTTCCTCCCGGGTTTCCGGTTGCTCCGGCTCGGTCGGTTCGTTTGATTCTGGGTTGGGAATGGTTGTCACTTTCTCGTTCGTCTCGGATGGCTGAGCGCCTGTAAAGCCGTTAGCGTCTCAATTTCGTACATCCAATGGTCAATGCAAAGGCATGGCGTTGAGGCTCATGTTCGGTACCAGCTTGCAGACGCCTTGGGCCTATGATACGAGCTACTCCATCCGCCCGCAGTTGGACGAGCGCATAGCTCACACAGATCACCTCGTTTGCAGGGCAATCGCAAACTCACCATTCTCAATAGAAATACCGCCGTCAACCTCGGGAGTCGCCATGATGTCTGTTGCTTGCGCGTCGAGATAGATGGTTTCTTAGGTGGAGGGGTCGAGGTCCTAGATAAAGTCGGTGCAGACTGCGTCAAAAACACAGCACGGCCACGTCACGGCAACGGAAGCGACGAGAGAAGATGAAAGCAAAGTCAAAGTCCAGATGCAGCTACAATGGCATGAGCATCAGGCGCCATTATACCACGGTTTGGATGGATGAAGGTGGGCCAGGCAGTTGAGTTGGTTTCATGGATGCTTCATCCGTCAGACATGCCGAATACGCACAGCTTTCTTTCGGACGATGACGTCGCACTCGTGGGCTTCGACACGTGAAGTCAGAAGCTTCCATCCCCATCCGGCATGGTACGCTACGGCTACGGTACGGTACGGGTTCCGCTGCCCTCACCTTGTATACAGTGTCGCTGGTCCGTATCAACCCAGCCACTCTCTCCAGCCTCGGTACATGCTCGATTCATTCATTCACTCGTGTCACTCACTCTTCAGCACAAACAAAGAAGTGAACCTATATTAGAACATTATAGACAACAACATCGGACCAAGCCTGCCATGCATGCCGAGAACTTTCTTATCTCAGCTCTCCCTCCCGGACCCTGCCAGGGGATCCATTCCCTTAGCCCCTGATTCGACCCTGCTACACCATCCCGCCTTTGCATCCATGGGGGTCAGCCAACGGCTTGGTAGATTCTCTATATACAAAGCATCATGACTTTGCACACCTTTCTCATACCTTCCCAGTTGGGTGCAGCCACGAGGCACACTATCTGAGAGTAATCAATAACTTCAACAGCAACAACAGCAACAATGCATGTATGGTACAGTAACAATACGACAACCAGTTCATAAACATCCCAAGTCCTTTCTTTTGAAGTGGAGGCCCCGACCATCCACTGAACCAAATTCCCAAAACCGATAACGCCTCCCTGAGCACCATGCCGAATAATCTCAAGGGTAAAAAACGAAGGTCGTCTTAGTATGCCCTGCAACAAGGAAAAATAGATGCGTCAACGCTTTGAAGCCACCTCACGCTACGCCTTGACCGCCGCTGCTGCTGCTGCTGCCGCCGCATCGCGTGTCTCCATCTGTTGCTTCAAGTCTGCTACCACATGATCCAGAGTAGTAACCTTATCCGTCAGAGTCTTGACCCTTTCCTCCAGCGTTTGGATATAAGCCCAGACACTAGGGTCGCTCTGTGCGAACATGTTGCTCTCGTTGGTGGGCGCCGCGCCGCTCCCGCTCCGGGTGTGGGAGAAGCCGGCGGAGCCGGGCGCGGCAAATTCAGGATGCGACAGCCCGGGGAGCTTGGGCCGAGGCTGCGTGCTGTGAGGTGATTGTAGATCCGATGTCCGGCGTCCAAACTGCTGTTGCTGAAGTTGCTGCGTTAAGCTAGGTGAGCGCTGCCGCACCAGGTTGTTGCCGTCGTGACCTTGAACTCCTGGGCTCAAGGGCTTGGGGCTCTCTGTAATCCCCGTCTGTGAATACATGTTTGCGTTGGCCGCCGCAACGGGCAACGGCGAGATGTTGGTGCTGGTTGTATGGGCGGCCAAATTGTTGGCCACATTCTGCGAGGCATTAGAGCCGGCTTGGTTTTGCTGCTGGCTCACGTTCGGAGGGAAAAGCCCTCCCGAGCCCGGTCGCGCGCCAGGCGGCGGGTAAGTCCGGGCATGCGCACCATATCCGTCACCTTGAGCTCCAGGGACGTGCTGGGTCGTGATGCTAGGGAGGCTTTGTCGCCTCAGTTCATCATCCTCTGCATTATCATAAGCGAGACCAGACATGGCCGATTCATCAGCTTCGGCGATGCTGTTCTCCAGATCACCGTCATCAACAAAGCTGCCCATGCTTGACCGTCGTCCAGCACAACCACCAGCACCCTTGGAGTGACGAGCCAGAGCATCACCACGAGCAAACTTGCGGTCACACTTGGGACAGACGTGAGGCTTCTCACCCGTATGCAGCTTTCCGTGACGCTTCAGGTCATGAAGCCGGCGAAACCGCATCTGACACTCGGTGCAAACGTACGGTTTCTCCTGGCTGTGTGTCAAGAGGTGACTTTTGAGGTTGTGGTGGCGCGTGAACTCGGTGTTGCAGTAGGGGCATTTATGCTTCTTGGAAGCGGATGACGTGGGTGATGTCTGACCCTGCCCCGGCATGGGGAAGCTCATTCCTCTAGCAGGAGTTTCCGCCAAGTTACCCGTGGCCTGGAGCGACCCCGGGTATGATAACGAGCCTGGCTGATGTCTCTCTTCTTGGCCAACAACCTGTTGCGACGACTGTTGGTGATGTTGCTCAAGCTTGGGTGCGTCAACGTCCATTGGAGTGGGACTTTCAGTCACTTGAACACCGACAACACTAGCAGCGCTCTGCGGACTTGTCGCACTACGCTCTTCGACCTGGCTAGTCGCGTTTTGCGCCAGCGACACGGGATTTGGAGCCTTTGGAGAAGCATCCATGGCCGCTGTTGGCGCAGCCGGGGGCGCGTCAACAGGGCGGCTCATAGCTTGAACAGCGCCGGACATTAGGGAAGCGAGAGCCTTGTGGCTAGGGTTTTCGCTCGTCGGAGCAGGAATTCGAGACCCGTCGTCGTGATCGGTGCCTTCGCGTCGCCGGCGCTCGTCCTCGAGAGCAGCTGCGGCTGTCAAGGGCGTCGGGGAGATGCTGGACGCGAGGGCCAGCCGAGCCGACTTTGTCGGGGAGCCGAGGGCCAAAAGGCCCTGGGACTGGAGGGCAAGGGATCGCGGCGATGCAGGAGAAGGTGAGCGAGGCCGCTTGAGCAACCTGACTGCGTCGTCTGAAGGGATGACGGCGGGAGGGGTCGCTTCTGAGCGCGTTGCGGGCGGGGCGTCGGTCGCGGTGAAGGCGGAGGCGTCCGAGGCCATAGACGCAGCTGCTAAGCGTAGAATTGACAAACTTGAAAAAAGATGGAATGCAGCATGCAGTCAGTTTCGAGATTCGAAGACGCCAAAGCCTTTGGTCAAAGGCACATGTCGGGGCGTGATAGATGGATGTGTGGCTGGAGACGTGGCGAGAGCTGATATTTTTTCCCCAGGCAGGAAGGCAGAGGAGGCGAATGAGGAGCGGGTGGGCGATGCGCTGTGGGCAGTGAGTGGCTCAGGCGACGAGGCAAGAGGTGGAATTGAGGCTCGAATCCGGCAGTACGTAGCGTGCAGGAGCAACGGTTTAAAGCATGGAGACAGCGGGAAAAAGGACAGAGGCGCAGAGGTACCCGTGATGGCGGTCGATGATAATGACGGTGTCGCGCCGAAAGAGTTGTGCAAGGTAGAGGTAGGTAAGTAAAGAGGTAAGGGTAGGTAGGTAACTAAGTGAACGAGGCGGCCGGAGAGATGGGCTGCGAGGCAACGACGACGGGCGATAGAGAGGGCGAGTCAAAGTGGGCAAGTGGGCGAGAGGGGATGTGATTGGTCGGCCTGGGTGGACGGGTTGAGTGAGTGGGGTACGTAAGAGGGAAAGAGCAAGTGTGTGTGGGCGTGTGTCAGTGGATTGTTGACAGCTGCCGGGCTGGTTCCTTCAGAGAGGGCTTGGCTTTCAGGTGGGATCGTGCAGCGCTGAACCTGGAAACCTGGTCGGCGGGTACGTACCGCGTCCCGTGAACTGGACTGAAGTGGAAGTGGAAATGGAGCTGGACGATGTGAAAAAGGCACGCGTGAAACCTGGGCTTTGGATCGCGGGTGATAGAAGAAACAAGCTACTGGAAAGACACACGCAAACCAAACACCAGTTAGCACGTAGTTACGTGGTAGACGTGGTGAGAAAAGAGGGAAAAGGGAAACGCGCGCTTGGTTGGGGACAAGGCCGTAGCCCCAAAAAAGCCGAACAGCGCGAAAGCGGACAGGAGTGGGCGGTACCGATACGTTTTTGGGATGAGCGGCGGGCTGGAAACGTGCTGGGGAAGGCTCTAAAGTGACTTCGTTTCACGGTACTTGGAACGGATGTATCTCTTCCCCTGGTAGGTAGGAAACATTGGGTCAGCCACCCGGCCAAACATGCTGCCAACCAAAGCCCGAAGGGTCCGATTGTGTAGATTCGCGTGCATCTCACAATCACGATCAAGCGATCATCGACCATGGTTTACTGGCGAGACCTCTTCCTTCCGCCTCTTCATCTCCTCCAAGGCTGGGTTGCTCGGCGTGATCCCGGCTTCTTCAGGCAACGGGCGTCCAGGTTACGGCAGCTCTCTGTCTTCTGATAGGGCACATTGCGCGAGCAAAAGGTGAGAGCGGGAGACGGGAGGCGAGCAAGCAATGATCCATCCAGACACGAGAGATGACGACAGACTGCTGCTGTCAGAGCCTCTGGCCATCCCATGCCATCTCATGCACCTCGGTCAAGGTACATGTCCTCCAGGTATCCCGTCGTAAGGCCCACTGCTTCTCCAAGGTCGACAAGGCAAACCGGTTCCACAGACGAGGCGGCATGTCACTGCCCTATCGCCAGTTGATAGGGCCATGACATGAAAAGAAGAGAAACAAGAAACGTTCAAAGAGCATAAGGCTTCTCCGTCACCCACTTGTTGATAGTTGGATCTCGCAGAGTTTCAGTCTTGGAAAGACTCGATAACTCATCGTCAACTCACTCAAAAGGTTCGCATCTCCCTGTCGTCAAGAGTCGAGACAACTCGGCATGGTTGAATCGACAATCCCCGATCTATCGAACGGCTAGCTAGCAAGTACTAACGGATATGTACAGCGTCATGCTCAGCTCCCGAGCTGAAGGCTCTCTCCTCCAGGGCCGGGCGCAGCTAGGCTCACCCAATCCTTGCTTGGCTTCCCTCAGGTGAGCCAGCAAGTGGCGGTGCACCAAGGCAAAGCCCCCGAAATGGAGCCCGGGCCTCAAACCCATGGCGTGGATGGGATGGACGATGGACGATGCGATGTGGGCTGGCGGCTCACTCAAGCCCGACTGTGGCACCCCTGTGGTTCTGTGGTTCAGGTGTGTGAGAGCCTGGCGAGTCTTGTGACTCGCTGGATCCCTTTGGGTTTATTGGTGTGGCTGATCCTAGCTGCTCACCATCCCAGCCCCCTGCTCCGCCACGCCTGGTTGTTTCTTGTTGTTGTTCTGGTGCTGTTTGCTTCTCTCTCCCTCCTTTTCCTGTGCTCCCCCAGTCCCCATCAAGCTCGTGTTGAGTGAGAACCGGCCCATAAAGATGCAAAAAACCTGCAAGAATGAAACCTTTTTAGGGACCGGATGCTTGAGTGATGCGCCACAGCGCGCCACCTTCAGGTCGGCTCCGTCAACGAAGCGAAGCCACGGGGGCCCAACAAACAACCGCGGCACCCTCGAAGATCCATCGCCGTCTTGTCCGATAACACTTGGCTTGCCTTGTCTCGCCCATCACTGACAAATACCTTGCAGGTAGGTATAGACTGTATTACGGTACGGTCAGCTTCGGTCGCGTCTTCAGTCAGAATCGAGCGAATGGCTGAGCCCAAGCCGCTGACGACCTGTTCCGATGTGGTTTTAGCTATCCAATAGTACCCGTGTGCCTTGGAAGGCCGCAGGCGGATGCTCTGATCTGCAACGTCCTTCAACGTGAGAGGCTCTAGCGTCTAGATTCACCGTCAGCGTCACAGTGATCACATCAACCCAGCCCACTCGTTGCTGTGGCTGTGAGACAACCAGGTTGCTTCACCCACGATGAGTCCGGACTTGCTTGGTCTGCGGCTGTCGCTGAATCGTGAGCATTGAGAACTATGAGGCTTCAAGTCAGACGTTTGTCTTGACATGGCAAAGAGTCTCGAGATACCCCCCGGTCAACTGTGTGTATAAACACCGTTATCTCCATGATCTACGTATGGCCTCGAGCGGGAGGACCTGAACCCGGTGCCCTAAGCCTGCAGGCCGTCAACTTCTTCAACCTCGGACCGGTTCCACTGATCACCGATTCGGCTGGGCATCGTCTTTTTGGCAGGTTTGGCGAATATCATTGGCCATTCTGTCTCTCGGCAATCCCCCATCCTGTCACTTCTCATCATTATCCGTGTCGTCAGGCTGAGAGCTATTTGCTTCTATCGGCCCCCGGCTCACCGTTATTCTAGCCGCCCGATCACGCCAGCCAGGGAATGGCGATAGAGAAAATCCGGGGCTGATTGGCCGCTGTTAATGTCCACTTCAGCTAGGAAGGGGTCTGGGGGAAAGCCTTCAACTGCGTGAGTGCGGTCGTGGCGTTCTTGGTGGAAGCTGGAAGCTACGGAGTGTCGGGGCCTTGTCGAAAGCCACAACCAATCGAGTTCAAGCTGTGAATGGATCGCTGGATGTCTTCAACAAGCTGTCTCTTGTCTCGCTTCTGCAGTTGTCAAGCTGGAAAAGTGCGCTGCACTCGCAGGACGTTACATCATGGACTGTCAAATCGCAAGACTCCGTTGAAGATGTTGTATTCTATTTCCATATCCTCCTGGCCAATCGGGCTTTTGGTTGTCCAGCTGTCATCTCAGCTTTCAGCTGTCATAAGAACAGCCAACCGGACACGTCCGTATTATGTGACTGCTGTTCGCAGCTGGCAATTGATGACATTCTTGGGCTTTGTTTATTGGTGTGTTGTAGTCGGCGCCTCGGCTTGGTAATATCTGCAGTAATTGTCTTGGGAACGCCGTCCGAGTCCACCATCTCCAAGCCTGCCGGCCACAACCATTAGCCTCGTTCTAGAATCTGTTAGCGGATATCATGTCGTGTGACACGGGAATCGAAGACACTCAAGCCTCACGTTCTTGTCGACGTGGAAGTCATGGCGCACGAAATTGATACCATGCCACACGGTCTAGCCCTCGAGGTTCATTCCCCCGAGGTTGAGATGAACCAAGGCGGGGCCAAGCTCTATAGTCGGTGTCTACATACCTATTCTGCTAAGCATTCCAATTGGCGTCATAGACTTATTTGGTCTCTTATGCACTTTTTGCTTAGCTTCCGCTACATGATATGATGCTATCGTGGGCTTGGAAGTTCATGTTGGCCTTTGGGTGCCCGGGTGGGTTGCTCGAATGCCAGAACAATATCAACACCCATTTCGTCCCCGGGCAATGCCCAATTTTACGTTCCTCCAGATTCTCACTATCCTCTTGGCTGTCTCCTCGCGGTGGTGTCGAATGCATACTTCACGTGAATGTATGGTGTACTTGCAGGACATTTGATGCCATTGTGTTACACCGCTGCTTCGATCAGTCGCCCAGCCTCGACGATCCGACCATATGGCGGAACGACAAACGCCAATGACTCGTCTCCTCGTACAGGAGTGTCGGCATAGAATGCTCGATTGTACACATGAGTCTAGATGATCGAGGCATCGTCCTGTTAAAGTCTAGGGTAGCTAGTCGCCTTGGCGTTGACAAGGACAGACGGATGATAGTTCACAAAGAATCTTATCCTTTAGAATGATTGGCTGCTTTATGTCCGGTATGTAGTTATTATGTTTCATTCCACCGCCAAAAGACATATTTCGAGAAGGATTTGCATTGAGTGGAAGATGCCGAGGTCACCTCCATGAAGAGATCTACACGTCCTGCCTACCCTAGACAACCCGGACGGCTAGTTGGTGATGATTGCCACACGTCCACAACACCACGACATGTTAGGCAAGTAAACCGAAGAGACGGGATCAGGTAAATGCATGCCTGTCTACCGGAAACACACCGTGGACATACCATCTCAAAAGATCGTGCCAGTGTCCGAAGCTAAATGTGGCTGTTGAAATGGTGACTGGAATGCAGACTTGTGTCATGTAAACCACGTTCTACGTATTTTGACCAGTCAGATGTGATACCATCAATGGCGTGTGGGTTCACCATTGCCGGCATACTACGAAACAGAGACATGATTAGAAGCCGACGTGGTACCTATGGAAGAGTCAATATTTGATCACAAGCTGGCGATGGATTCATTTTTAGAACCGCATGCAGAAGCAACCATCCTGGTCACACAAATTACATGCAAGATCCCTCGTACTCGATGTCACCGCCTTTCTGATCCTCAATGACTCGACTAGACGAAAGATAAGCATATTGTTTCAATTTGGCATATCGCCTTCGGCCCGGTAGGTTAAACGTGATTGTGACAGAGCGAGGACTGCTCCAGAGAAAGGAAGGGAGGGCATTGTTCTCAAGGCGGAGTAGACCCTGTAATTCGGCCAGAGTCAAGGCCGTGAAACAGCAACAGGGGGATTATCGGGCTGTGGCACAACATCCCGTCAATAGTACGTACGCATTGCGTCCAGTACGTCCGGATGGAAACTACAGTCCCGCAACAAGCGCGGATCAAACATTATTTGCTGGGTATCGGGTGACGCGTTGGGCCAGCCGAGATCTTGTAGGCATCGCAATTACATGCTGCGCAACACTCGAGTCATGTCGAGTTGATTGGTCGCCTGTTTCATGCCGATGTGGGCGGCACGAGGCAGACAAAGTCATCCAACACGGCTGAGGGAGATTATCACAATTATATTCACCGAAAGCCTCGCGGGTCAAACTGCGTGGCGGTTGTTTGAAGGATCGGCCCACGCGGCATGAGACCCATGGAAGGAAACGAAACAACGACATCAAACTGGGGTACGAATGATATTGTCCACTGGCACAAGTCACAAGCTGGGGGGCCGATGAAATTAGGTGCTGACGTGTTCTGCAGTGGCCGCCACCTGGGGCCAAAGGCAGCGGAAGGATGGAAGCCCAGCCAGGCTGATGCAATGCGGGAGTGACGAGCGAAGGATCATGTCGATAGACGGTGTAAGTCAGAAGGATGACCCGAGCATGGAGGAGTGAGAGGAGAGGCGGGGCAGAGTATCTGTCAGAGGCCGGACCAACAAACCGCTCGCTTGTGAAATGGAAGTTTCAGAGATTCCAAGAAAGCAAACAAGCGAAAAAGAAAAAGCGACGCGACATTCATCTGTCTTTGTCGCTGACAGGTCTCGGCGTGTGCCGGCCCTTTGTTTTCTTGAACCTGGAACCTTGACAGGGGCTGATGATGTTGGTTTCGGGTTGGGGAAGAATCACGAGACAAAAAACCATGATTCCAACAATCCATTATTTTGTTGGATTACCGAGTTGTCAAGCGAAGATGAAGATGGCACCTTGATCTTGCGAGTGAGTGACATGGCAGTTTTGAATGTGACCGAGCCTGAATTGGCACATGATGGGGAGGGGTTGCTGCATTGCCATTGCATGGACGGGCATTGCCGATCGGATTTTGATATTCAGGGATGAATGCAACCAGTTGTTTCCGGCAACGAGCGCGAGCCTGAGGCACGGGTGCATTCGCATCCATCTGATCATGGAAGAGCGAAAATAGGAGCGCAAATTGCAATCTTCCACAAGAATTTCTGCTGGACTTTTGCCTTGGTTAAGAGAGAGGCCAATCAGTCGACAAAGCCAGACCTGGCCCACGAGGCCGACCCAGAGATATGGGCAATGATATTATGTTAATTTCTGAATGCTGGCAAATGGCAACCCTTATACGGACCCTGAACATCATGCCTTGACGCTGGGGTTGTCAATCGAGATGAGGCTTGATCTGCTGCCATTATTACGCCTGCCATGATTGGGTTTGCCGTGACTACGGCTTTGATTGGCTTCATCGGCCTGATCTGATCAAACGTCCAACGGCCAGCCAAAGGGGTCGTCTGGCAAGGGCAGGCAGCCAGGAGCTAGTGCCAGGTACCCGAAGGTCAAACTGCTGCGAGCGACCATGATTCCGCCACGAGCGGCACAGAACCGATGGAAGCTGTGAGCCCGGTTTCCCCCTGGAAGATACGTACCGGTTTACCCGCCTTCTCGCGCGTGTGGCGGATGGTGATCCATGGATGGCCCAGCGGGAAATGGACTGACCCCTTTAGGCAGGTGTCTGGTTCAGAAGCAAATAGCGCTCCATCAACTTACGAGATGAGTTTCGAATATTCGCGATGGCTTCGATTTTGAACATCTCACCTACGAAAGAAACAGTCGAGAAGTAACCAAACTGCGACAGTCCGTAGCCCTGCTGCCGGGAATTGACAACTTGATCTGCTCACTGCCAGACATAAACATAGCTCACCGACTGGTTAGCGTCCCGTTCAAGGAAAAGCCCGAGCCAAGGCCAAGACGCGCCAGCTGAGAGAAAACCTGGTCGAAGCCAAGCGTTGACCAACAGGTTGTTGACGACGCGAAATAGGGGGCTGGTGGTTGGAGAGAGACCGTTGCTGTGGGAGTGGCTGGCGGTTCTGTCCTCCGTTGCGTAGCTAGGGCGGTCGGTGCCAAAAAAGCTTGGCTCCTATTTTCGCATGGAGCAGGTTACTTGTTAATCCCGAGCCCAGATGCCCAGGAGACGGGGATCTGCCCATCCTAATTTATGCCATGACGACGACGGTGGTGGTGGACGTACGGTTGGGTGAATGGCGATGCTCGCAACAGGTCAACGGCTGCAACCAGCGACGGACCAAGAGGCCGAAAGTGACAGACAGACGAGGGCCCGGGTCTCATTGCGAAACGACAGGACGTCGATCTCATTCTGGGGGATCCATTCGGGATCCGCAGCATTGGTGGCCAGTGTGTCGTCCTTCTTGCGAGTTGCATTAGCAGCGCAGCGCAGCTGGACTGGAGGTCTGGGCTGGCTTTCTTTTGTGTGCAGGGGGTGTTGTTGATGGCGTGGTTTATTTTAGTCGGTAGGCGCTGGTTCAGGTGTGAGTGGCCAGGTGCCAAGGTGCCTCTTGCCCGCCGTGGCTGCGTGTGTGCAATCTGCGTGTGTGTGCATTGTGCCTGGTGCCTGAGAATGAATCTTTGTCCAACACCGGCCAGGGTCGCTAGCCGATGGCGGGGCATCCGATGGGTCAACACAAGGGGGGTCCGGGCTGAACGAGAGCCAACAAGGGGCACGAGAATGGGACAGTGTCGGTCGAACCCACTGAAACGATAGAGTTAATTTCCCGTCCTGAGAGAGCCGACAAGGCATTGGGCTTCTGTGTCGAGTAGCGCCCCCCTGGACTGTGGCCGGTCCTCCCCTGGGAATTTCCCGGCATGCCCTGGACGTGGGCAGCGGTCACCCCTGAATTGGGCGGATCGCCCAGATTTGGCAAGGCTCGGAGTGAGCATCTTCCTTCTGGAACTTGCGCTAGTCCTTTAGGAGCAGTAGCAGGTGTCTCTCCTTCTCCTCTTGGTGCATGTCTCGGTGTCTGATACGTGATGAAGCCCCCGGTTGCGTCTTGGTCTCGAGGGCACCCTGTGCGCGTTCGCACCAAGGCCCGGAGTTGGTGCTGGGTCTGCCAATCTCTCCAAACGCTCCCGTCCTGTTCCTCGCCCCCCGTTCTCCTACGTAGTCTCCTCCTCAGGTTCCTACCTTAGCTAGCTTCCCCCTTCCAAGCGCAGAGTCACCCCAGTCCCAGTCCTGGTCCCCAGTCAAGACGCCCGGCCTTCCTCTCTTTCTATCCCCTTTCGTCTCCGCCGCCCCAGGCGCTTTGTTCCTTTTGCTTTCATCGTGCTGCTCCTTCCTTGCTAACTGAGAGTTTCATCTTTCTTCCACTCTCTCCCACGCTCCTTTTATTTTGATATTTTGGTTCCTCACTACATTCGCTTCTACAGCTGTCGCTCGCTACGATTTGGGGACCGGACTTTGCCTTCCACAAACACAACCCTTTAGAAAAAACAGGTTAGTTGATGCGCGGAACGACATTGAGAGCGGAAGGGGGAACACGGAAACTGCAGAGGAGCCGGCAGACGAGAGACGAAGGGAGAGACAAGAGACAGGAAACGAACCATGGAAAACAACCACCAACATGATCGAGACGAGGAGGAACAGAAATCGACCAGTATCACAAGGAGCATGCGATTGGGTTGATGTGGCACTCCGGGGAGACTCATGGAGTCAAGGATCATTCGAGGGAAACCAAAAGTGTTGATCCGCGTCGTCGACGGCAACGGAAACGACGAGGCGGAAGGGCTTGGCGACACGACGAAAACAAATCAACATGAACAAACGATGTCGACAACCGATTCATATCCTGCGACCTCTACTCTCTCTTCGTCTCTTACACTGTCTAGCTTGGACAGTAGTCCAAAACCATACTGCAGTAGCAGCCGTTGAACGTCCAAAGCTAACCACAAACCTTGTATAGATATTATAGTTGGATCGCCACAGCGCCACCGACCGTTACGATGAAGAACCTCATCACTTACACGCTCGCCGCGACATTGGCCGCTGGCGCCACTGCTCACCAGCACCAGCACGTCCACAACCGTCGCCATGCCGGTTCCAAGGTCCAGAAGCGCGGTGCCAGCGTTGTCACCGAGTACGTCGTTGCTGCCACTGAGACCGTCTACGAGCTCGCCGGAAAGCAGCTTGGCCACGAAGAGGCCAAGGCCGGTCTCGATGGCGGCAACCTGATCATCGTTGGCGAATCCAACCCTACCTACCAGCCTCCCCCTCCTGCCGAGACCACCCAGCCTGAGCCCCAGAAGCAGAAGGCTGAGATTGGCGCTCAGTTCTACCAGTCCAAGGAGGTCACCTCTGCCCCTGCCGAGGCCGCTCCCACCACCGTTGTCGAGGTTGTCTCCTCGGTTGCTGCCGAGAAGCCCAAGTCCAAGACTCCCGCCAAGGCCAGCTCTGGCTCCTCGTATGGCGGCAGCAGCAGTGGCTCTGGTGTTAGCAAGAAGTTCGAGAGCGGCACAGTCCCCTGCAGCACCTTCCCCTCCGAGTATGGTGCTGAGCCTCTCGACTGGCTCAAGCTCGGTGGCTGGTCTGGTATCCAGTACGTTCCCGACTTCACACTGGGCTCCTTGACCATCACCACGATCCACACCGCTATCAAGGGCGACAAGTGCAAGAAGGGTGCCATGTGCTCTTATGCCTGCCCTGCTGGATACCAGAAGACTCAGTGGCCCAAGGCTCAGGGCTCCACCAAGGAGTCTGTTGGTGGTCTTTACTGCAACGACGATGGCTTCCTTGAGCTTACTCGCGACGGTTACGACACCCTCTGCGAGGCCGGTGTTGGCGGTGTTTCCATCCAGAACGACCTCGACGAGGACGTCGTTACCTGCCGAACCGATTACCCCGGAACTGAGAACATGGTCATTCCCGCCCTTGCCTCTGCTGGTGGCAGCGTCAACATCTGCAACCCCGAGCAGGACAAGTATTACATCTGGAATGGCTCTGGCACCTCTGCTCAGTACTACGTTAACAAGAAGGGATACAGCGTCGAGGACGCTTGTGTCTGGGACAGCCCCAAGGGCAAGGACGCCGGTAACTGGGCTCCCGTTGTCCTCGGTGTTGGCCAGGCTGCCGACGGCGTCACCTACATCTCTATCTTCCAGAACCTTCCCACAAGCGATGCTCCGCTTGACTTCAACATCGAGATCACTGGAGACGTCAACTCCAAGTGCTCGTACATCGACGGCAAGTGGACTGGCGGCGCCAGCGGCTGCACTGTAAGTTTGAAATGACATTGTTTTGATGGAATGCATGCTAACGAATTGATAGACTGGTATGCAGTCTGGTGGCAAGGCCATCGTCCGATACTTTTAGTTAAAACATCGCAAGAGTTTTGAGTAGGATGTGCGTTGTTAATTTTTGGACCTTCTTGTGAATATTCTGAGCGGCAGAGCTTGGGACCCTTCGGCCGCAGGCCACGGACGAGGACAAGCAGCGGGGCACAAGTTGAATCTGCCGACCTGTACCGCGGCTGAAAAGAGCGGGATTCCTCCCTTTGTTTGTCAAGCTGGGGCTAGATTTCTTGTAGATATGGACTTGGATGACTTGAAAGGGATTTGAAGAACGTTTCGACGGCTGATCTAGGTGCCAGTCTCTTTTTCCCCAGCAGTATTTTTTCCCTCTCTTTTCTTTGTCGGCACGTACTCCATATATGCATTTTTGTCGTTTTCTCATACATGCTTGACAAGATTCCCCCCATGCACAGACACGTTGTATGGATGGCGACGGATGGATGCAACCGACGACTGCGAATTATCAATCACGCATTGGGAGGAGCCCGCGGCGTTTTTGTTTACTTCCTTCGGGGAGAGGGCGACTCGAGAATCTCTTTTCGGAGGCTGAACAAAGAAAGAAGGGAAGAAGAAGGGATCGTTCGGGGTCGGCGTCGACGGGTCCAGCAATAGGCGCTCATCTAGGCTTGTCCATGTAATGTCTGTGAACCTTGTACTGTATAGTGTCTTGAATCTGGTAATTCTGTTTTTACTCTATTGGTCTCGGTATGGTGATCTTGGTGATGCTTGCTAACGCTATATGCTTGCTATGTGTCTTGGAGTTAGTTGTTCTCCGGTGGTTCATCGGGGACGGAGGTGACCCCGCTCCGGACGCCGAATAGAAGGTGCGAGTCAATCCGAGTTGAGCTGACTGGCTTCGGGTTCCCCAGACGCCACGGCCTGACGGGCGCAGCTTCAGCATGAACACATGGATGGTGCTGTAGCTAATAAGCGCTTAGCTCTCTTGCCTCAAACCTGTGACCTTTTATCGGAGTCAAGTTCCCTGTCGACCAATCCCCGCATTCGGTGCTGCTTCTGATGTGCTCTTGCATGCGTCATTAGTCGGATGGAGGGAAGCATGGGAACTCTTGAGGTGACAGTGGTAAGCTTCCCTGTATCTCTCTGCATGTTCATGTGTGTACTGATTCTCAAATCAAGAACAGCAATGGCCTCTGTGATCGGTGTTTAAATGCCGACACTAGGTTGATCTTGGTAGAAGGCCGAGGAGGAGGGAGGGGATGGATTGTGATAAGAGTTGTTTCTCCTCACACCTAATGATAAGAGTCAACCAACGTCAATTGCGCCTATTTCAACCTCGACCTCCCCGGCTAAAGTCTATGCAATTGACTCTCCCTCCAGAGACATTCATATGCGAGCGATGCCGTCTGGTGGCGCATCGTGATCCTTCCCGTCCCGCCTTCGTCATCGACTGCATGACCACACCCTTCAACCCGAGCTGTTTTTAAATCCAGACAAGCCCCGCCCGCCTTCAGCTTTTAAGCTTGTATTCTCCCGGGATTGACGTTATTTGCCAATTCTCGACCGTACACAGGCATCGGGAACAATGTCGCTGAACCGCGTCCAGAGCATCGAGACGCTTTCGGTCCTGCCGGGCCATCATCACGAGGGCCGCGATAGGAGGGCGAGCGATGCGAGTCTGAGGGTCCGCCGGTTGACGTTTAATCCTGTGCCGCAGGACTACGAGACTGCGTCGTTGAGGCCGGACGATCACCATGCGGAGACGGTCGGAGCATTCGAGGTTCCTGAGTGGAAGCGGTTGCGTATGTCGTCCAACGTGATCTTTCGAACGGTCAATCGGTGCTGATTGTATTACACAGTTCAGATCGGCGCTGCGGTTATACACTGCCTCTTTGCAGCGGGAATAGGTTAGTATACACCCTTCTGCTCTTTGGAATGGTCAATTGACAGGCTGTCAGTCTTTGGCTACGCTGCGATCAAGCCCGTTCTCAAGCTCGAGGGCGCATATTCCGACGTTTGCAAGCTCAGCCACTATGGAGACCACCAAAGCCTCAATAGGGATACAAATGCCATTGCCGACGATCCTCATGACACGTGCGTCGAGATCCGGCTGAACCTCATGTTCACCGTCGCCGCCGTCGGCACCAACGTTGCTGCTCTTCCCGTCGGTGCCATCCTCGATCATTTTGGTCCCCGCGTGTGTGGCCTTCTGGGATGTTTCTTCCTCGCCATCGGCGCATTACTCATGGCGAATGCTAAACAACTCCCGTTTGATGCGCTGCTCCCAGGATATCTTTTCCTGGCTCTCGGAGGCCCGTTCACGTATATCTCGTCCTTCCAGCTATCCAATGCGTTTCCTCGGCACTCGGGTCTTATCTTGGCGCTCATGACGGGTGCCTTTGACTCCTCGAGCGCATTGTTTCTCATGTATAGGCTTATATACAACGCCACCAACGGTGGATTCACGCTGCACCGCTTCTTCCTCGTTTACTTGGTTGTCCCAGCTGTCATTTTTGTCAGCCAGCTGCTTCTCATGCCTGCGCAATCTTACAAGACGGTCGGCGAACTCGTTGGTCAGGCTGCCGAGGCAGATGAGGATTCACTCAACGATGAAGACATGGGTACGCAGATTGCGGATGATCAAGTCGACGAGCACACAGCGCTACTCCGCGAGGAACGGCGTGAGGAGAGACAGAGGCACAAGGCAGTGGTGCACGATATTGAGAACCTCCTCGGCTCGGCAACTGGAGATCGCCAAGTCGAAGCCAAGGAGAGGCAGCATGTTGCGTCTGGCGTCTGGGGTGTACTGCACGACCGCACCGTCCTTGAGCAGATTCGGTCGCCCTGGTTCATACTGATTTGTCTCTTCACTGTGGTGCAGATGACTCGGATCAACTTCTTTGTCGCGACGATTCGTCCACAGTACGAAGCTATTTTCGGTGACCATGAGCGTGCCGTAAGGATCAATACCTTCTTTGACGTTGCTCTTCCAGTGGGTGGACTCGTCTCGATTCCTTTTATCGGCACGGCTCTCGATCATGTCAGCACCGTTCTTGTCCTAGCGACGCTCGTCACTTGCGGCACACTCATAGGTATTCTCGGCGTGATACCATCCGACTGGGCAGCATACTCTGGCGTCGTCCTTTTCGTCCTGTACCGTCCCTTCTACTACACGGCCGTATCGGACTATAGCGCCAAGGTCTTTGGCTTCCGGACCTTTGGGACAGTGTACGGCCTCATCATCTGTCTGTCAGGCCTCCTGAACTTTTCCCAGTCAGGCCTCGACGTTTTGTTTCACGAGACTTTCAACGGGAACCCTGTGCCCGTGGACATCATGCTTCTGCTCTTGGGACTTGTCATTGGCGCTTCTCTTGTGGTATTTGTGGCGATACAGCTGCGAAACATGAATCTCAAGGCCAGGGCCGGGATCTCGCAATGATCTTGCTGAGAAAATGAAAACGGGTGCTCTTTGAGCATTTCTGATTCGAATATACCCGTTGTGTGGCTGAGTTATGCGATTATGAGTTTTTATGACGTTTGATGCTTGGTATATACTGAGTTGATGTGATTTAGATGATCAAATTATTTCAAATGCTTACGTATATTCATGTTGTTAGAAAATCCAATGTCGAGTAGCCGTGATACTATGCTTACCTGGCAAGTATTGGCGATAGAAGAGAACTGGATCATAATTCCTCTTTAGACCTTTCACTTGTTAGTGGCCAACTTGTAGGAATCGACTGGCTCAACGTCGTCTTGAGAACTATATCTACGAACATAGAGGATAATAATGGCTCTTGAGATTACGGAGGATACGGAAGACACATAAAATACGGGCAATACGGAGAAAAGAGCATGGAGATTACGGGGGATACGGCAGATACGGAAGAAAAGGCACACGGAGACTACGGAGAAACAGGTATGGGGGATACGCAAGAGACGGAGAATACGCAGAAAAGAATACTGAGACTACGGAGGATACGGAGAACACGGAGACTACGGGGAATACGGGGAATACGGAGATAGGTTACGGGGAATACGGGAGAGACGGGGAATACGGAGAAAAGAACACTGCGACTATGGAGACCACGGAGGATACGGAAGAGACGAAGAAAAGGATATGGAGAATACGGGGAATTTGTTCTCGTCCATCACTCTGCCGCCACTCAAAACTGAAATCGCTCCATCGTGTATAATAACGTCGTTTGTCTCATCAGAATGTGAGATATAAATGACTATGTACTTCCAGATCAACTAAAGATCTGAATGTGTCATAACAAGTGTCAATATTTACATGCCAATAGAAGTGAAGTCGTGAAAGGGCTGCTGGCGTAGAGGTTGAGATGGATTTATATACAATGCCCAAAAGGAGCGTCCAACACGTCAAAGATCCAACAGTACTTTTCAAGTCCCCCTGAGGGAGAAGGTCTTGAGCCTTTGTATGTATTTAATACTTGGCCGCAGGAGTACGGAAGGGCTCCTCGCCACAGTACTGACCCCAGCCATCAAGCTGAGCAGAAGCCCACTTGATGATCTTGCTGAAGCCCTTGTCCTCATCCTCGGCAGTGCAGTAGTACTTGTTATCCGAGGCGCTGACCTTGCCCGTCTTCTCCACCGAGGGGGGGTACTCGATCTGGAGGACGGGCTTGCCGGCGTCGATGTAGGTCTGGAAGTCCTCGCAAAAGGGCCAGCTCTCTTCGTTGGGGTCGCTGTTGCCGCGGCAGGACTCGAGCACGGCAAAGTCGAGGGTCGAGACGAGGTCCTCGGCGATCTCGGGGGCGTTCTTCTGCCCGACGAGGAGGGGCTGACCGTCCTTGGTCTTGATCGAGTGGGCATACTTGGCGAGGTTCTTGAGGTAGTTGGTGTAGTCGGAAGACTTGAGCTTGAAGCCCGTGGGGTCTTCGTCATCTTGTTGCCAGGCGTCAACGTTGTCAGGATCGACGGCATCGCAGCCGATCTTGGCAGCAATGTCTAGTCGTGCCTTTTGCAACTCGAGGACACGCGAGTCCCGGATGTCGAGGTACCATTCTTCGCTATCGTAGGGGTAGGACAGGGAGTGACCGATGACCTCCTTGGGGAACTTGCTCTTGTCGTCATCCCAGTCCTGAAGGGCTCCGGCGTTGAAGTAACAAATAACGAATTTGCCAGCGCTCTGTTAGGCAATCTGGTTAGTATGGCTTATCCATACCAAAATGTTGAAGTAAGTCTGCTTACCTTGAGCATGGGGATCATGTTAGGGAACTCCTGAGCGTGGCCCATGTCGATATCCCAGACCTTGGCCTTGGTCGGGATCAAGTCTGCGGCACTATCATGCTTGATGGGATGATGAATACAAATCTCCCACTGCACACCTGGCTTGAAGTCGGCGAGCCCAGTAGCCCTCGCCGCCGTGGCAGGCTTGGCTTGTGCGGTCTTGCCAGCGTCAGCAGCAGGACATTCTCCTCTACGACGAGCGCTTACAGAACCGCCAAGGGCGAGAGTGGTGACAGCAATACGGCTGAAGGCCACCATGATTGTGAATAAGGGGTGAGAAAGGGCGTCAAGGAGGTGGACAGTATAGAGGTAGTAGCTGTTATGTGAACAACGACGAGATAGTAGTTGAGTCTTGTAACAACTCTTAAGGGGGTGGGAGGGTGATGGGAAATCCAAGGTTGACTCTTGGTCTGATGATCAATTCAACTGCCTAAATAGTTTTCCTGAGCTCCCTCTTCATTATATCGACTTCAAAAGGACCGGTATGAGCCCCTTTGGCGAACAAGTTGATCCTGTCAATCCTGCCTTAGTTCATCCAACATGTAAGCCGTGTAAGACGGCTAGACAATTTTGGAATGGTCTCCTCTGTTGGGATGAAACATTAGCAAGGGTCTATGATCAAGCACTCATCCTGCGTAATGCTATGTGCGTAGCGTACAGACCTGGTCTCAGCTGTTGGACACCAGTCGTTGGGCTTGATAGATGGGATCATGGACCTGGGAGAGGGAGCCGACCTCCCGCAACTCGGAGACTTTGTCCGTCTCGGAACCGACCTAGTACCGTGAGATTTAGAGGACCACGAGGATGAGGTTTCGCACCATCTGTATAGGGCATAGTACTCGGGTGATGATGACCTTTTCAAATCCTTCTCGGTTCCCCAAAGCAGGCGGTGCCAGTTCCAAGGTGGATCCTTGATTCCGCTTTATGTGAGGCGTTACAACGGCACGTTTTTGATTGACAGGGACCGAGGCCCACTCTAGCCTTATAGGACCATGACTTGTCGGAGAGGACGGACCCAAGGGCATGGATCAAGTCATCCTGACTTCTAAAGTTCCATTGCTGTCCCCACAGCGGCCTCTCGCGCTCTGCGGACTTCGTCTCGTCTCTCCTCGTTTTCCTCCTTGAGCCGCTCCTCAACTTCATCTCTAATGGCACCAAGATCAGGTGGGATGGTCTGGAACTGAACGCTCGGTGCTGCCTGCACAAAGCGGAGCTGCTCTGTAATGTGTTGAGTAATCTCTGCCAACCGTTTCTGGGAATTGCGATTTTGTCGTGGCTCTCCAAGAATCTGTTCCAGTGTTGGGAAAAGCGTGTCTTGCCTAAAGTGGTCACGCCATGGAGCATGCTCTGGTAGGATGGAGCTGATCTTGTCATCGCAGTTGGTGGCAATGCTGGTCTCGTAAGTCCATGCCCTGGCCACGTTCCGAGGAGTGTATCCACCACCACCGAAGAGGATCATGGGGATGCGCATCTCCTTGCAGAATTTGACACAGGCACCGTGGCCTTGGACTTGAAGGTTGAAGCGACCAAGGCGGTCACCCGCCAGAGAGTCGGCACCACATTGCAAGGCAATGGCTCCAGGGCGGAACTTCTCCACAATCTTGCCGATGATAGAGTTGAACAGACCATCATACTGCTCATCCGTGATACCGTCCATCAATGGTACGTTGAAAGCGTGATGAGCGCCTGGGTTGTGTTCACTCTTGGGACCGTTGTCGTCGAGAGCTCCCGTGCCCGGGAAGAAGTTTTGCGGGTCATACTTGTGGAAGGACACAGTCATGACACGGTCAGTTGAGAAGAAAGCCTCCTCGACACCGTCGCCATGGTGTACGTCAATGTCGATGTATAGGACTCGAGGGTAATAACGCAAGAGCTGGAGGACAGCGAGTACAATGTCGTTGATGTAGCAGAAGCCAGAAGCTTCAGACTTCTTGGCGTGATGCAGTCCACCGCCCCAGGAAATAGCAATGTCGGACTGCCCACTGCAGATCTTCCTGGCAGCATCCAGGGAGCCACCGGCTGAGAGAGAACAGTAATTGAATAGACCGTCAAAGAGTGGACAGTCAGAGCCGCCCAGGTTGAACTTCAGGTCAACAGCCTGGTTCTCAAGGTCGCGAGGTACTGGCTCAGGCAGGACTGTGCCGAGAAAGTCGAGGTAATCTGTCGAGTGAAAGTCGGCCAGCTCCTCGTAAGTGGCTGCTCGGGCGATGTAATTATCCATGGCGAATGACATGCCGTAAGAATAGATGAGGCTCTTGGACAACGTCAGACGCCAGGGCTTCATGGGATGTGTAACTCCAAAGTGGTGACTCTCTATGTCCGGGTTGCAGTGGAACGACACCTTGTAGCCCTTTGGCCGGGTGATGCCTGATTCTTCGGCGAGGCGTTTGCACTTGTTGTAGAACTTGGCGTTGTCCATCTCGCTCGCTAGCCCGAGGGGCGTGTACTCCTCAACGACGGTGTTGTCACGATCCTCATCTGCAACATGGGGTAGGTAGTTGGGTTTGGGAACCCGGTATCTGTAAGAGTCTATATCCATGATGACGAAAATGAAGGCTGCGTTGTTGAAATCTTAATGCTCCTGCGTGGCGTGGCGCGACGGGTCGTTGAGTGAATGAGTAAGCAGGCCCGCGACACCCGCGCTTCCGGTTCCTGCCCGACTAAGCGATAGAAGATAGATACTGAAAGCTGTTTTGAAATGTGCGAACGGCAGATGATCTCTCAAAAGGCGATGCTATGCGAAAATCTGTCGTGAAGTTTGGGGGGAGGTTGGTGTATTTGGTAAGTTGGCTCGCCTCAAATGCTGAGACTCGAAAATGGGAAAGAGTGTGCAGGATGGCGATGGCTGGATCTGGCCTTCGACACAAGTAGAGTCAGGTACCTTGAGGGGAACCACAGAGGAGAAGTGGTGATTTCGGCACATGAGAGACTTTGAAATACTTTGTTTGGTCTGAAATCGTCAGGAACCAACCTGCAGCTTCTCCCATCTTTAGCGTGCATTGGATAAGCCTAAGCCTGAATAGGGCTAGCGACTTCAATTCAATCCTTACCTAGCTGTGGCGTCAAAAAGTGGCGCGCCGAGGCTGGCTGATCAACGTCACAGGCCCCCGGCTCGACTTTTCTTCCGCGGGCTGTTCTCCAAAACCAAACCTTCATTGCGCTTCCACTGATCGCGATATCGCGCGCAGAGAACCTGAACCATCAAGACACGTTCGTGGTCGCTGTTCGCCATCTACCGGAGTATCGCGATTGCAAGAGCACACCCGCACCAACTCCCTGGAGAACAAGACTTCGTTCGTGCACCAAAGCAGGAGCCAGCGGGTACCGAGGTGAGCCGAGCCGAGTCATTCATGTCGATTTGCTCTCAGCGCCTTCTCTGAATCAAAGCGAGCCTATCACTGTGTTGCGCGTTGCTCGTGACAACCACTCCCTCCCCCTGCTCCTCGCTCCGTCTGCCGTCAGGCGTTGACCCCTCTGGGACCACTTCTTTCTCCGGTCCTTGCCCTTGTCTCGCCTGACCAACCATCAAAGGCCTGCCTGTTCGTTCTGTTTCTTTGCCTGCGTCTCTCCTCGTGCTACATCGCTTTGGCACATCGCATGGGGTCTTTGAGGCTTCGACGTCATCGCTTTCTTCCAACATCTTTTGTTGCGGGGCTCCCCCATCGTTAACAATCATGCCTAGAGACGACTTGTCGATCGACTTCGTCAAGAGGATGCCTCAAGCCGAGCCCCTCGATCCCGGCTTGATCCTCGACGACTGGATCAATCGTGTCCAGAACCTCCCCGAAGAGATTCGTTTCATCCAGGAGGAGATCGCCGACAAGGACCGCCAGTACAATGAATGCATCCGCGTCATCGAGGACCGCGACGGGAAGATACAGAAATGGATCAAGACGAACGGGAGCCATGAACCCAACCCTAAGGAGGAACTCCTTCGCGCTCAAGTCCGCGAGAACTATGCGCGAGCCGATCAACTGTCGCAAGAGAAGATCGCCCTGCACCAAAAGATGCAACTCATAATGGATAAGCACCTTCGAAGTTTGGATGCGCAGATCAAGCTCCTCTACGACCGAGCCGAACCTGGCTTTACCGATCCCGACGAAGTGCCCTCGCTGCTTCGACCCAGCGCCGCGAACCACACAGCTCCTTCGATCCGCGCCATCAATCCCGCGAGCCATATGGCGGCGACTGGCCCTGCCACCCCTCTTACCGCTGCGCAGACATCGTCCAACCCCACACTTGCCCGACTCCCGAACCACCCCAACGTGCGACACGCACAAGCTCAACAGCATGCCGCATCTGCGCCTGCTACCCCAGCTGCCAGCATGATATTGAACAGACAAAGAGAAGGCTCGGCAGGACCTGCGACGAAGCGCGGGCCCAGGATTAACCCTTCGTTGGGAAGTATACCAGTCACATCAAGCGGGCTAGCAAGACATTCTTCTTTGGGACCGGGGACCCCTAAGGGCGGTGTTGCTGGTGGACCTGCTGCTCTTGCTAGAGCTGGGAGTGCAGGCCCAAGGGCTAGTTCGGTCAAGTCCATGGGAACAGCGAGTGCTCGTCGGGGCACACCTACGGCGGGTGGCCGAAAGAAGATTGCCAACAAATCATCACTGTCCCGGGTTAAGAAGGCGTCGAGTAGGAATTCGCCTGCGCCGACTGTTGATAGCGAGTTGTCGGATGTTGATAGCGGAAGCGGAGATGACGAGGATGGCGCTGATGGTCGATCGAGGGGGACGCCTGTTATCGATGGTAAGGACGGAGATGGAGACGAAGTACTGGGCGACGCGGACGATGATGACGAGGAGGGTGGCGACGACAAAAAGTATTGCCTGTGCCATAACGTGAGCTATGGTGACATGGTTGCTTGTGACAACGACAACTGTCCCTACGAGTGGTTTCACTGGTCCTGCGTTGGACTGAAGAGTGAGCCTAACGGAACTTGGTACTGTCCAGTGTGTACCGAAAAGTTCAAGAAGGGCAAGTAGGCGGCGCGGCGCGACCACTGGGAAAGGTGAGGACGGAGAAAATGATTGGGTGCTTGAATTGTCATGGCTGGCGTTGTGTTGGGAAAATTGGATGCCTCGGCTTTGGCGTTTCGGAGACGGTTATACCCCCAACATTGATTCGAGTAGCACGACTCTTGAACTGGGATATGAATACATGCTTCACTCTTAGACTCGGCAGACCAACCTCGTTCATGTGTTGTTGACTTTGATTTTCTCTATGAAGGCCCAAGAACACACTCGACGACGCCACGTCTTACACCCTCTGTTTCCTCTCGGAGTTGATCTACTCGAGCCCCCTTCTCTCGAGCCTTGTCAACAAAGTCGTCTAGCGAGCCACCGACGCCAAAGTACAACCGCTTGGCAGCAATAAATGCGCCAGCTTGGCTGCCAGTAGTGTCACGCTCCTTCTCGAGGATGACAAAAATAGTCTCGAGGAACGCTTGAAGTGCGAATGGGGAGTAGATTGTTTCAGCGCCAAGGATAAGTGTACTGCTTGGCTGGGCATTTCCTGTGGGTAGGGCGTAGAGTAGGTTCACAAACTCCTGTGACCAGGCTCCTGAGATGAAGGATAGAGACACATTCGACTCGAGGAGAGACTGCTGGAATGCCGCGAGAACTTCAGGGCCAAGCTCAACTTCACCCTCGATGGAGAAGGCTTCTTGGAGAGCTGGTAGCTGTGTGTTGTTGAGTGCCCAAGAGAGGATAAAGTTGGGAAGGGTAACGAGCTGGAGGACTGAGGGGTTGTAGTCTGCCAGAATGAGAGACAGTGGCTTCTTCTCTGACTTGGAAGCCATGGCCCATTGGAAGAGGGCTAGTGATGGCAAGGCAGTGCCACATCCCAGCTGTGTCGTATCGTTAGTGATCATGTACTTGGCTTCTCAACTTAAACATACCTCCATCACACGCAAGGGCATTTGCTCCAACGTGGAGATGGCATTCTTTGCCGCCAAGACCTTTACCAGATCGACACTGCTTTCCCAGCTCTTGAAGCCACCCTCATAGACGCCCGTCTTCACATCATGGCTGCCCAACCCCTCCGACTGCGCACCCGCGACATCCTCCTCCTCAGCCATCAGCTGAACCCTGACATCCCACAGCTCTCTCCGTGGCAGCTGGATCATAGTCCCATCATCTAGCGTTACGTCTAGTAAGCCGTAAGCGATCTTGGACGGCAGCTGGGCCAGCAGATCAGCGAGCTGGTGGTGAGTCGGCGGGAGCTGAGGTTTTCCCGGGACTGGAAATGCGCTTGCAGCCGGAGCAGGCGCTGGCTTGGGGGCAGCAGGTGCCGTCTCATCATCTGAAATGTCGTCGCCGGCAAAGCCAAAGGAAAAAGACATGATGGGCTTCGTCTGTGGTTTTGAAATTTTGAGGGTTTGCTTCACTTGAAGCCGTTTGACAAGCAGGAAAAGTTGTGAGTGTGTGCACTGTGCAGTGGGGCAGAAAAATTGGCGTTTCGACGTACCGGGCACTGTGCTTGAGAATCTCGTCAACGATGCCATCTTTACCGTCACTACAATTCTCGACTCGTTATTTGAAAGCCAACAACAACCCCAAACACCTTTAAAATACTGGTGTATAGAGTCAATTCGTGTATCTGATTTCTTCTACATACACAGAAACTCGAATTACAATGCGTCCGTCAGTCTTGAGGCTAGCATCCGCCGCCAACACCCAGCGTGGGCTGAGGCCGAATCCAATGGCCCTGCTTCCTCCCGTCCACCTCTACCGCCGTCTCCTCCGTGCTCACCGCAAGCATCTACCGGCTGAGATGAGGGTTCTCGGAGACGAGTACATCAAGGCTGAGTTTAGGGCGCACCGCAAGGTGGACAATCCAGCCCATCTGGTAAACCAACACATTATTAAGCCTTGAATCCATTGGGCACATTGACTAATAGTTTTACAGATTGGCTTCTTGACAGAGTGGCAGCTGTATGCCCAAAAGATTGAGGGTGACTCTTGGGTGGGTGATAAGCTGGATGAGCAGAAGCTCGCAAAGATGAGTGGTAAGTCTCATGATACATCTTCAACGATTTGATGCTGACAGTGTGCTATAGATGAGCAAATACACCAGCTGTACGAATTGATGCAGGCGATCCAGGCCAGGTCCAAGGAGGGCGGCGAGTCAGATTCATAGACATCTATTGTATTGTATCCAATCTGGACAAGAACCATTGTACATATATTAACCTTCTAACATCCATGTCTTCTATCTTACTGTATCATCCATCTATTTTCCCTCCAACGCCTCCGCAATCCAGGTCGCCTGAATGGCGCTGACCTTCTTTGCATAATTCTTGTTGGTATATACGTGCTCAAGAAACATGATGGCCTCTTTCTTCTGTCCATGCAGCACACTCGCAGGATGGATGGCGACAACATGTTTACCGTGAACGGTGACGAAGCTGCCATCTGGTGCCAACATTGCCGTCTTCAAAGCAAACCCTCGAAGGAAGCACTTGAGCACCTGCTCAGCTCGCTCTGGAGAAATGGGGACAAAGGGTTGAGGGTCCTGTGGAGGAGCCTCGTCCAGAAGTTTCTCCCTGAGGCACATGCCACGGAGTTGCCTCCGAATGTTCAAGGCCTGTCTCATGTTGCGCATGTTGATCTTTCGTTGTTTGCACCAGTTCACCCTGTCGGAGTTCTCAGCCGTGTACTGTTGCATCGTTGTGAGATACGTGATGATGTCTCCCTCGCGGCGCTGAAGCTCCTTTCTCGATGCCTCAACTTCCTCCTGTGCTTCTTCGGATTGCACACTTAGGAAGATGTCTTCTCCGGAGGTGATGCAGGATATTATGTCGATAGCCTCGGTAACGCAGTCAAACTCGGGCTTTGCAGCAGCGAGAAGGACCGCACCCATTGGCGCTGAAATAGGGAAACGGGCCATGGTTTCACCAACACTCGTGATGGTTCCGTCGTCATTCAGCGCTCCGAGGAAGTGTAGATGAACCAAGGCCTTCTCGATGGCCTCCGTCTCTGGGGGGTCCATGAGAGGAAAGGCAAGGACATCCTGGATACCTCGTGCTTTCATGGTCAGCACAGCCCCAAGCACATCGTTTCGAAGAATCTCTGGGAGATCCGATTCTTGAAGCGACTTGAATGCCTCTTCTGTATACAGCCGAAAAGACTTTCCTGGACCTTCACGACCAGCTCGGCCAGTTCGCTGCACAGCAGATGATTTAGAGATTGGCTTGGCGAGAAGAGACTCCATGCCCAGTCGTGCTCGATACTGCTTCACCTTGGCCTTGCCGCAATCCACCACATATCTGACTCCAGGCACAGTAACCGAGGTCTCGGCAATATTTGTTGCCAGAACAATCTTTCGAGTGAAGGACGCTTTGACTGGCAAGAAGGCTTCGCGTTGGGCATCCATGGACAGCTGGCCGTAGAGAGGAAATACCTTGACCTTGGGGACATTGGATGCCAGTGTGCCCGCGTATTCCTCGATCAGTTTCTGGGCCGACTCAATCTCTTCTTGTCCTGTCAAGAACGCTAGGATGTCTCCGGGGAGTTGTTCTTGGAGATGTATCTTGAACACGGTTTTGAGAAGAGCGTCCTGAAGGTCGGCCACCGGTCGTGGCTCGTGGGTGACCTCAACGGGGTACTGTCGTCCTTTGATCTTGAGAACCTGGAGAGGATTTGTGTCCTGGATCTTGGGTCGAATATCCTTGAAGAACTCCTGAATGCCTTCCACATCCGCTGTTGCACTCATGATAACCACCTTCAGAGGAATACCACCGCGACCTGACAGATCCCCAGATAGGATTTGCTTTAGAAATCCAACGAGAAGATCGACATCCAAACTCCGCTCGTGAATTTCATCAACAACAATGGCGCTGTAGCTCCGAAGATTAGGGTCGCGCAGAAGTTCCTGGAGCAACATTCCTTCTGTCAGGAACTTGATCCTGGAGCCTTTCGGAACCTGATGATCGAATCGAACCGAATAACCCACCAGTCCGTCTGGCCTTCCTTTCCCAAGAGGCGTGCCGGCTTCTTGGGATACTCGATGGGCCAAGGTTGTTGCAGCGACTCGTCGAGGCTGCGTGATGGCAATCATTCCTCCCACAGAGATTTCATCGTTGGAGTCTGGAAGCTTGACCCTCTGACGCCTGCACCAGGACTCCTGGTAGAGGAACTGAGGAACCTGGGTACTTTTACCCGAACCTGTCTCACCAACTAGTACAAGCACATCGCTGCCTGATTTACGCAACGCTTGTTGAATCTCTTCGCGATACTGCCAGATGGGGAGCTCTTTGCGGGTCTTGAGCAGCTTTGGATCTTCCCGGCCTCGAAACTTGTCATTGTTGCGATCCTTGAAATTTTTCTTGGGCTTGGGAAATTTGCTATCCTTGTTATCGGAAGATTCGGTGTTGCTTGTTGTCTTGGGAGTTGAGTCTTCTGGTGTTGCGGTTGAAGTTGAAGTTGGAGGTGTGATCTTGGCTGGCTTTGGGGCTGGCGCTGTGAGATATCCTTCGAGAGAAATGGCCTTTCCTCCTATCGTGAGAGCATTTGGATCGGTCTTTGTCTTTCTCCTCTTGGAAGGGCGCGTGGCCGTGGGTTCTGATGCCATTTTGCTTGTTATTGGTGTGTTCTTGGATTACACTTGTTGTTTGTCTTTGAGTTGGGAAATTTTTAGTTGCACTTGGTGAGAGACCCTGGTACAGTGCCAAGTAAGTGGCACTGTGCACTCACCACCACAAGGCCGTCGCCTCTATGTACATCCACAAGGAATGGAGGGCTTGATACATTCTGGTAGAAAACTGGCCCAATGGTATTGATAGGGTTAGGAACTTTAACGATCCTCGAATTTGTATTATTAATGCAGTATGGTGTTCAAAAGATAAGCCCATCTGTTGTCTTGATGTGCTCAGTCTCTTGATGGCTTCAGTAAATGAGAATCCCATGCGCCTCATTTATTCGTCAAAGTACAAAACACACGCTCTCTAAATCGTACTGTAACTTGAAGACTGCCAATACCTGGCCCAAAAAGCCTCCGGGAACTTTCCATTTACCCTCTTCCTCCAGTCTCGTTCCATTGCAATGATTACCAGTGGAACTTGGCGAGGCGATTGGCAAAGCAGACGCCAGCCTCGAGACAAGTCAAAGCCCAAGATCCTTCGGTTTTATTGCAAATTTGTTCTTACAGTTGGTCCAGAGTTTGTTTTCTTTTGTCTGAACGTGTGCCAAAGTGCACGTCTTGACTGTATCAACTCTGTAGTCGCCCAATAGTCCAGACAAAGCCCGCCACAATGGGCACATTAGTCGAGTCGTGCCCGTCCTCGGCGGCTCTAAAAACCATTTCTATCGTGAGCATTATCGGTAGCCCCTTAATTGATGCGGGCCAAGCGCTCTCTGTTCATCCTCGTGGCGTCATCAACAGCATCGCTCTATTTGTGAGGTTAGTTCTGGTTCCGCGAGTGACATGAGAGAGAAATCCACTTGCCTTGTTCATAATACGATCGATCTGCTTGTTCTGCGCGTCAACCTCCTTTCCAATGGCTCTGCCAACCATGTTCATCATCGACACTTGGCCCTCCAGCTCGTTGATGCCATCGTCAATCTGGTCTTCAAGCTCATCTGCACCCTCCTCGTCGTCGAGGTTGAACTTTCCATAATCCTTCTTGCGAGCTGGCCCTCGTGCTCGGCCCGCGGCACCCACTTCTCGGAAGTTGGACTCCATACGCTGGTTGGCTTGGAAACCGTCACGACGGGTGGCTTCTCGGGCGTCTCGCTCAGACCGGTGACGTGCCATGACCTCCTCATCGGCCTTCAACTGGCGCTGCTTGGATGTGAATGGGTTGCTGACATGAACAGCAAACATGCTTCCGTTCAGAGTCTTGAGCTCCGCAGCTCGGTCCTGGGCAATTTTGTTCTGGTTGGCAGCGAGATCGAGGTGCTTCTCGGTGTTGTTCAATCGTTCGCCCTGAGCACCAAGACGAGCTAGTGTAGCGCGACCGACCTCGTTCGCCTGTCGAGCCATCTGGACTGAGCGGTTGACGGAAGAAGCACTCTCCTGCTGAAGTTGTCGCTTCTCTTGCAGGATAGCCTGGTACTCTGCTTCTTCCTGTTCCTCGGCGGTCAACTGGCGCTCCTCTCCATAGCCACCATATGAACCACCGTCTGCTCCTGGCTGCCCATAAGCTCCGCCTTGGCCGGGCGTCTGCTTCTGAGCCTGGCGCTCCTGGGCACCGGAGAACAGAGCGTCGCGGTTGTCATCGGGCTCGCTGGGACCAAACCCGCCATAACCACCAGGGCCTCTAGCAGCGGCGGCTGGGGCAGGGCTGTTGTATCGGTTCTGGCTGGGCGCATCGCCATATCGGTTTCCACCGTAACCACCACCAGATCCGTATCGATCCGCGCCGTAGCCGCTCGGGGGTTGCGAGGGGGGACCTCCGGGTCCGGGTGAAGGAGCACCGTAGGGGTTGGGAGCCTGAGGGGCAGGGCTAGGGCCGCCGGGGCCACCAATGCCTGCGCGGGCTTGTTGATAAGGAGTCATATTGGCATATTTCGCTTCGTCGGCGTAGGGATCTTTGCCTCCTTGCTTGGCGTAGGGGTTGGAAGAGTTGGAGGAGACGGACTGAGACGACTTCTTGCGACTAAAGAGGGCATGACGGTTGGCGTCGTCGCCGTCATCGCCCTTCTTTCCAAAGCCGAACTTCTTCATGGCGGGAAGGTGAGAGTCGTGTGGGTATGGATCGTGATTGATGTGTTGGTCGAAAGAGATAAGGTTGTTGAAAAAGAGAAATCAAGAGGATAGTGAAGAGCTGAAAGGAGGAGATGATGGTAGCGCTACCTTATGAGAGGACTGACCGATGGACGGGAGAGTGGACCCTGGCCTGGCGGGCGGTGTCCCCCCTCCTCCACTCGGGCTGGTACAGGTTGTCATGCATGTACTTGTTAGCGGCGCGGCCTTTCGTTTCGGGGATGGGTCAGGCGCCAGTCAGGCGTCCCAGGCCTGCAGTGATGGGATTCAGCATGCCAGCAGGCTCCAAGTTACAGGCCGGCCTGGCATCTTAGTAGGCGCCCAACAAGCGCCCGAAGGCGAAATAGAAGCCACCGTTAAACTGGAACCTAGATGGACCCTTCAATTCCGACCCCCTGGTCCTACAGCCACAACCTGGAACCCCTCCATGCAGTTTATGGATCCTTAATTCCATGCGGGCACTCGTCTTTTCGTGGCTTTTCGAAGAATGTTTAGACCTCCTGGCAAGGAACTTGCCCTCAGGATTCTAGATTGATATTTTGCACACTAGTCGACGTCATTCAGGCTTGCGAGTGGCCGCCCAAACAGGGTGGCTCAGCGCTTTCACTGCGTCAGCCAGTGGCGGCGCCCACGTATGCCAGTCAGCTTGAGGGTGGTATTTTTATCGCTGCTCTGGCCCAGTCAGGCTGACAGGAAAGGACTTTGGATTCAGCTCGGTTAAGCCATTTTGATTTATTGGATGGCTTAATGGAAAGTGAAAACCGACCCGAGCTGTTCCCAACCTGGAGTTTGGAGTTGGTATGAGACAGTGCTCATGTTCCGACACAGTTTCACCTATGGAGGGGGAGTGGATATGCATTCCTCTGTGTGAGGTTGATGAGCGCATAGATTTTAGAATAGAAGTATTCGAGAGAGAAAGCGAAGCTTTTTAAGTTGCTGCTTCATTATATTCTACGAAGTTAGTCTGATACCTTCCTCGCCTTCCTAGATTTCAGATGAAAGGTACTTTGGAGAATCGAGGTGTTTTGCGGGGGAGTCAACTTATGCAGGAGTCTGGGCCGCAGAAATACCACCAGTAAGCTCAGAATGCCCTCAAGATGAATCTTCCTCCACGGATACTCCCAGGCATTTGTGCAACTTGAGTATCATTATACCAATCAAACAACACCCAATGGCCTGAATTGCAAACTCTATTAACGAAATGATATCACGTGCCTTCGCTGCGAAAATGGAAGGAGTTTAATCGCACCCAGCTCCAGTCAGCCCACTGAGTGGGGGGTTGCCTCAGTCGCTCGGCAGTGGCTGAATCCACTGAGGGCCCATCAGAGACCCACCCGGGAGCCTTCTGAAGGTTCCCAGTGATGAAGGACCATTGAGGCAATCACGGCACCCCAGGTTCTTGCAAAGCTCTCGTGATTGGCTGCCTGGCCGATGCGTCACCTCTGACTCGCTTCCTTCCGACTCGGCCAGCCGGGAAACACGATCCCGTCTAGAATTTCCTCCATTAACACGCAAGGTCGCCGTGTAACTGTTGGATATTGTTTTCGAATTCGACACTAAACACCGTCACTTTGCTTGAGCCGTACCTTTCAACCTATTCAGCATTCACAGTCGGCGTCATGCCTTCCTTCTGACCTGGCAACTGACCACGTCCCTCCAACCTTTCTTGGAGTCGTGATCAACGCATCCATCACGGCCGCCTTCTCACACATCGATATATCTCCTAAGGAGTCAACAAGATGATAGTCCGAATACAGCACAACCTCTATTCTTACTTCATTGGATATCTCGCCCTGCAGTCATTATTACTTTTACAGCGTACCTCAATATCAATATCTTGAACTTATCTACGTCCTTCTCACTCGACCCCTGAGCCTCATCTACCCACTCCGTTGTGGTCATGGCCTCCGTATTCACTTACGATCCAGACCCTCCGAGGGTCTCATCCCCCTGGCTGCTCCCGAACGATCCCAGCAAGGAGGACAATGAGAATAGTCTTGGATCAACGACCCCTGGCTCAGCCCAGGACGTTCAGCCAGGCTTGTTGTCGGAGTATGGGGTCACTAAACTCGAAGCAGAGCCCCAAGAAGGGCCAACTGAGTATAAGCTTCACCTGCTTCTTCGACCTAGAAGGGTATTCAAGAACATGAGTACAGCTGGCCAGTCCCGCAACCCTCGGCCTGCGAAACCATCGACGCCATCTCCAGCTGCCTCGAGCCAGCCCCGACAGGAGAGGCTTCAGCATCTGACAACTCAACTCCTATGGAGGCTACAGCAGTCCTCTCCGTATCACGCATCGAGCTCTAAGGAGCTGGCCCTTCCAAGGCTACCAGATGACAATGTCGACCTCACCACTCCCGTCAAGCTGAACAGTCTCATCCCAGGGCTTGAGGAATCAAGGGGTGCCCTGTACGAAATTGGTGTTGCTGATGATGGTACACTCATTGGACTTACGAAAGACGAGATGGACGAAAGCATTACAACCCTGAGAGTCATGGCTGCGAGCTTGGGATGCTCTGTTGAGGTTGTCCGCATGGTCATTGTAGGAGATTGCGAATGGGACGAGTCAGCAGAGCTGGTTGACAACTCTGCAACTGAGCCTGCCACTATCACCCGAAGTGGCAAGTTGTGGGTTGCCGAGGCACTCGTTATGCCGAACTTTGGTTTTGTCGATGGGGATGACGCTTCAACTTCCCAGTCAGGGAGATCAACAGGGGAGGCCCTTACTGTCCCCAGCCGCGGCAGTTCATCTACGCCTCAGTTAAGGGTCACATTCACCGGTCCCACGACATCTGGCAAATCAAGCTTGTTGGGCACGCTATCAACCGGGACTCTCGACAACGGCCGTGGAAAGAGTCGTCTCAGCTTGCTTAAGCATAGGCATGAAGTTGTCTCTGGACTGACCAGCTCCATAGCCCAGGAGCTCATCGGGTACAAGGACCATTCCATCCTAAACTATGCTCATGGGAATATCGAATCGTGGGTTGATATTCACGACTGTTCCGAGAATGGTCGCCTTGTCTTTGTTTCTGATTCGGCCGGCCATCCAAGGTATCGTCGCATTGTCCTTCGCGGTCTCATGAACTGGGCGCCACATTGGATCATCCTCTGTCTTGCTGCAGATGATACAGAGTCGGCTTCGAAGGGCCCTGGCGCGACGTCGTCGGCGCAAGATGTCCTCGGGGCTGCAGCAGCGGGTGTTGACCTAGTCAAAGCCCATCTGACCCTGTCTCTCAAACTTGGTGTTCCCATGGCCATTGTTATCACCAAGATGGACCTCGCTTCCAAACCAAGCCTGGCGAGGACCATGACCAAGGTTCTAACTGCCATTAAGGAGGCCGGGCGTGTACCCAAGATCTTGCCGCCTGACCAAAAGCAGCATCGAGAGTTGGAGAGTGTCCCTGAAGAAGATCACAACAAGGTTAAGGAGGTGTTGAGAGGTATCTCGGAGAGTGGAAAACACACTGAGATCATCCCCATTGTGCTTACAAGCGCAGTCAAAGGGAGCGGCATTGGTCTCATGCATGCTTTACTGGAAAACCTACCTCTGCCACCTGCTCCTACGGCTCGTGACTTTGTTGGCATGGTGTTGAACCCAGAGCAGCCCAAGTGCCTCTTCCACATTGACGACACCTTCACGTTGCCGGCTTCTTACAGCGTGTTGACAGGAAGCTCTGGAAAGCAACCAGAGCCAGGCATTGTGGTCTCCGGGCACCTTCGATTTGGCCGGCTCTCCGTTGGAGACAAGATCGTCATTGGACCGTTCCCATCTGAAGAGGACGACCCTCGTGGCTCAACTCCAGAGGATAGGCCATCGCCTGGTAGCTACGGGCTATCAATATCGCACCCATCTTCGGCAGAGTTGGTACGCATCGCCATGAAGAATGCCGTTTCAGCTTCAGCTATTGCTGGAGAGTGGCACGATGCACAGATTGTGAGCATCCGCAATCTTCGGTTGCCAGTTTTGACCCTTGAGGCCGGACAAGCCGGATCGATTGGACTTGTAATTCATTCATTGTCGAATGGGCACATGAACGGCAACTCTGGGTCTTGCTCACCGGCCGAGGTTCCTCGCATCCGCCGCGGCATGATTCTAGCAATCCCTTCCAAACACATGGCAGACACTGGACTGAAGCTTCAAGCGGCAAGCGGATTTACAGCAGTCTTCGGTGACCCGGACGCTCGGATGCTGGCCGTTGGCTCGTTTGTGAATATCTACATTGCGAGCGTTAGGACAGTTGCACGTATCCGTCGAGTCACTCGCCAGGATAAAGACTGGGAAGCTGGCAACGTGGCCACAGACGACATGGAGGACATTTTCAACCTCAACGAAGATGTCGAAACCGAGAGTAACAAGACAGAGTCTGACCAGTCGACGGGTGGTACCGAGGTTTCTTTGGAACTATTGAATCACCGAGAATGGATCGAGATGGGGTCGCGTGTGATATTGATGGAAGGTGGATCTCAGGATAAATCTGGGCTTGAGGGTTTTGTGGGAAAGGTTGTCGAGATCATTGATTAAGTTATTGAGCGAAATTGTTTAGTTAGTATTGTTGTTCTCGGCGTTTGTATTCTTGTATATTTGTCTTTTGCTTAGTTGATATTACGCAATGTCATTTCTTCGACGGAGGATGGTCTTGAATCATTTGCTTAAAAGGTTTCTCATTATAACTCCTAAGACGCCATGTATATGCTCAACTCCATAACGAACCGCCCTAGGCTCGGACCAAACCATAGAATAACGTCCATGTCAAGACGAAGCCGGAGATGCCGTTGAGCATGCCGCTGATCCAAAAGTCAAAGAAGCCGCGGTAGAAGCGAGATGGGTCGAGGGGAGCGTGGCCCTTGGGGATGGACTCGGGGGCGACCTTGAGGAAATAGAAGAGGAGAGTGGTGATGAAGGAGAAGACGAAGTAGATGAGGAAGCCGTAGTATGATTCGAGGCCAAGGATGCCAGCACTGACGCCGAAAAGGGAGGCAGTGAGACTGTGGAGGTTGGAGAGGGCCTGTAGGGAAGGAGTTAGCAAGATAGATCTCGAATTATGCCATGGGAAGCTTAGGTCAATCAACAGGAGGTGAGAACGCACCTTGGAGTTGTGGATCACAGACTCGGGGACGACGGGGTTGATCTGGAGCACGCGTTCAGACGACGACATTGTGGCGGATGGAGATGGGACAAGTCGAGTTGGTTTTCGTGAGCCGCAGGGAGAGGGCGATTGCGTTGGACGTCTTAAACGTATGCGAGGCTGTGGCTGAAGGTAGGCAAGGCTGATGCAGTCGGTCGCTCTCCGTCTCAGATGAAGCTATCCAACGCGCTGGAGCTTGGTTGCTTGCTTCATTGATGACAGCGTGTCGGTCCGACCGTGTCTCCGAACTCCGGGGTGGAGCTTCCATTTGGAATCAATGCACGGGACAAGCCAACCCCGGAGTTGCACGGAGTGGAGATACGTACCCGGAAAGAACCCCTCCACGGAAAGCTTGCGATGATCCAGTTTCTCGGCGGGGTCCCTTTTTTCGAATGAATGCCTGTTTGGACTTAAAGAGTCTTGACATCTCGCTGTGTTTCTCGGATCAGTCTGTCAATTCTTCCACCGAGATATACACAACGACAATGGAACGCAACTTTGAGCCTCTCAAGAATGACCTGTTGCTTCGCGCAGCATGGGGTGGGTTGCCCATGTGAAACCTGACCATGGGAGAGCTTTGTGCTGAGAATTGCCGTGTTGCGAACTAGGCCAGACCGTTGAGCGCCCGCCCATGTGGGTGATGAGACAAGGTGAGAGAGAGAGAGAACCGCCGTTGGAATTTAGGCATGTATGGAAGTTTGACTGACTCAATTGGGCGCCAGCCGGCCGTTACCTCCCTGAGTATCACGAGGCCAAGGGCAACCGGGACTTCTTCGAGTGCTGTCGCGACCCCGAGGTTGCCACGACGATTACACTGCAGCCTGTCCAGCGCTACGCCGGCCTCATCGACGCGGCCATCATCTTCTCCGACATCCTCGTGATCCCCCAGGCCATGGGCATGGTGGTCGAGATGGTTGACAAGAAGGGCCCGCACTTTCCGAGCCCGCTCAAGACCCCCGACGACGAGCAGTACGGCCAGGTTCTCGCCAAGAACGTTGATGTTGCTGCCGAACTCGACTATGTGTACAAGGCCGTCACGCTGACGCGCCAGAGGCTCCAGGGACAGGTGCCGCTGATCGGCTTCTGCGGTGCTCCTTGGACTCTGTTCTGCTACATGGTCGAGGGTGGTGGCACCAAGCTGTTTGCGCAGGTTAAGACGTGGATCTACAGATACCCCGAAGAGTCGAAGAAGCTGCTGGCAAAGATTGCTGATATCTGTGTGGATCACTTGGCTCTGCAGGTCAAGGCTGGTGCTCAGGTAAGAGAAATGAGTATATTTACTTGTATATCTTCGTGCTGCTAACTCGGACGTTGCACAGTTGGTCATGGTGTTTGATTCCTGGGCGGGAGAGCTCGGCCCTGCATCTTACCGTCAGTTCTCGGAGCCCTACCTCAAGCGCATTGCGGAGAAGCTGCCCGAGAAGCTCAAGGCGCTCGGTCTGGACAAGGTGCCCATGACCGTGTTCCCCAAGGGCGCGTGGTATGCGCTCGACTCGGCGTGCGACCTGGGCTACAACGTGGTGGGAATGGACTGGCTGCACGACCCCAAGGAGGCTGTCAAGATCCGCGGAGATCGCAACATTGTGTTCCAGGGTAACGCCGACCCCGGAGTTCTGTACGGCACCAAGGAGGGCATCACAACGGCCGTGCAGGAGATGGTTGACGGGTTCTGGGTTGGAAACAAGGGCTGGATCGCCAACCTCGGTCATGGTATGTTTTTTTTCCGTTCGGCCTTGAACATGAGGAGTTGGAGCTGACAGGACTAACTAGGAATCACCCCTGGCGTGAATCCCGACAACCTCAAGCACTTCTTTGAGGAGGTTCATCGTCTGACCAAGAAGAACTGAGTAGGTAGCAAGGGAGCCCTAGCTGTGTCGGGAATATGGCGCGATATCGAAGCACCATGAAATCTCGCATCATGAGTCGCATCATGAGTGAGTCCTCTGACACTAAAGAGTCATGTAAGCGGATGTATCAATGATCAAGTCACCAAGAGGAAGTAAAACAGGGATAGACCAAAAAAAAAAAAAAAACCACATGTAATATAGCAGAAAAAATGGCGATCATGATATATTAAAAAAGAAAGAAAAAAATCATCTCTCTCCAATTCATCACAACCCGCAGATGGGTATCTTTAGCTTTTCCTCCCGTCAAGTTTTATTCATTCATTCCTGTCCGTTCGTCCGTACTCATAAATGGCCTGACCATGTCTTATCCCATTGTCAAAGGCGCCTAGAACACCAAGCTCGAAAATAGATTACGCCCTCCCAAAAACCTCTCATGCAAGGGAGATGCCCACAGAATAAAATAATTCAAATGTGTGTGTGTGTGTGTGGTGAAAAGGGGGCGTTTTCTAAGCCTTCTTGCCAAAGAGCCAGTTCTTGCCCTTTTGGGCGAGGGACTCGGTGGCGGGAGCATGCTTGACGGGCTCGTCATCCTCAGCGATGGCGTTGTCGTTGCTTGGTCGGCGAGTCAGCTCCTCGTCAGAGTCCTTGAAGACGTTGCCAGCGCCGCCGCGGCCAGCGTGCTGAGCACCAGCAGAAGGACGTCGGAAGACACTTTTGTATTCAGTTAGCATATGTGTTGTTGAAATAGTGCGGGGTGGAGAAGGGACTTACGCCTCAACGTCCTGGCGCTTGCGAGTCTCGCGGGGGTCGTCGTTCTTGGCCATGTTGCCAGTTCCGCCACGGCCAGTGGTCACAACAGAGCCCCTGAGGACAGGAGTCTGGAGATCGGCGGGGTTCGTCTTGGGAGTGTGAGCAGTGTCGGCCATGTTGCCGGCACCACCGCGTCCGTGAGAGGCGATCATTGTGATGGGAAGTGATGAGAGATGTAGTGGTGATGGGTAGGTGGTCTACAGCTGAGATGTGTGCTGTAGGTGCTTTCTATTCAGGGACTCGAGCGCTGAATGTTCAGGGGTAGATGCACTGAGGGGTTGTAAGAGGGGTTGTATGTGAACAACGGAATTGTTGAGTCAAAGCAAGAGACAGAAGATGTTCTTGGGGGAAGGTGGTGTGTAGAGTGTGAGCTGAATGAGACCGAAACCGAGGAGGACGGTCAAGCCTTTTAACGCAATGCCAAGTCTTGGTGATGTCGTTATTTTTTGCAATTTTTTTTTCTCGGTCCTGGGCTTTTCTAGGATGTTCCCATGATCAACCAGAAAAAAAAATAGAACCAGGTAAACGCCTGCTAACTGCGGGCTTTTTACCCACCCGCCCAGTGACAGTGTGTGTGCCATGGAGCTTCTACGTGCGGTCTAGCGAAGTCTAGGCCAACTCCGAAACTGGGCCACTAGGCCACCCGTCCCGTGGAAGTGTTCGACACAGTTGCCCGATTTTTCAGCAGCTTCTCGCCTTGATTATTGAGGTTATTCACACGAGATTTTGATTACCGACCTTCGACAGCCTCATCTTTCTTTTTCTTAATCTTTCGCACTTTTGCTCGACTTCAGCTGGATGTTGCCCGGAATGAGAAGCGACAAAAAAGTCTCTTGAGGCTCCTTCTGGGCGACAAGTCGATGGCAAGTATATGCATGTACCCGGCGCCAAGGGCTTGGTTTGTGCCACCGGCCCCAGGCCTAAAAGGCCGCGCTGGCACGCCCGCCAGTCGTTGGGATCTGGGTACGTAATGGTTTTTCATGTCCTCGTGGTGCCCCAGACTCTTGGCGCGGTACCCAAGGGTACGAAGTCCATACAAGCTTTTTGAGGGGACCTGCCAGAGGGAGCCTGAGCGTCAGTCGCCTCAGCTGGGTCTCGTCTCAGTGATGAGGGGTTGGTGGTCACTTGATCGATTTCAGAGTAGGTCACCCGTCCGTCAGATATCACCGCCTCCTCATCTCCCTCTGCTGCTAGCTCTCAGGGGGACCTTGTGAAATTGGCCAATAACGCCGGCTGGTATGCTAAGCTGGTTGCCCTCTTGGGGAGCTGAGCTGCTTTGCCGTCCTTTTCCCCTCCGGAATGAATACCGCAAAGGGCAATTCAGGGCATCTAGCTCTCTCCTCTCTACGCCCACATGAGCAGAAGAAGCAGCTTCATTTTCCAGCCCAACGAAACTACAGCCATGGAATGCATCACGTTTACCAAGTTTTAATTGCTCGCCAAGGCCCACTGCCAAGAATCCCCCAGCTTCGCCTTCGCCGGGCTCCGAAACCCCATCCAAATCCCAGCGGCGCTCGCTCCCGCTCTTGCGGCGTCCCTCGCGTCCGATTTACTTTTGCCTGGCCGTGGCCGTTTTTGTCCTGGTGGCCCGGGCAATCGATGGCCTAATCTGCTACCGTGCCTCCCGTCAGCCTCATCACCGCCATCTCTGACTCTAATGAGTTGCTCACATGCTAAACCCCGACACCCCGATCATCGTGGCTCATGACCATGGCTGACATGACAGACCCTGCTTGCCCTTAGCTTGCTATGACGTTGCATTCCGGGACCCCTGGTTCCCGGCAATTCGATAGCCTTTTGCTGCTTTTCAACGCCCTGTCGATCCTCTTCTCCTCAAGAAACTTTGCCGTCACACACTCTTTTTCGGTAAAGTTAATTCATGGGCGCCCTCTTTCTCACTTCCCTGCGAGACGATCAAGACGAAGCCGTGAGCAATGGTAGAAATACCCATCAATTAACTGCCTAACCAACTCCGACGCAGGCATTTCTGCCTTGCAATTCACCAAACAGACCCCAATCTACCCAGGGCCAGACCCAGTTTAGAACATCTTCTAACAAGATGTCATTGTGCAATGCTGCACACACGACTGCCGTTTGGCCACCTCCTTGGCAGCCTTTGCTCGAGGCCGGGACGCACTCGCGCCTGCCCGTTCCTCCCATCAATAAGCTTTGCTAAGCCGTCGTTTCTCATGCCCCTCATCGGCCAACCTTCAAGTTGTCGCCGAAGGGGGCGCCAATAGCTCACATCATATTCCTCCTCTTCAATATCGACTACAGGCGCTGATACCTAATCTTCAAAGTCGTTTCCTGCATCGTCGCCCTTCACATTGGTGTCCTTGCGAATGGGAATCTTGATTCCTTGGCCCGCAAATGTCTTGCTCAGTGGCGTGCTCTCGCACACACCAGGGAACTTCTTGGCCGAATACACATTGAAAACCTCGCTGAAGCACGAGGATAGTATCGGTGCCCGACCCTGATTAACATTGGATCCTGGGCCCCCTTGTCCAGCGGGCCGTCCAACATTCACAAACGAGAATCTCAGCCTAGGATTCTCAAGTCAGCATATTTGGATCGCATGCTGTATCCGGTTGCGCTTCTTACCTGAAGGGTCCTTCTGTCCGCACGCTTAGATCCTGAAGGACGAACCAAATGCCCAGCCGATCATGGATGTCGCAGAGACGGAATGCGCTCGCAGCCAGGCTACCAATCAGATTTCTTGTGAACATCTCTTGAGGCTGGCCTCCCACAACAGCCATACGGGTGAGCGCATTCGGCTCCTGTCCGTAGCCGTTGCGGAATGGCGCCATGTTTGCTTGACCTGGGGGAGGTGGAACAGGAGCATCGTTACCATAGCCGCTGCTGTGTCGCGGGAAGTACTGCTGGGGTGGTCCGTATGAACTGCTGGAGGGGTATGACGGGGCTATTCTTGTGTTAGCAGGTCCCGTTGACGCGGGTATTTGTTCTAAGCGAACCCACCTTGTCCATAGCCTTGCTGAACCGGGTAGTCCTGCACATAGCCCATGCCCTGTGATTGGCCATATCCCGAGTCACGACTAGGAGGAAGTCCTTGTTGTTGGTATGAAGAGGTACCCGGATCGGAATTGACGAGAGTTGAGTAGGTGTAGGTGTTCGAGGACGAGATGGAGCCAGTTCCCGTCGATGATCGGACAAGATTGACTTCTTGTGTGCCCTCCTCGTTCCAGAGGTCGACAGACAGCACAAACATGGTGTGATCAATGTCACTGCGCAGACATTGTTAGCTGGATGCAACAGAAGTCGAGAGCTTGCAAAAACACGTACTTGTAGTCAACCTCCTTCCCTGTTGCGGCGTCAATGATAACAAGACGGACACATGGCGGTGGTGTAATGGGCCGACGGTCCTGTGTCAGTCTGTTAGTCACAAGAATGGGGGTCGAGCAAGGTGAAGCAGGCTCACCTTATCACCAAAGCCGCACATACGCGCACGCCGAGGTTGCTGTACTACATCGAGACTATACAAGAGTGTTAGCGGAAGAGGTCCGTACAAGCAGACCGGATTTGGATCGCAACGAACCTGTACTTTCGGCCCGACCCTTCTTCAACTTTGGAGAATGATGTGGCCATCGACTGAGAGTGTGCATGTTGATCGGTTGGAGAAGGTCCCGCAGGGGGTGGGGGAGCTTCGTCGGGTCGAGGAGGGGCGTGTTGCTGCTGGTGAGGGTGCGGGAGCGGGTGTTGGCTTGGATGAGGAGGCTGTTGGTATGAAGCTGGAGGTGGAGGGTATGGCGGGAGTTGGGCTTGGTGATGGGGTGCCTGGTGTGGAGGAAGCGGCTGGTGATGTGGAGGCTGATGCTGCTGCTGCTGCGGATGGCCGTGAATTGGGTGCGGTTGGTGTTGAGGAGGAGGAAGGTGATGCTGATTCGGAGGCGGCAGCGACGGCGGGGGATGGTGTTGTTGGTATCCGTGCATGGGGGGAGCGTTGGACGAGTAGACCGGGGCGGCGCCGCCTGGTACGGGCATCCGCTGCGACATGTCGGACGGGTGGTATGCTGAGTTCATGCTGGTCGGTATGGGCGAGAGGAGAGGGCTGACGGGAGATGCAGCCAACAAGCTCCGAGTATATATAACCGCAAGGTAGGAAGGTATGTGGTAGAGTAACTGCTGCGATGCTGTGCGCGAGGGACGGGATGGAAGATGTGCGGTCGGAGGATTCGAGAGGAGGAGATGGAGTTGGAGCTGGCTGGCGGATGAGGAAGAGATGAAAGGATGGATGGATGGATGGACGGGGAGGGGATATAAGAGCAGTGAGCTCCGATGCTCCTCCCTCCAAAGTGCAAACAGCCAAGAAATCGAAGCAGAATAACGAGAAACCTATGGCCCAAAGACGCGAAGCCACCAGGAGAGGCCGGCGATATGTAGGTATGTCGTCGTCGCGCGGGCGGCGGCAGGTGGAGAACCAGAGGCCCGGCTGAAGGTAAAGTTGGAGTGGTGGTAGCTCGCAAGTGGCGCGGGCCGGGAGCGCTAAAAGTCTCGTCTCCCCTGCCGGTCGGTACCTTTGGTCCAGGGCTGGGCTTCAAGTGCGGCAGCCCAGTTTCCACTGGAGGAGAAGCAAAGCCCAAGCCCAACTGCAGGGCACGACGGACCCGAGAAAATCACGCCCCAAGCCCAGATTACCAGAAATCGACACAAGGTTAGAGACCAGTCCGACAACCAGGTTAGAGGGAAGCCGGAGCCAAGGAGATGGGCGAGGCTAAGATCGGAGCTGAAAAAGTCAACTTGTTCTTTGGGACGGGACGGGACAGGATAGGAAAAGACACTGGGTAGAGCTGGGGCAGAGCTGGGGCAGAGCTGGGCAGAGCCTCGAGAAGAAGGTTCTGTCGCTGGGGGTGTGTGGTCTCGGGGTTTAACAAGGACGCGAGAGGGCGGGTACACAGCAGGTAGTGTATTGTCCAAAAAGGATTATCATGTAATGAATGGGAAATGGGCAATGGGGAAATGGGAGGGCGGCGACAGGCAATTATCGCACAGGAAAAGCAAAGGTTGCATCCTGTAAAAGAAAGCAAGCGACATGATACAGTACAGCTCGCACGCACGCACCGGCACACGCACGGCAAGCACACACCATCCCCGAGCAAAGAGACCAATTGAAGAGATGCGAGTCACCGGCCCCCCTCAGGGAGTGCAACCCCAGCAGCTCGCCATGTTCGAGTTTGTCTCTGGTGCATCCATGTCTAAGTCATTTCGCTGTGATGTGGGATGTGATGACGGGAGCCTTGTTCAATGTCTGAGTTGGCACCTCGCTGCGACATGGCATCCATTTCACACTCAATGATTGCGGAGAAGAGCTCATCTTCAACAGCCCTTTCATTTCAGATGCCATTGTCTGGGCCCTTCGTGTATGTATGGAGGCATGTATGTCTTTGTGCGGGCGACCTATCGACGATACTCGGGGGGCCCCCATCCACAATGGATCCCCTTTGTCTCTGTCTGCAACCCAAGCCGCACCCGATCGACCTCGATCCCGACACCCGCGAATTGTCAACGGATCAAGAAACCAACCACCTTCCGCCAGGAATCGGCGCGGCGTAAGCAAGGACAAAGCCAAACCTCAGGTTGTGCCACCCGAGAGTGCCTCCTCAACAACATGGGCCAATTGAGTCTTGGTTGTGGTTGTACAGCAGATTGTTGTTGTCTCACGCAGTGTGGCATCCAAACAGCATTGTGCCCTCTTTTCACACTTGATCCCTCCGTCGTATATCATATTCGTATGGTACAGTACCGCGGTACTTCCCTTGCAAGTCCCTCTCGAACTGCCTGCTGGGTATTGACCACTCAAATGCGTGTTACTTGCTCGCCATCCCATTGGCGGCCCTTCTGATGCCGATAGCGTGGTGGTTTTGGTGGTACCTGGACGGCTCCTGGGTGGTAAACCCCAATTAGGACGCTCCGGCGAGCGATGCTGGCGCCACACACAGCATGCATGCCCCGCCATCATGTTGGACAGCCCCGCAATCGGAGTCATTAAAGTCACCACAGAATAAATTCCCCCACTACGAGTGAGTCGACGACTTGCGCCTACGACTTGACAAGAACAGAGGGGAATAGACGTCAAAACCTTTCAATCTCGAAGCCATGGATCTCGTCAACAGGTTGGTCAGGCCCGGTACTACTCTGGGCTCTGGGGGGCTCGAGCAATGCCTCCCAGAACCGCTATCATCGACCTGCAGACGCTGATGTTGAATCCCCTCCAGTCTCGAAGGCCGCCTTCTCTTTGCCGTGCCCAAGAGTGAGTCTACTTTCTGCACTACCCAAGGGTGTTCTAGAACTCTGCTGACTGACCTGTATCTAGAGGGCCGGCTCAATTCAGCCACACTCAACCTCCTTGAGGGTGCCGATATCCAGTTCCGCCGTGAGAACCGCCTCGACATCGCTCTCGTCAAGAACCTCCCAATTGCCCTCATCTTCCTCCCCGCCGCCGATATCCCCACCTTTGTCGGTGAAGGCCGAGTCGACTTGGGCATCACCGGATGGGACCAGGTCCAGGAGCACGATGCCTCAGTCCGCGCCTACAACCACATGCGACGCAGTTCGGTCGACCTCTCCGACACCGACGACAAGGTGGCCGGCTCCGACATGGTTATGGAGCTGGGCTTTGGAAGCTGCAAACTCCAGGTCCAGGTGCCCGAGAAGGGCCAGTACAAGACCCCCCGTGATCTGATTGGCAAGACGATTGGCACCAGCTTCGTCAGTCTGGCCGCCGATTACTTCTTGAAGCTTGAGCAGGGTGACGACACTGAGGGTGGCATCTCTCCTCGCAAGATGCGCACTAAGATTGTCGAGCTCAGCGGCAGTGTCGAGGCTGCCTGTGCCCTTGGTGTCGCCGAGGGTATTGTTGATCTTGTTGGTAAGTGATGGTATATATCCGCCTCGCGAGGCACCTTGTTGCTAACAAACCTTTCCAGAGTCCGGAGAGACCATGCGAGCTGCTGGTCTCAAGGCCATTGACACCGTTGTCGATTCCACAGCAGTCCTCATCAAGTCGAAATCGCCCTCCAACCCTGAGCTCATCGACCTCATCACTTCGCGCATCAGAGGCGTCATCACTGCGCAGCGTTATGTGCTCTGCCAGTACAACGTCGAGCGAAGCCGATTGATCGAGGCGACCAAGGTTACCCCTGGCAAGCGCTCAGCAACCGTCACTGCCCTCGATGAGGAGGGCTGGGTTGCTGTGAGTTCCATGGTTGAGAGCAAGAAGATTGCTCTGGTCATGGACGAGTTGACCCGGATCGGAGCTCAGGACATCCTGGTGCTCGACATTCACAACGCGCGCTAGAGTATCCATTGGATGGTTGGCGTTGGGGTAGAGGTATAGGCGGATTTGATCAACGGCGCTGGGATAAAGGGCAAATTGAATAGGTATATACACATACACAAAAGAAGGAAGTGAAGTGAGTAGGGGAGATGACGGTTGGCTACAAGCAGGTTGGATCTGCCGTCGATATAATGAGATATCCCATTTGAACTTCATTTCTTGAACCGAAACCGAGACCGAAGAGGAACGCACGCGGAGCTAAATACGAAGGATCGGCGGTGCATACCTGCGTCGTGAGGCGTCTCATCGTGGGACGCCTCATCGAGGGGCAGTGATGGCGTGGCTCTGCGAAGCTATTGAGATGATAATGCAAGGATATTGTTCAGAAGTCGTGGCGGAGCAAGTCGTCGCAATCTCAGCTGCGCAGTATCAGCCATTGAACAGAACAGCTTGAATGCTTCTTTTTGGGCTTACATGAGGCTTCCTCTAGCTAGGCCTAGGTTCAGGGATCGATCGGGAGCGTCGGGAATCTTTGGTGTGTGGGTTTTGGGCGCTCCTCCAACCACGCGATGACCTCACCAGGGCTGGAAAAGGTACGTAAGTGACGAGCCCCCGGGAGCCACAACCGCCTCATCATCCGTTCCTTTGTCTTGTATTTTATCAAGGGACGGCCATTCCTCCCCGAGGTGACTACTCAATCTACATACAACACACTCGTCGATATTTCTGCTGTGTTCAATCCATCATCATGGTCAAGATAGGCCCGCCTCGAGATGCCACTTCTGGCGAGCAACCTTCAACTCTCTACTCGGTGGGTCCCCCCCGTTGAGACATCAACTTCACTTGAGGTCATTGTACAGACAAGGAAAAAGACGTTTGAATTCAGACCTGACGATGATGAACTAATGGAGATTTTATGGGCTGGGTTGCTAACATGGAACCCAGCTCATCATGACACCCATCAATATCACGGTATTCCTTCTGTCGCTGTTCCTGGTTGATCTCCGCTATACCCAGGGCCGCATCAACCGTTATGGCGACGGCGACAACGGTGCTGGTCGGAGCTCTCGGTGGATTCCCCGGTGGTTCACCCAGCCGTATCAGCACATTGGGCACACTGATCACGATGCCCACGGCAGCTGGCACTATCACAGCAAGCAGAAGAAGCTGATGAAGATGGAAGCCGAGGAGGCCTTTCAGATGCGGAGCCACGTGCTCGTGCTCCTGGCCGTCATGGTGGTCCTTGGCATGAGCGCAGCCTGGTATCTCACAAGCCGTCTATATCACGGCGTCGTTTCCCTGGCGGCGGCCTCTTCGGACAACATGACGATGCCGCAGCCGGGGTTGTCAACATGATGCAGCTCGGAGATGGTCCGGATGGGTGATTTGACTCTGAAGGGCAGGAATGGCCTCAGATCCTCCTCCACTCGATGCAACACCATGTCGTACAATCTCACGCCTGCAGGAGATTTGGCATGTCCCTTTTCGCTTTAATTACTGCCCTGGGTGATCATATCGACGATCAGGATTGTCTCACATTGAGAGCAACGACGACGGCATCATCGGCTCTCCCCACCAACAATAGCAGCAAGGACACACAAAGTTGGTCTATTCTCTCATGTCACGGCTGCTCTTACCGATCAAACATCGATAAAAAAAAGCGACATCATGTTGGCTCACGAGACAGGGGACAAATTCTCAGGGGTCTCGGTGGGTCGTTATCCGTGTTTCGGATCCTGGACGAGTCAGTTGAGAAGAGCATGGGATGTATGTATGGAGTGATGATGATGATAATGTATTTTTGGCCCTGGAAGGATTCAAGGGTTTAAAAAAAAATGACAACTCTTGTTAAATCATCAAGTTGTCAATGAATGCCGAGCGCTTAAGCTCGGCAAGAAGTGAAGAATACACAAATAGTGTCAAACAAACAACGCCTCATGCTCGTAGCTATCCATATTCCAAGCCGGTCGACCTGCCAGAGATCCAAGTTGGCAAGCCCGAGAAGCACACAACACCCCATTAAACCCTAGAAACCGTTGTTCTCGAAAGAAACCATCGTCAAGCAATCATCCAAATCATCCTGTTCCCATAAAAAGACCCCGTCAAAAGTGTCGAGATCCGATGCGCTCCTCGACGCTGCCCCAGTAGACGATGGGTCTGGGCTCGAGGAGGCTCAGCTCGCTGCCAAAGCTCCTGCGCTCCTCCTCCATGTTCACCAGGGATGGCTGGCGGAGGATGATGTTGTTGATGGTGGCGGCAGAGGCCGAGAGCGTGGTGCTCGTTGACGAGTAAGAGCCTTGCGTGGCTGTTGACGCAGAGGAGCTGCGGCGGAGAGAGCTGCGAAGACGCGAGGGGGAGAAGCGAGAGGCCATGGTTTCGAAGCGGGAGTTGTGAGCCATGTTGATTGTGTGAGATGTTTTCTGAGAGTATGTGGTGTGATGTGGTGGGCTGGTGTTTGTGTGTGATTATTTCGGCGTTGATGATGGCAGCACTTTGTTGATTAATGAGTTCCCGTCTCAAGGTGGATGGATATAAATGACAACCAGTCCAGCAGTTGTCGTTGAGTTTTTTCAAAGAGCGAACGAGTCAAAGACAGAACGGAGAGGCGCAGCCTGTCGTGTAATCTGTCTTGGTCTCTGGTGTGTATGTGCGTACACAAGTAAAAGAACGAGTGAGGTTTATCTTTGTGAGAATACAAAGAGGCAAGCAACGACAACGAGGACGAAACAAATCGACAGAAAAGCAGCGGCTGTCTCCCTCTTTTATTCTTTATTAATAGCACCAGCACAGACGACAAAGATTGAAGCATGAACAAGACAAACGTCTTGCGCGTCAGGGCTCGACAGGGGACCATGGAATGTGGGCGCACGGGTTGTTTCAAGCTGGTCTCTGCGACCCCCCGGCTCCAGCAGCTGAAACACTCGCATCATGGACCCAACCTCCATCTTCAGGAACGCAAGACCTGTTGCTGCAGGATCGGGGGGCGGGGGACAAGGATCCTATCCTCGTCTCCTCTCTGGCTGCTGTCGCAGGCAACGGTTGATCAGACAGACAAAGACTCAGGTGGAGATTCCACACAGACAATCCATTCTCAACCGAGTTGCACCTGACTACCCCGTCCAGGCAATGACTGACAGATAGACAGACGCTATATTACTTTCTCTTACTGTACAGAACACCCACATGCGCCTCTATTTTGATCGACCCAAAACAATAGTCCCCTTCCTCTTACACACCCCCTTTTTTTTTTTAACAAACCTGTAACGCCGTGCCTGCTGTGGCTATGCCTTTGACACATTGTCCCTGAAAATGCCTCCATCCTTGCCTGTTTCATTCAAAGTAAAACTTCCTGACTACATAGCCGAACCTCATGCTCGTTCATCCCCCGTCCCGTCTCCATGGATCCTAGCGTGATCCTCGGTTCTCTGCTCTACGGACTGTCGCTCTGCGTAGCATGCTCTCGCCCCAGACTGATCCGTCTAGCATTCCCGAGACTTGTGGGGGGTTGTTGTGTTGGCTCTCACGTGCTGATGGCATCGAAGTTGGTGCTGGTGCTGCCGGTTGGTCGTGAGGATCATCCTCCTCAATCTCAAAGCTGAAAGCTGTGGGCTGACTTGTTGGAGCAGTCGGCGATGGCGGTGCCGCTCTGGGGAAGCTGAGAGGGTGACTCCACGACATGTCGTGTAATGATAGATCCACAGATCCCAGCCAGTTCCGTGGCTCCCCTGCGTCAACGCTTGACCTGCGTGACCCTGGTGACAGAGGAGAACGTGGTGCTCTTCCAGCTCCCTCGTCGTCGCTCAAGTCATTCTCGACCAGAATCTCGGGAATGTCCAGTCGTGGAATTGCCGTCATGCGTGCCGAGTGCTTACGCTGCATGTGTTTCTTGAACTGCCTTGAATAGTATCTAGGGCATTGTTAGTTCTTTAATTTGCCTGAGACTGATACGTCACCACCTACAGAGTATCAAAGAAGCCCAAAACTACACCTCGCCGGACCTGGTCGTCTACACGTTGAAGTCGTGCCCGACGTCGCAAGAATTCTTCCAGCCTAGAAAATGTTAGCATATATAACTCGACAAATGAGCATAGTCTCTCTCACCTCAAGCTCTTGTTGTCGCTAATGATGTTGTAATGAGCCAGTATCATAAGCACGCTTGTAAACGAAATGCCGCGGTCTGGGTCTGCAGTCACCAGAACTTCTTCGTAAAACGTCTTGAACTGGCGGCGCTTGTGTCGAATCTTTTCGACATCTAGACGGGCCAGGCGCTGGTTGAGCTTGTCCAGGTCAATTCCACTGAACGCACTCGTTGTCGCGATGGATGAGTGGTGCGTCAGTTTTGTTTCGTTGCGGATATCCTCAAGAATTGAGCCAACGCTGTCCTCGGGGTCGTAGATGCGCATCTGAAAGATTCCAGAGAGCTCGCCCAGCAAGCGAGGGAAAGCCGCCTTCGTGATGTATCCCGTACCCGCCGGGTCGACGCTGCGCCATGCCTCCTTGAATCGCCGGATTTCGTCTCGGTCAACCGCTGACATACCGCTCGAACGCTGGTACACGTAACTGAAGCTCTCATAGATGAGAGACACAAAGAGGTTGACAAAGATATACATGCTGACAATGTTCCAGAAAATGAAGAGGATTCTGGCCCATGATTTGCTGCCACAGTCGCTGTCGAAGAATCTATCCTCGTCAACACACAGTGGCGGCTCAATGTTGGCGTAGTCTTCCATGACTTGGTTCCATCCCTCACCGAGACTCATCCTGAAAAGCAGGATCAAGGCTTTGGGGACGGTTCGGAAGTTGATATTGTTGGTTCCGTCTTCGCCAAACCGCGTCAAACTGAAAGCTTGGGTCATTGCAATGGCAAAGACGAGGAAGAACACAAGCCAGGTCGCCAGCAGGTTACCAATCACCGTCAAACTAGCCGCCGCTGTTTTGAACAGCTGGTCGAGGGCATCGTTGCGAGGGATCAGGAGCAAGACAATTGCGACCAAGAACACCTTATGCAGCTGGACGTAAGTTTCCACTCTGGTGTCTGAGATAAGGAGCGCAAGAGTCGAAACAAAGGCTCCAAACACAATGAACAGAGAATATAGATCCCAAGAGCTTCGGCGGAATCGGGCCCAGCCCAGTCCAATGATACGGATTGTGATGTTGGCTGTGTATGCGAGAATGAAGGCAAAGAAGACAAAGTCACGAGCTCTCGTCCACCACTCTGGCTCCGAGGCGAACTCTGATACCAGCACGATCAAGTGCAGGACGAGGGTGATTGTGATGGTCTGGTACCACTTGCCCTTCTTTTCAATGGCTCTCTTGTGACACCACTTCTTCCAACTCGCCTCCGAGTCATCATATGAACTCTTGGATGGGGAGATCTGCCGCAAGATCTTTCGCAGCTCAAGCCAGGATCGTTGATCAGCCGTCAAGTAAGCCACACCTGTCTGCTCCGTGTAATTACGCATGAAGACGGAGATGAACAGAGTAAGCACGAAGACAGTTGCCAACAGGTTGAACACAATAAAGAAAACGGCATTGCCCTGTGAGGCCAGCTGCTGAGGCTGCTTGTTCAGACCAGTGATCGCCTGGGCCGCAAAGGATACATCCGTCCATCCCTCCTGACTGACAATCTGGAAGAGGATGAACAGTGATGAGCCAAAGTCGTCAAAGTTGAAGAAAGGGTTTGCAGCAACTCGGGGGGCGAGCATTTCCCATTCATCACTGAACGGCGCGCTTGTGTACTCGCCATAACAATCGGCCATGGTCTCGATTCCATCGCCGTCATCGTTGCAGGTCACCAAGAGGCCGTTGAACAGGTTGAGTCCATAGATGGCGAACGGGATCAGCAGGGACAGGGACACAGCGGCAGCCTATCAATATGTCAGTACACCCATCACGATAGACACTCTCTTGAGACTTACACCTAGAATTTTCCACCAGCCAACAATAATAAGATCGTGGAAAGTGTTTCGGGCACTGTTACTGACGTTCAAGAGTCGAAGTGCTCGGAGAGCTTTGAATGCTCCGATGGCTCTAGAAATCGCGCCGTCATTGATGAGTAGCGTGACGACATTGATCCAGAGAGTGATCAGCACCACGGCGTCCATGAATCCCCAGGAGCTACGCAGGTATGCGTTTGGTGTCCATAGCAGCCCATCCGCAATGATCTTGATACCAGCCTCAAGAGTGAAGATAATGGCAAATGCCATGTCTGTCCAAATGTACCAATTCCTGAAGCTAAAAGCGTGCTGTTCCTGGTACTCCTTCTGATAAAGGGGAGTAGTGACACATGCCAGGACCACCATTGCCACGATTGCTGCGTAGATGAATATGGTGAAAGTGTACCATAGAAAGGTATCAGGCACAACTCCATCTATGCGTTCAGGGCCTCGAGCTGGTCCAACAACCCTTTGGCAAAGACGACGCAGGCGGTTTGTGGGCGCAAACAAGTAGAGGGAGGTGTTGTAGCTGGGATACTTGACAAGGTACTCCCGCTGAGCTCTCCTTCGAGTCATCGTAGCAGACATTGCCTGTTCAGCCATCTGTCGAGGGTCTGACGTTTCGTTCTCGCCATCAAAACGCAGGTTTGAGTAGAATGGGTTAGGTTCATCGTTAGTGAACAGTCTCTTTACCTTTGTCCAGATGGCGGAGAGACGCCCTGGCTTGATTTCACCACCCAACAAAGTCGTAGCGCTTCTCATGGGGCCCGTTGGAGCTCGGGATCGTTGAGGATTCATCTGATCGTCCAGAAATTCGCGGACCACGGCATCTTTGAGGAGCATTTCCACGGTCGCCGGTCCATAATCAAGTGGATCTTTGTTCCTGCGCGATCTTGAAAACCCAAAGATAGTAGAAAGTGCCAAGTTACTGGAGGAAGTGCCAAGGTCTCTCCTTTGAAGGAAGGCCTTGACCTGTTGTAGGCGCTTCTCATCCTCAGACACGTCAAAGTTTTCCTGAATGACAGCAATGAACATGTTGACGAGAATGAAGAATGCAACGATGAACCAGCCGACGAGTAGGATAGCCCCGATCCACGAGGTGTTCTTCCATCTTGTGTAGGAAGTGACCGTGTAGAGAATCTCCGTCCAGTTTTCACTCGTCAAGACTTGGTACATGCCCAAGAAGGAGTTGAACATGGTGTAGAACGAAATGCGATTCAGGTCGCCATTTTCGTAAACGGGAATCTCGCCTCTGAACAGCTGGACGGCGAAGATTGCGACCAAGAACGTTACAAGGAAGACAAAGAACATGAGGTTGCCGATACCGGCTGCGTTGCCCAGAACGAGTAGAATGAGCTCTCGAGTTACGGGGATGACCATGACGATTCGGTAGACCCGCAGGATTTGGAAAACCGTTAGCCAGGCGTATGCTCTCGTATGACGAATGGGTGGGATCAAAATGACGGAAGTAATAATTGCAAGGCCAAGGTCGAAGAGATTGCGCCAGCTTTTGTGAAAATAATTCCAATCAGCTGCGAAGCGAAGGATCATCTCCATATCGAGGAATATAGTGACAGCGATTTCAGCGTTGTTGATAAAGCGTTCTCTGTTTCTTGACATGTCCGCACTGCGGCAGGCTTGGCATATCAATCCAAAAGTGATGATGAGAATCCAGATTGGCCGTGTTTTGTCGTAGATGCGCTGCAGTGAAGATGTGCGCCGAAGTCTCTCATCAGAACGAGACTGTCCAGATGGCTCCCGATCAACTGTAAAGGCACTCGCCTTGCTCTCTTCACGAATGACCTGAAAGGAAGAGGTGATAACAGCAATTAACAGGTTTGTAAGCCAAAGCATCATGATCATGATGCCCGCGCCGAAGAACAGGGCAGCTTGAAAGTAATCCGAGCCCATGGTGTAATACATGAGATCAGAGAAGGTGTTGGCGCTCATAATAACAAAGACAAGTTCCAGGGAGTTGAAAATATTGTCAAAGTTGACTGTGCCGTTGAACGGGTTGCTTTGCTGAAGACATATAGAGCCACGAGGACATAGAAACCCTTTCCCCTCATTGGTCCCGTTCATGAGATCTGTTAACGACTCGGACTGATTGAATTTTTGCCACGGCCAAGGTTCGCCAGTTCTGTTGTCCAGGAAGCCACCGCAGAAAGCTTCCTCGTTGGTATACGAAGCCGTCAGGTTGGTAGGGTCGAGGGGGTCAATCCAGACGCATTGGCGGCTCAAGCTTGCCTTGAAACTCTGCACTCCAATAATAGCAAAGAGCAGCCAAAAGAAAGTGATCAGAAACGCCACGCGAACGAGTAGCGGTGTTGCTTTCTTGAGACTTTTAAGGATGATAGCAGTGCCATTTGTCAGGGCCAACAGTCTCAAGATTCGGAGACAACTGAGCATTCGGAAAGCGTAGAGGTTGTGCTTAGTCTCAAGACCAGTAATGCTCAAGAAAAAAGTGATCCAATACGAGACAACAGCAACAAAGTCGAATCGGTTGAAGGAATGACGAAGAAACGCTCGGCGAGCGAGTTGTTGCCGTTGCTGGTCCTCCAGAGTCTGGGGTAAAGATTGCGGCCCCTGCATGAAAGTTGTAAAGGATCGTGAAATTGCAGAGGGTTCAAAATGGAGTTGTGATGTCTTCTTGACCGACTTCTGCCGCTCAGGCTGAAAAACAGCACGATACTGGTCTGCAATAGCTGCTCTGACCCCACGTTTACGATCAATCGTGCTGTACTCGGCGGCGTTTAGAACAAAACCAGACACGATGATACGTGAAATGATCTCGAGGGTGAAGATGATGAATAGCGCGAGCATGGCCCAGTCGATACCATGCTTGCCCCATCTATCTGGGCGTCCATTCCCGTCGGCGAATACGTCTGGAGCAGCTTCAACGGCAAGCAGGATAGCCTGCAGAACGATCAAAAGCAGCAAGAAAGGCTCGGTAAATGGGTTAACTAGAAGATCGCAAAGTCGAAGTCTCAAAGGGTTATCCGGCGAGAAGATTCCCAATGACTTTCCCTTCAGAGGATTGGGAGGTGGCTGCCTCGGGAGGTCTGCCACAACGGCTTCAGATACATCGAAGTGAGAATTACTCGACTTCTCACTTGGAGAACGATGTAGTTGTGACTGGTATGAGGTGTCGACAAGCATTGAAGTGGCAGTGTCCCGGTGACTATTGCGTTCGAGTCCATTGGGGGACCGTGAACGATGCCTCGAAGCTCGATGATCAATCACTTCACTTTCTCCGCTGATGTTGACAACTCGTTGTGACATCGCACGGACAATAGATCCAGCGCGCGAGAGGGCTCCCGATGTGGACGGAGATCGAGACCGCCGGTATTCGTTTGGGTTCAAAGAAGCGCCATAGCTGCGGTGTCGAGGAGATCCAAAGCTGGCGCTCAGCTCTTGCCCAAGGCTTCTTGTATCTCGCCCCCGTGCCGGGCTGTTTTCGATGCTCGACACCGTCTGGAAGCTATCCCGTGGTCTTTCATCGAAGTTGTTGGCAGACAAAGAGCCAGATATGGGTTCGGCACCAGAGGTAAGAGGAATTCGGTCAGACTCGGCGTACTCAGCGCTCGGCGCATCTTCGACGTATGGAGCGGGAGGGTAGGTGCGGACTGGAGTAGATGGTATTATCGGCGCGGATGGTGCATGGTCATCCATCCCCGGAGGGAGAGCGGCCTGTAAGGCCATCGGGTCAATCGGCGACGCTGGACTAACATCATCGTCGAATCGATCGTAGGGCTGATCCCAATAGGTCGAGATGCCGGGCAAGTTGCCTGCTGTTTGGCCGATGTTGGGAGAAGTAGACAGGCCTAGGTGTTGGCCCGAGAGCCCAGCACCTTGAGGGGGTTGGCTATCGTGATGAGATCCATCTAAATTCTGCAAAGGAATCGACTGGCGGCGTGCAGGACGGCCGTCCTGATCCCAAGGGTGTGAAGACATGGACCTGGTTCAGTAGATAAGGAACGTGGAACGAACGAAAGCCTACTGACCGCCAGCGCGGCCCAATGTCAGGAAAAGAAAAGCTCGTAGGTAGGTTCGCCAAGATGAAGCATTGTAGATGCTTCTTGGACTTGAGAAAGGCGTTTAGCACTTCGTATTCATGGGAGTTCTAAAGAGGGAGCCAGCCATCGAGATCTCCCAGGAGTCCTTGAATGCTGGGATGCCGGGTGCGACAGTGCTTCTGAGCATTCGCACTATACGCGACAGCTGTTTCATCACCGGGACCTACCTAAATGCCACGTTGCTTATTTTAGATCAGGGTCCTGTCACAGTGCGACAACTTGCATCTCTCCTGGAAGCTGCAGCGTCAGCTCTCATTCCGCGCTATTGGATGACTGGCGTTCTGTGGCATGTGCCTGTGGCTGACTGCAGCACACTGCGCCACGCTGCAGCCTTCTCGCGACCTCGAAACTCCTTGAAGCGCTGGACACGACTTTAACTATCCGTGACGCGACTGCTCATCATTTATCCACCCATCGACAGCAACACTTCACCAACATGCCGTCGCGCAAGCGCTCGTTCCGAGCCGTCGATGACGATGATGGTGAGACGGAGCCTTCGTTACTGCAGCGCATCCGCAACATGTGGCAGTTCGCGAACTTGTGCCAGTGGATTTATATCTTTGGCAAGGCTGCCAAAATCTCCGAATCTCTCGACATCGAGGTACTACTCTGAATCGGCTCCTTCACACGGGGCGCATGCTTATCTACTTTCTCTTTCTACAGGAAATCGAGACGGAATGCCTGAAGCCGAATTCGACCGTCCTCGCAGACATCGCCCTGGCGCTCCTAAAACTCGTTTCGTCGCATCGCGGTTTAACGTACGTTCCCACGATTTGATGCAAGACTTCGACCCGCTGATGACAACTCAAAGGCACGAGATCCTGGATGATCAAACTCGGAAGCAGTTCCTCACCAAATCGCCCGGGTACAACCCCTTCGGCGACGATGAAATACCAATCAAGTTCAACGATTTCGACATCTTCACAAAGGTACACCTCGGTGCGGATCCAATTTCGCCCACAAATACAGAAGCTGACAACTATGCATCCGATAGATTCGAGTTTTGCAACAATTAACGGAATGGATCATGATTCACCCAGAGCGCATTCGAGACAAGATGGAGGAGCAAAAAGATACCGAGCAAACCAGTTGGGTAAGCATACACCAAGCACATGAGGTGAAACAGTGACGAGTTGCTAATTTTCGGAAGCGCATCGAGCCGTATGGATGGGATGCTGAGGACCGAACCTATTTCGTACTCGATGACAACCGGGTGTATCGGCTTACAGAACCACCACCTGTGACAACCCCCAAACCGAAAAAGACCAAGACATGGCGTGGGGGCCGTCGCGCAAGCAAACGACGGCGCACAACCTTGAGTATCGACGATGATAATCCCGATACGGAAACCGAGACGAGGGACGATGAGAAACAAGAAGATGATGGGCTTGGTGGGATGAAGTGGGAATGCCTGGCAGTCACACTCGACGACGTACGATCCATCTTGGACGGTTTCCGCAAAACACGCGACGAGAATGAAAAGATACTCCGCGACCAACTGGAAGAACATCTTGTCCCCATCTTGGAAAAGCAGGAGCAGTCGCGCAAGCGAAGAGAGCTGCAAAGAGAGCGCGAATTGGCCAACCTCGCCAAAATGGCCAATGCAAAGCGGTCGAGCCGAATTGCTGGAAAGGTCGAGCAGCAGAAGCAAGAAGAGAAGGCTCGGGAAGAAGAACGGCACCGCAGAGAAGCAGAATCGGCGAAACGGCGTGAAGAACGATCACATCTCAAACTGGAGAAAGACCGGGATAACAGAATGGTTTCCAGAGAACAGCGACTACGGGAGCGCGAAGCCCGGCGTCTCCAGCACGAAGAAGAGCTTGCGCAACTCTCCGAGGACAGCAAGAATTTGTCCAGTGGGAGTGGACGTGTTTCTGAACGACGGCTTCAGGCGGAGATTGAGAGAAACAAACAAGCCCTCAAAAACCTGGAGGAAGAGGAGGATGACTGGGTATTTGACTGTGTATGCGGTCTCTATGGCCAGGTCGACGATGGATCTCACAGCGTGGCATGCGAAAAGTGCAATGTCTGGCAACACAGCAAGTGCCTGGGAATTCGCGAAGCGGACGCTGATCGACCCGAATTCCAGTTCATCTGCGCCTCTTGCACCCGCCGAGAACAAGAGGGCAACCGCCCTAGACCGACGATCAAACTGAAAGTCAATCGTCCGGCAAGCTCAGGCGAACAACCTCAGTCATCCCACCCCACGGCTCAAGACGCATCGCCTACACCTGGCAGAGCATTCCCCACAGCTTCCATCACTGAGGATGGGAAGCAGCGTTACACATCGAACGGCGCCGCCGAACATGGCTTGTCACTTGTGACTTCAACTCCCAACCCCTCCCATGGTCCTAGCGTGAATGGCGTTGCTTCTTCCGACCTTTCGCTGGACGCCCGTTCAGGGCCAAGCAAGGGAGTGCCTGGGCTTGTCCATACACCCAAAACCACTTCTGTGATCCCAGCACCCGTCAAGCTAGATGCTGTGCGACCCTCTCAGGCGGACAGTCCACCAGGCAACGCGGTCACATCGACTCCCATGACGACTGTTAAGACGCCGAGCCCATCCAACGGCATCCAGGGCCTGCAGGGGGACAAGACGATTGAGTCGGCATTGAGTACGCCTCAGATCAGCCGGGATATTTACCGTGCGGCTCACGAGCAAAATGGGACTCTACCTTCGGAAGCGGGATACTCTCCAATTAAACATTCACCACCACGCCTGGTAGACTCAGCCAGCTCGAGCAAGTTCAGCGTCTCAACACCAATACTACCACCGGTGGTACTATCCCCGTCACCCCAGCGCCAAGTCTTGACTCCTCCGACCAAATCGTCGGAGCCACCAAGGCCTCTCGAAGGTCGGTGAAACTCCCGATGCAGGGGCTTGGGACTGTAGGGCTTAGGCCATCAGCAACGCCACCTGACTCTACTCCAGAGGCTCTTTGGCACTCCCTTCGGGAATGATTTGCGAGCTCTTCTCGGGATCAACACTGATGCTTAGCTCCGCATCATGAATGCAGGATATTAGCCTGCTCCTGACAACCTAGCTTGCCAGAGTCCGGCAATCACTTATCGCAGGTTTCAATAGGCCAACCAGCGCGTCACAACACAATACTTCCCCTCACTTCTAGACTCCGGCAACCTTCCCAGTCAATTAAGGTGGGCAAGCTGCAAGTGTCAAGTGAACAGCCAACAGCGTGTGTGGCTGACAGCCCCTGCCACAATACATGGAAAGCGATGTGCCCATGGGATGGGTGCCGGATCTAAATGCAGCGGATAAGAACAAATGGCCCGAGCTCCCAAGCACGATGCGTCAGAGAGATTTTAGAAACAAGAGAGAAGAGTCCGCGCGGAAGAGAAGGTTGCCAAGACAGGACCAACAGGCTAGGTAGGGTGCAACAAGGTTGGATCAGGGCGGGCGAGTGTTGGTTGTCAGGTTGGTCGGTCGGTAGGTTGGTAGCCACACCAAACGGATCTTACCAGCCAGCAAAGCTGCGAGTCGCCGTCGACCGGTACCAATGTTGAAAGGACTGAGCAAACACGGACTGCGAGATCCACTCAATTCGGCAGGCCGGGCGGCCTATGACGGAATCACGAAAGACAGACAGGCCAAACGACATATGTCAAGATCTCCAAGCACGTCAAGTGCTTTTTACCTCTCGGAAGTGTCAAGACTTGGCTGACATGGCAAACCAGTGCAACGTTTGGAGTTGAGATGATGGAGGGTGGGGAGACGAGGGGGTGATGGGATGAGAATGTCAAAGGAATGCGCCACGGCTGAACTAGCGCATGCCCAATAAGGCGGTGCAGGGCAGCACAATCGAAAGCCTGGTTCCGTTTCTATTGAAGGCAATGCGGCTGGACGCCTCGCGGCTCAGTGCTTGAACTGCGTTTACTCTTTTGACGTGGCCCGGGCTTTGGAGGGTGGAGGGCTCGGCCAACGACACATGAGATGCAGCTTGGAGAGAAGGGACGTCCTCTTTCGTAACGGTCCGCATGGTGGTCTGTTTCCCAGGGCAATGTTCTCTCCTGCAGTCTCTTTGATCCCAAATGCGGCAGGAAGTTGCTTGTCTATTTGTGGGCGTTGGCATGGCCTTGCGGACAAGTTCAGAACGTCCAAATATCCCGGAACCGATACAAAACCCCATGTGGGAGTTGAAAGAAACTCAACAAAGACTTGACACCTATCAACTATATCATCTAAAGTGAGACCAACTTAGTTACTGCCAAAACATCAGAAGGTGTCTCTTCATCCACCGTGCGCTTTGCAACGTCCTTCTATCCTTGACATCTTCCTCTCACCTTGACCACCAACAACTATCCGATATCATTTCGGTAACCTTGTCTTGCCTTCGATCCGAGGCGAAAATCGCAGAGTGACAGCGTCCTTTGCGATATGCCACAGTCGGCACCACCATCGCCGCCTCAATCTTCAGACGGCTTCCTTCAACCAGCAACCTTCATGAGTCCAGCCAGAATCACTTCGCACCCGCGAGGTGCCATGAGCCCTGAACAGGGGTTCGTCGGCTACCCGTACCCCTCTCGATATTCTACTCCCGTTCGTGAGGATGATCTTTCGGTCTCGGTCTATGAACCACAGACCGTCTACTCTCAGAAGGGCGACATCTCCTTCGTAAGTACTCTTCATATTCCTGAAAGCAAGTTTACATATACTGATCATAACCATAGACGGGTTATGCAGCTGGGCACAACTACACTAGCCATCCGTACCGGCCTCTGCCTGAGGAGGCTGGTTATAATGTGAGTTGTCGCAACAACCTAGATGTGACAGTCCCCTTTAACCAGCCCCAACAGGCCCATGTTCCATATACACCGGAAGCATCCCCCCCTACCCCGTGCCCTACTGGCGATTCGATCACCACCCGCAGTGGGTTAAGCATTCCCAAGAAGTCTTATCCGATGGGTAGATCGCAGGCCGTTAAGACCGGCCGCGTCCAGAAGAGAAGCAAGGTCGACAAAGTTAAGAATGCCTCCAGCATCCTCTCCAAGCCCCTGTCCGAAATCGCCAAAGACCTCCCCGAAGTCCCAGTGGCCGATATTGCAACCTTCGTCGCCCGCTCCACCGAGGAGAGACTGTCGGAAACTTCACGCAACAAGAAGCCTGGTCAGATCAAGCGCCCTATGAATGCATTCATGCTGTACCGAAAAGCCTATCAAGATGTGGCCAAGACTCAGTGCGCCCAGAACAACCATCAGCACGTCTCCAAGGTCTGTGGCGCAGGCTGGCCTTTGGAGCCTCCTCAGGTGAGACAGATGTTCGACGGATGGGCCAAGGTCGAGCGGATCAACCACCAGCAGGCACACCCTGGGTACAAGTTCACTCCCTCTAAGCCGCGAAAGACCAGACGCGACGAGGATGACGTCGACGGGTTCTCTGACAACGACTCGGACTATGGCGGAGCGCGAAAGTCCAGAACTCGGCATGTGTCCCGCATGAGCGAAACCCCTTCGATCACCTACGATACCGTCGGCAACGTTGCGGATGAGCCCTCCATGGCGGCCTACCATGGCATGCACGCTTATCCGACCCCTGGGCAAACCCACGCTCTTCCCTATGGGCCTGCTGAGCCAAACACTTACGATCTGAACATGCGTCAGTATGGCGGACTGGGCCCTGCCCACGGCATGGTGAGCCGAACTCCTTCTCCGGGCAACGATTACGGTCTCCACGGCCTAGATGGGTTCGCTGGTAGTTACTACACCCCTCCTGAGCCCGTCTTTGAAAGCGCTGGGCACCCGCCCATGTTTGGAGAGGCTGGCTACGACATGTACAACGGGCTTCCTGGAGAAGCTTCGTTCGGTCATGACAACTGGGTCCCCCACATGGGAGCCGCCGAACAAGACATCGGCTTCATGATGGCGGGCTACGAGGATACTGCTGCGCAGGATGCCTACCTGAGAGGCAAACAAGAGGACTGGAAAGTCGAGGAGATCGACGATTCCAGCCAGTTCGAGCACTGGATCACGCAGACCGAGCAAGGTCTTTTGTAAATGTGTTTTGATTGTTGATACCTCTCCTTCGTGATTTACCAATCGTTTTTGGAGCTTGGGGGGTTCTGGACATGATACAGCATTGGGAGCGGGCTGTTTTAGACGGCGTTTACGATCGCGTGTATTTAAAAGAATAAAACCAGGCCCATTAGCCTGCCTTAAATTAAATATAGTACAAACGTAAAATGGCGAATGATTGAATGAATCCCTTTGTTGTGTAGGTTAGGTCATGAGACCCATTGCTTGGAGCACCCAAGTTGGTTGGTTTCATGCTTAGTCATGATCCATGTCATCTCAACTCGTGTCGCACTGGAGCTTGTGAGAACTGCGACTTGTCCCCAAGACGTCCGCACTGATCGCAAATCAAGCTCCTTAACTTCAACACAAAATGACCTGGATCTCCCGAACAGTGACCGTGGCTGGTATTGTGCTTCTAGCGCATGCGTATGTATTCGTTCACCCTTTTGCACCCACGGGAAGCTAACAATTACTTCTTAGGTGCTACTCCGCGCAAGAGCACTCCGCCATCTCGTCAACGACAGCGCAGCACGGCCTTCCGCAACAGCTCGCGACGAGCTCGCTTCCGATTGATATCTCCATAGAAGCTTTGGTGGCAACACTGGTGGTCGTTCTTGGGCTGGTCCTGGGCTCCCCGAAGCTCCGTCCGGTCAAGTGGCACGAGTGGGCTGGAAAGATTGAGCGCGAGGGAGAGGCTGGCTTCCAGACGGGCAGTGGCGAGGTGGAGAAGGATTACCGTGGGAACCCATTCAGCGTGCTCGAGACGCGCCCTGGATTCGTGGATATTCGCAAGCAGCGACGCGAGTTTACAAGCTGGGTCAAGGCCGAGCAGAAGTAAAGGCGGGAGCTTGGGGCATGATAGCATACAACCATATGCCTCAGTTCGGATGTAATCATGACATCTCTATTTACGGCGTTCCCTAGAGCTTTGTAGCGCTCTTATTGCGGCGTTATTGAATCATTCGCGAGCCTTCCGCTTTTGCCCCTTTGTGCTCTAACGCAATGGACTACGACCCCTCTCCTTGCAATATGGCAAATCTTGACTTGTGAACACTACTAGCTGCACCAAGGGAGTTCTATGGCAGTACAATTAGATCAACGGAGTATTCGAGCTGAGTGTCCAAGTGATTGCCGAGCTACAGTGAGTGACATATCTTGGGTCTCATAACCACACATCGCGCCTTCTTCACTTGCCGGAACCACTCCTTCCCAAGCTAATGGAAGGCCTGGGCCAGCGAGAAGGTACGTAACTGGTTTTTAGGAAAAGAAGGAGCACACGTCTGGCATATAGAGAGAACCGGAGTCCTCCTTTTCTCACCGGTCACCTTAAACCTGGAAGCTCCATGATTGAACCCATCAAAGGTCTGTCTCTTGAGCTAGGTTTATCAACACCATGCCTCGAGTACGAGCCTCGAGTGCCTCTGGTTCGAGCCATCGCGGCCGACGTGGGAGAGCCAGCCGAGCACGTTCTTCCGCCCGAGGTGCCAGCTCGAACTCGTCTCCTAGAGCCACGCCAACACGGCAGCAGACTCCATCGAGACGCTCAAGAGCTAGTCGACAAACACGAGGTTTTTCGCCCCAAACACACTTTTCACCCCGCCGCAATCTTGACTCTGTTGCCCATGCAGCCCCTTCCTCAGCTACTCTGCCATCACTTCCCAGTGAAGACAACGCCCAGGGCCGAAGCAGCAGCGAGCCGATACAGCATGAAATTGTCATGGCTATTGATATGAAGAACAGCTCTACAATGGGGTGCGCCTACTTCTCAACAACAGATGGTGTCCTTCACCTTTCGGAGGATATACCTATGGCGACGCTGGACGTTGCGGAGCAATTCCTTTTCCACGTCGAACCTACCACAGTCCTCATATCGGCGAGAGCCCCCGAGGAGTTCCAGCAATATGTCGAGAAAGCGACTATCCCTGCAGGTATGCCACTCGTAAAACACCAGTTTAGTTCCTGCTCGATTCGGCTATATTGACTTTGTTGGCTACTAGATGCTTCTGGGGGCATCATCCTTCGCGGTTTACAGTCTTCTGAGTTCTCTCCTGAATCCGCCAGGGATAGACTTATTAGTCTCCAGTCTGATTCGCTGTCACCCACCGGCATCATATATTCTACAGGCGCAAGTGACGACCTCTCAAGGACGATTGCAGGGCTTGACCAGCCAGAAGCGCCTGCATTTAGGTCCCTACGTTGCGGAGGTTGTCTTAACATGAGCAACCAAGTCTCAGTTAGTTGTGTGTTATCCCCATGGCATAGCTTGACGGCTGATACTCGACAGATCGGGTGCGCCGGAGCCGTTCTTGGTGATCTCCAACGTCGCAGATCTGCTGGTTTTCTCCCTGATGGGCAGGTTTCAGGAGTATTGTTTCGGGTTCTTGATGCCCGCATGTTCTCACTGTCGTCCTATATGTTTGTCAGCGCCGATGCCCTCCTTGCTCTTCAAATCGTTCAGACCGAACTCCACCCTAATAGCCAGGCCTGGGGACCAAATCTCAGCAAAAGTGGCTCAAAGGAAAGCCTATCTGTGTATGGGCTTTTCTATCACTTGGCTTGCACCCCTCAAGGTCGAACACAGTTGCGCCAACTATTCCTACGCCCCGTTCTGGACTTGGGCCTGATTCGGGAGAGACAGACGACCATTTCTGTATTGCTACAGCCAAGCAACGCCGAAATGATGGCACATATGACCTCTATCCTACGAAGAATTCGAAACTTGCGGCCAGCTTTAACCCTTTTGAAAAAGGGTATTGAGTTTTTATCAACAGGCCAATCTTTCAACAAAGGCGTATGGGCAACAATCCAACAGTTCACGACCCAGGGTCTGGCATTGAGGGAAGTACTGGGTAATCTCAACAGCGGCACGGAACTTGCTCTATTTAGAGAGGTAAGATAGTCACGAATATGGCTGTAGTGACAAGAATGAACGCTAACGACTCTTCATGCAGCTCGTTAACAGTCTTCACCCGGCCGTCCTGATGGCTGTTGGAGACATGATCGACAAGACAATCGACTTTCAACAAACAAAGATCCGTCAACGATCCTCGGTCAAGCAGGGAGCAGACCTTCAGCTCGATGAGCTCCAGAGAAGTTATGCGGGACTAAACCATATCTTACTCGAGACAAAGGATCGAATGAAAGCCGCCATACCGGAGTGGGCCCACCGCCATGTCAATTCGTGCCTTTTCTTGCCTCAGCTTGGCTTTGTCACTTCGGTTGAAGTAGGCCCTGTGACCGGTAGCTCAATGTATGAAGGGGAGGGAATGCCTGAGGGGGGGTGGGAAAAGGTGTTCACGGGCGAAATGGGTGCATGCTACAAGAACACGTATATGTGTGAACTTGATCAAGAGTACGGGGATTTGCACGGTCAACTTGCAGGTAAGCGGCTGAAATTGCGATGAAGATATGGACTAACATGGAGTAGACAGAGAGGTCGAGGTTATCCACGGCCTTGCTAACAGGATTCTTGAGCACGAGGAGGTGTTGATTTCGGCCTCCGATATGTGCGGCGAGTTTGACGCCATTCATGCACTCGCTTTAGGCGCTGAGAAGTACAATTGGAGAGCACCCACCGTGGTCGATGACAATGTGATTCATATTCAGGGTGGCCGACATCCCTTGCAAGAGCTTGTTGTGCCGGCTTTTGTACCAAACGACTGCCACCTCGCTTCAGGGCCGATTGACCAGGCACACCTTGAGGAGGCTTCATCCCAGGCCTTGATCTTAACGGGGCCGAACCACTCGGGCAAGAGTGTGTATCTCAAGCAGGTGGCAATCATCGTCTACCTTGCTCATATTGGCAGCTTTGTTCCAGCATCCCAGGCCACCATTGGCCTCACGGACAAGATCCTGACCTGCATGTCACCGAGGGAGAGCATGTCTGGCGGGGAGAGCGCATTCGCCAGGGACATGAAGCAGGCTGCATTATCGACAAGAACTTCGACATCAAGAAGCCTCGTGTTGGTTGACGAATTCGGCAAGGGAACCAACGGTGATGATGGCTCCGGCTTGTTGGCTGCATTACTAGACCACTTCCTATCGCTAAACCGGGACTGCCCACGTCTGCTAGTTGCGACGCATTTTCACGAGATCTTTGAGGGAGGCTACCTTTCTCGCCATGAAGGGGGATTCCGTCTGGCACACATGGACGTGAGAGTGGACTGGGATGCAGCCCAAACAGAGGATCAAGTGACGTACCTCTTTACTCTCGCGTTCGGTCACAGTACCTCGAGCTTTGGCGGCAGGTGTGCAGCGTTGAATGGGGTGCCTAGTGCAGTTGTCGAGCGCGCTGAAGGTATTGCCAAACTCCTTGCACAAAATGAAGACTTGGGGGAACTCTGCGCTCGATTGTCTCAGGCAGAAGAAGAGCAGTTGGAGAAGGCAGAAACAGCCGCACGGCTCTTTCTGAGTGAATCATTTGACAGGGATGAGGCTGGCCAGGACAGTAATGGGCAAGAGGGCCGTCGTTCCATGAAGCAAATGTTGTACGGCATGCTTTCGATGGGGGAATGACCAAGCTAGCACCCTTGAATGTGGCTGCAAACATTGAGAAATCTTGAAAGACTGATAGACTGCTTTAGTTTGCCCAGGGGGCTCTCTGCCCGGTAGTGAAATCTGATGTTCATGACGTCTTTTTGGCGGCAATCTTAGGAACTAGCTGAGCGATGGCTTTCACAAGGAGTTGATGCTCAACGGCGTGCATCCGTGTCTCAAGATCCTCAAGGGTATCAGACTTGGAGCAAGGCACCTCTTGGGTCAAGATGGGCTCTCCCATATCAACCTCAGCAATCACATAATGCACCATGATGCCTGTGACCCCTCTTTCGAGAGTACCAGCCTGGCAGTCGGCATAGGCTCGCTCGATTGCATTGGATCCATTGTATCGGCCTGTGATGAGTTTATGTGAGTATCAGTCTAGGGGAGGCAACAAGATTGGAGGGTGCATACCAGGAAGAGCACTATGATGAGTTTATGTGAATATCAGTCCAAAACGGGTCACGAGAGGGGCTATAAGACTTACGGGTGCAGGTTGATAACCGGAATACCAGCAGCCTCAAGGGGAGTGAGGAAAGATTGCGCAAAGACATGCATCCATCCAGCGAGAACGACCATATCGGGCTTCTCCTCAATAACCTTGGCGGCCAGGTCGGCGTCGTAGCGGGAGCGAGCTTCCTGGATGCGGGCAGCATCCTTCTCCCCCTTTGCTTGATAGCCGTGAGCGACCAGGTTGAAGTACTCGGACGGAACGCCCGCCTTCTCGGCGCGCTGAAGTGAGTATGCCGTCTTTCTGTTGACGATGAGCTTGGAGACACGCGTGCTGGGGATGGTGCCGTCTGCACAGGCGTCGAGGATTGCCTGAAAGTTGGAGCCATTGCCAGAGGCCATGACAAGGAGTTGAGTCTGAGACATGATGAATGAGTTGCCGATGGTCTTCCCTCTCGAGTTGATGTTGTTCTTGAGAAATTTGAGTGACAGGAGTGAGCGAATTCCTCGTCGTGGGCGTTGTTTAAGTTTTTTTCCTCTCGTGTGAGTTTCCTACCCCGCGACTTTTTTTTTTTTTCGTCGAGACCGCTTCGTGGTGCAGATTCTCAGTGGAGTGGAGCGGGTGCTTATTCCGCAGGATCCCGTTCACCCGTTGTAAGAGAGGATCCAATGGGCGTCAGTTGTTACACTCAATAAGCAAGTCAATCTCACATGTAGTGATTGATTCTGCGCAGTTTCGTCATTGTGTCCAAGCCCAGAATAAATTGCTTCGTTCGGACTACACGGGAAGTTAATCTACCTATATACAAATGGCTCAAAAACTTAAGCAGTCGTCGTTCTTCCAATGCGTCCGTCAACCGTCCTGTCCAAGTAAAATCGTTAAAAAACCGAAGTGAATAACACGCCCCAAACTCCGGATTGCATCGACCGAGAGCGTTAATGATATGCGTCGTGACGAGGGAGCTGTTCCTCATCCTGTTCATCAGGTGCTCGTTGCCGGGAGACGAATGTTGTTCCATCATGCCGAATTTGGTCTCACAGATGAGCAAGATGCCCGTTGTGTGTTTGATGACCATGTGAAGAGTAGGCCATCGCATGACCGAGACTTGGCAGCACGAGTATAGCCAAATAGATGCTAAAACGTCTATAACAACAAGCTTTTGGACAATTGAGTCCAAATGACTGGTCACAACGACCATGCGCTGTCGTAATATTTGCATCCTGGCCCATTAAGCCAACACATTGAGCATGGCAATGGCCGCGCCAATGCCTGCGAGCCACGACTTGAGGTTGTTGGACGAAGCAGCATTCCCATAGTCGCCACAGTCGCTCTTCTCGAGTTTCCCGCAGGCACGAGAGCTCAGGCTTGAGCACACCTCGGTTGCCGATGGGCCCAGGGCCTGTCCGCCGCCCTCAACTGTAGTACCTCCGCCGCCGGGCACAACGATGGTCACGCCATATTGGCCACCATCCTCGAGGTAACTGACACATCTGTCGTAGTTCTCTTCGCAAGCGTCGACGGCCGAAGTGCAAGAACCATCATTCGAGAATGTCGTCGCGGCGTACGGGAAGGCAAAATAGGAGTTCGGGACGTAGGACACGGGAGCGGTTGCGTCGCCAGTAGGCGCTTCGGATGGTGCCGTTCCAGTACACACCGCGCTGGAATCGAGGTCAGTCAGCCTTGTGCTCGCGTGTTTAGTTGTTCCAGATCTGGATATCTGCACTTACCCAGAGGGACAACAAGCTGGTTGATCATCGGCGTCGAGAGCGCACGTCTGCCCGTTCTGGCAGCAAATGTCGCTGAAACGCTGGCCGAGCTCCTCCGAGCATCGGAATGTGTTGGCAGGGCAGGAGTCGTCTCGCCTGAAGATCAAGGACGCAGCCGGGATATATGTCGCTATTGTCGTTGGCGGCGCTGTCGCTGTTGCCAAGTGAAAGGCAGATGTTGAGCCTGCAACGAGGCCGAGCCACATCCAACTCCGACTCAACATGATGGTGGTGGTGGAAGTGAGACGGGATGGTTCAACTTTGAGATTGGCTCGCTTGGGGAGGACGACAGATAGCGGGCGCTCGACGGGATGAGCTGGGAGGTTCTCCGTTCTACTGCAGGTGGTTTAATCATGCAAGAAATGGAAGGGTTCCAGTCAGTTTCTTTCGTTTTTTTTTTTTCTTCTCTCTGTTCCCTAGCGGACGACCGGGCTCCCGGTAGGGGATCTGGGATGATGTCGGTGGGGTATCCTCCAGATGCTTGTCCCATCCTGTCGTAAATGCAAGGTTATGCACACCGCAGGTCACCATTTTTGGCTCTGGCAACACGGGTTGACTGAGCGTCGGGCTGAGAGCCGGGGCAGGGAGAGAGCGTGGAATGATGTCATTGGTGGTTGACATAGTTGCTGAGCAACCCCGCGTCCACCTCCAACCATGCGATGACTCCACAGTGGGAGCTAGGAACTGGTCCGTCAGGGCCAGGTACGGCTTTAATGAAGGCAGGGCTTCAAGTCGATATGAAAAGAGGGACTGTCTCGGATCTTGGCACAAGGGTCTGAATTACACTCACTATGTAAATATGCATATTCCGACTTCGGCTTCTTAGAATCCTCGCACATGACCAAGGATCTGCCGCAAGCGATCCAGTGCCTTCGTCTCTGGTGGTGGTCCAGGGACTTCAGGATCACGAGCCTTTAACTGCTCAATCTCTCTTCGAGCCTCAGCTGCCAAGGGCTCCAGATCGCCCCAGACGTGATCAGTGTAACCCGTCAGTACGTTACCCCACAGCTGAAGCCAGTTGCTTCTCGCTTCGGTGCTGTCTGTGGTTCCGAGGTGGAGTTGCATCTCGGCCTCTGCCATAGGTCCTGGCTCTGTCAAGAAATCGGGGTTGAAGTTGAGCAAGTCGTCCCAGCGGGGACCAGAAAAAGACGAGTTTGCGGGGAACAATGCTTCTCGAAGCTTGGCAGCAGCTTCTGGTGTTAAAGCGTCATCTTCAGCTTCAGGGTCTTCGGCGCCTAGGAGAACAGCATCAAGCTCATCGGATGGGCCGTCAAGGAGATTGACAACGGCTGCACCGTCTAACCTTTCCTGCTCGGCCACTGCCGCGCCTTTTGAGGAGAATGTGTCATGCAGGTTCTGGTGTTGGAGGTTGTGAGGATGGTCCAGGTTCCCAACATCCAGTGTTGAGTCGGCGCTGACAAAATCGTTGAACGCTTGCGCCGAAGCCGTGGAATCGGAATGTGCCTGTGAACGCAACGACTCGCCCGGAGCCGCCGAGCGCAATCTGTGCGACGATGCTTCCCCTGCGCCTGCTGAAACTCTGTCGATACTGCTGGTACCCGAGCTGCCCTTTCCTGCAGGTTGCTGGCCAGTCAAATCTGGCCCTGTGCCAAAGGCATTGAGGGCGAGCCTTCCAGAAGCCTGAATGCGGTCGACTAGAGAACCAGACCCCTCTCCTTCCGCGGCCTTTCCCTTTCCTTTGGGGTTGTTGGATGCCCCGTTGTCCTTGGGCGGAAAGTTTCCCGGGTGTTGCTGATCTTGGCTCATGCTTCGCGGTTCAGGTGAGGGAGGATATAGATGGCTGGATATTCAATTCAGTTGATGTGGATGGAAACCTGAATAAAAAGATGCGATTTTCAGTGATTAAGGGAGTGGACGATGTTGGTATAAACCTGGTAAGCTTGTATCCAAATTCCCGTGATTTTAGGCAGTTTAGATAAAGGTTTTGGAGGATGGGTGTGTATGCATGTCATTGATTGGAAGCACATGGACATGAGGTCGTTCCGGAGCACATGTCAGGCCGGTCCGGACGGACGAGCGGGTGCGGATCGGACTTGGACCTTGGCATCGGATGCGACCGAGGGAACATCCATGTATGCCCTCGTAAAAACTCTCCAAAACCAGCAGCTGCCACCTGGGTCAAAGACAAAAAAGAGGCACCATTACAAACCCAATAGCTTCTCCTCCCCTTAAAAATTGTCAATCAAGCATAGTAGAAATACATGAAAGAGCTCTAAAGCATCACTATTGTTGTGGTATACATTAGATCATTTTATCATATTTTATCAAAATTTACCTATCATGTTTCAGAAGCCAGCAACTTCCTTCTTGATCATCTCGTGTGTCGTTGATTTCTTAACCCGCGTGCCTGCTAGCTTCCAGCTTATCGACGAGTTTCACCTACCCTGAACAATTCCAAAATGTCGAGGTTCCACTGTTTCCGGCGCCAGAGCCCAAATGAGGCCACGCCATGTCAGATCGAGGTGAGGCGACGTAGACCTGAAAGCTCAGTTGAACAGAGGGAACCCCCGCCATGACACTGGGTTGTTGAGAAGCACTCGAGAGCACTCCCCCACTTTAAGCATCCTCGGGGACGCTGGAAACAAGCTTGAACGTAACGATCTACCTTGCTGTTCCGCCTCACTTCACCACAGGAACAACGCATGCGTGGGGAGCAATGAGAAGCTTGGTTGGGTATGCCGGGCCAGCACAGAGCTGCAAGCTCACAGGTACGGCAGAAATAAACGATAGCTTGGGCTCGCAGTTGGTAAACATTGGGCAACAAGGCAGACAATACCATACAGACAAGTCGTCACCTCGCCGGACTCAGTCGAGGTTAAGTCATCGATTTGGTGGTGGCGCCGGGCCCTGGACCTGTAAAAGACGAGCACAGCACTGGAAGCTCCCTGTAACTGTGGCTCATCTCTCAGCTCTCAGCTCCTCATTGTGGCTCACGCCCGCACCTAACCCACCCATCCCGATCCCATCCATCACCTGTCCCGTCCCCTCCAGTGCAAGCCAGCCCAGGCCAAACCAACTTAGCCAAACCAGGCCAGGCCAACCCAAAACCAAAAGCGAACCAAACTGCAAGACCTTGGGTTCTGCTGCGTCACTTCCTCCATATCCCCTCCTCACCAAAGAACTCCATCTTCTGCTTGTGGCATCTGCTCCTCAGCTCCCAGCCGTTTGAACTCGCCGTTACAAGCCCTTAACGGCAGTGACTGTACTTAGCCACAGCCAGCGCAGCTCAGCACAGACTCGAGCCTTGCTCCCTCCACTCGCTGTCTCCTCCCCTCACCTCCCGTCCGTCGCTCGCCCGCCGCCTCTGCTTCTGCTGTCGTCTGCCGCGCCCACACCAACCCACCTCCTCCACCACCACTGCCTGCTCCTGCTACCACCACCACCACCACCACAACCTTCAGCCTCGGACGCCTGCCGACCTGTCGACATCATCCACCGTCGTCCTCCTCCGACCGAACCCCGATTAACCCCCCCCGCCGCTTGACGAAATATCTTTTGGACGACGGCATTCCCACGGCGGCGATATCTAGCTGGACCCCACTCCGGCGCCGACAAAAAGACGATATCGAAAACGACACCACCGCCCATCCATCATCCGCCCACCGCAAGACCTGGCGTGTGCCACCACAGCTTGCATCCATCCATCTCCCTTCGCATCGCTCGCGCCAGGAGCTCCCATCATATCCAAATTACCGGTTGCGGTTCATTTTCACCTCCTCCCTGGCCCGCCGTTCCCACAGCTCTCTCGGTTCTTACCTTGCCCTCCCTCGATCTTCGTCCGCAACCCCTCCTAATCCCCGCCCTCGCTGCTCACCAAAATGGTTGATAGCGAAGCGAACTCTCCCACGTGGAAGTTCACGCAGTACGTAGTCTTCTTTCTGGCATTTCCCCGCGTTCCGCGCCCGTGTTTATTAATGCTGAGCTCTCGCCTGCAGGTGCTTTGGTGACAAGGGCGATGTTGAAGACATCACCGAAGGTATGTCATCTCCTTGCTCCCCACAATCCTGCCCTCGACCTTGATATGCTGACCGCTGTTCCCCCCTGCTGCAGCTGATATCATCTCGACGGTTGAGTTCGACCATACCGGAAATTATCTCGCTACGGGCGACAAGGGAGGTAGAGTGGTGCTCTTCGAACGCAACGAGACGGTATGTCACCATCCATCAGTCGACGCCCTTGCGAGCCTTCAGCGTTGGGTGTTGCGCATCCTCTTGCCGTCGCTAACTCTCGACGCAGAAAAAAACCTGCGAGTACAAATTCCACACCGAGTTTCAGTCGCACGAACCCGAATTCGACTACTTGAAGTCCCTAGAGATTGAAGAGAAGATCAACAAGATTAAGTGGTGTCGGCGACAAAATGCTTCCCACTACTTGCTGTCCACCAACGACAAGACAATCAAGCTGTGGAAAGTCTTTGAGAAGTCGCTCAAGGTTGTAGCCGAGAACAACCTCTCTCACGATGTCACGCCTGGTAGTCTGGCGGGAGGAGGCGGCGCTCCCAGGCCGCTTCCTGCCCACCGGTTCAGGGATGCTGCCGACCTCAAGCTTCCTCGCCTCACACATCACGATACGGTTGTTGCCGCCGTGCCACGCCGAACATACGCCAACGCACACGCCTACCACATCAACAGCATCTCGGTGAACAGCGATGGAGAGACCTTCATCAGCAGCGATGATTTACGTATCAACCTGTGGAATCTTAACATCCAGGAACAGAGCTTCAACATTGTTGATATCAAGCCTGCAAACATGGAGGAGCTCACTGAAGTCATCACGGCTGCCGAGTTTCACCCCATGAGTTGCAACTGGTTCATGTATGCTAGCTCAAAGGGCACCATCAAGCTCGCCGACATGCGGCAGAGTGCTCTGTGCGACCAGCACGCGAAGTGTTTGTGCTCCCCATCTGTGACATCTGCATCTGCGATCCGGCGATGTGCTGACTCCTAGCCCTAGTATTCGAGCAAGAGGAAGACCCTTCATCACGCTCATTCTTCTCCGAAATCATCTCTTCCATCTCCGATGTGCGATTCTCGTATGATGGCCGATACATCCTGTCCCGCGACTACCTCACTGTCAAGATCTGGGATATCAACATGGAGCGGCAGCCAGTGAAGACGATACCGATTCACGAGCATCTTCGCCCACGGTTGTGTGACACCTACGAGAATGACAGCATATTCGACAAGTTCGAGGTGGTCTTCTCAGGAGATGCTAAGAATGTCATGACGGGCAGTTACAACAATAACTTCATGATCTATCCTTCAGACCCTGACAAGGAAGTCGAGGTTGTTCTCCAGGCGGATAAGTCGGCTTTCAAGGCTAAGAAGGTTGGAGTGCCTACACCCATCAATTCGTCGACAAGCCCGACTGCGACCAACGGCAAGAAGGGCGGATCCAGGGCGGGTAGCCCAGGCGGTCAAGGTCAGCGGATGCGTAAGGAGACAGACGCGGACCAGATCGATTTCAACAAGAAGATTCTGCACATGAGCTGGCATCCGTTTGAGGACAGTATTGCGATTGCAGCTACGAACAATGTGAGTACACGGTTTGAGATACAGTCCGGAGAGGACGAATGGTGGCTAACATGGTGGCACAGCTCTTTGTCTTCTCGGCACTCTAGACCATGGCAGCGGCGTTCATCTCGCAAGGGCAATTAAGTGAGGAAGTTGGCGTGGCGGGGGAGCGGAAGACAAAGCAATAAGGATATGGGCGCCTCCGCCACCTTCGTGATGGGACTGACCTAGTTCTGCTTGGGCACGACATGGCATCTCGTCGATTCAGAGCAGGGTGATACGGATCAATGCAGCCTACTATACTTAGAAGCTAAAGCACAGCGCCAGCACTGCTTGGAGCAAAGCCACGCGCAAAGAACGCTGAAGAGGCCCCTTGGATGTGGCCCTAAAGCGGAGGATGCAGAGATGTAGGCAAAGGAACCTACTGAGAGCATGGCATGGGGCAGATGGACGTGGGAAGAGCCACTTGGGATGGAGGTGAACGAATGCATGGGTGCATGGGTCGGCGTTTGGTCGCCAGGTGTAGCAGAAAGCGCAAAGAGATCATTTGAGAATCAAAGAAATGCCACTCAAAGTTGAAATAGAGGAGCATTATCATGTCATGGGGAGCATCAAGGGATAATACGAGTTGGATGATGTTCGATGTAATGCTCAAGTACCCCAGGAGTGTGCCTGTTGTAAGCTTATTCTTGAAAGCATGTACCTGTGTGATTATCGGGGCGATGGGACTGATGCTGGACCAATCCTGGATCTGCGCCTTGGACACGAGTCCTGGCCATCAACCAGCTCCGGAGGCTCGGGAACTGTCAGCTTCCAAGAATGCGCCAAAGAGCCCGTCCCTGGCACTACCTATTCATAGAGTCGGACTGGGGCGAGACGCGCTAGCGAGTACAGGGTACAGAGAGACCCCTGCCGCCACCCTCGAATCGACGAGTGGTGTGGTACCGATACACGGAGGCTGACACCCCCATGCCATCCTCCCGTACGGCTTTCTTGCATGAAGACACAAGGGCAACATCGACAATCCACTGAGTCTCTCCCTGCCTGCAGCCAACACCCCCGAAGGAAACCCGATCTGTACTTTTATCTGCCCCCCCTCCCAGTGCCAATGGACCAGAAAACGAGCCTCATGTCTTCACACATTCTCCGCAAGAGGACGCCCGACATGACGGCCCTCCAAGGCTCAAGCCGTCACGGCACCGCCTCGCGGGAGCCCAGCGACTCGGAGAAGGCATCGGCGTCGTCGGTCGCCCATCGCGTTGCCAGTATGATGGCCAGCGAGGTTGGCCCGTCGTTGCTGACGGTCGCTGTGATGCTGTGTCTGATCTTTGGAGGTTGTTGTTCTAACGTATGTCCATCCCGTACCTGTCTGGCCAGCTCATCATGCAGCCCTCACTATTGAATCCCTGCCTCCCTTGACACACCAGAAACTGACCTACATCTCATTCTTTCTAGGTTTATGCGCTCGAGGCAATTGTCAAGTGAGTTGTAGAACTTTGCTATGAGAAACTATTGCTGACCTGATGTAGTTTTGAACCTTCAAGTGGTACGAGCATTTCCGCACAACCTCACATTGTCTCATACGAGAAGTGACTACAATGTCTCCTTTGCTGACACATTTAACTTAGGAACACTATTGACCTTTGTCCAATTCATCTTTGTCGCCGTGACAGGGTTTATCGCCCAGTTTGACAAGAACAGTCGTTTCTTCATTGCGCCCAACAAGGTCCCCTTGAGCCGCTGGATGGTCAATATCGTGCTGTTCTTTACCATCAACGTCCTCAACAACCATGCGTTCAGCTATGATATCTCGGTGCCAGTCCACATCATCCTCAGATCTGGCGGTAGTATCACAACCATGGCTGCGGGTTACCTCTATGGCAAGAGATATTCGCGCACGCAGGTCGTCGCTGTCTTCTTGTTGACATTGGGTGTCATTCTGGCTGCTTGGTCGGATGCTCAAGCCAAGGTGAGCATCTTCAACATCCACTCACTTACCTCTTACTCTCCTGACCTTATCTGATTTTAGGGAAAGGGAGTGGAAGAGAGTTCTGGGCGCCCAGCTTTCAGCACTGGCCTCGTGATCCTCTTCGTTGCCCAGGTGCTCTCAGCAATCATGGGTCTTTACACGGAGGCAACCTATGCCAAGTATGGCCCGCAGTGGAGAGAGAACCTTTTCTACTCTCACGCCCTCTCTCTGCCGCTATTCCTGCCCTTTGCTCCCTCGATGGCACGCACCTTTGCGCATCTCATGTCAAGTACCCCGATGCAACTGCCCAGCCTCCTGAGCATTGTCGCCACGTCGTTCCCAGTTCCCAGTCAAGTTTTCTACCTCATCACCAATGTTTTGACTCAGTATGCCTGTATTCGCGGAGTCAACCTACTGGCAGCGGTCTCCACCGCCCTAACTGTCACCATCGTCCTCAACATCCGGAAGCTTGTGAGTCTCCTCCTGAGCATCTGGCTCTTCGGCAACACGCTTGCCCCGGGCACCCTGGTTGGTGCCATCATCGTTTTTAGTTCTGGCGGCCTATACTCTGTGGGCTCACGAAAGAAGCCGGAGGTGGAAAAGGCGCCCCAGGAGCGGCCAGAGAAGGCGAGTTGAGTAACTTGCCAGTGTATTTATATATATGCATTGCGAATCACCATTAGGGTGTAGATGTGGTGTTTTTGGCTCAATAGATGTATGTTAGAGGGAGGGAGAGGACTAGAGACGCGATGGGGAAGGGGGATAGATAGAGTATCTATGGCATTATGATACCCATTAGATTGGAACAAAAGATACCATAACATGCATATATCGTTGTCCTAACAGCCAGTACAACAAGACTATGTGAGTTTGGGGCCGGGCTTAAGATAACAATCCTAGGCCTGGTTTTAAAGAATACCCCGGAGGCTGAAGATCACACATTCCCCCAACCTCGCACTCTTCGGTTTGGGGACGGGCACTTTCAAGGCCCCCAACGCCGTTCAAATTCAGCTGCAGTATGCGGGGCTAGAGATTTGTGATCCTTCTGATACGAAGGTCGAAGTATGGACAATGCCATTCGAGCGCTTATCGGGATCGTCCCCGACATCTAACCCGAACGCCAGCAGGCTTGATCAGGACATTGGGCAACATGGTAGGTAGGGTAATTCCATCTTGGCGCATGAGGCACGATGCGTTGGTGTTACTAAAGCACTTATTTTGGAGGTATATGAGGGGGGCGTTGAGCAGTCGATAACATGTTTGTTCATCAACCTTCTCTTCACTTCCAGTCTAGAACCCTCTGACCTGACCCAGTATGTCTCATCCACAAACCACTTTTCGTCAGACAACCTTCAAGGGGAACTCAGTCCTCTCAAGGAGACGAAAGACTGTTTCTCGAACCACGGTCCACGCCCAGCTGGAGCAGCTGCGGTCAACTGGTCGATATGATTGCTTCAAGCTCGAGTGGCATCCTATCTACGCAGACAAGTCCATGTGGCCGGTGCCTTTTCATCTATTCTGGGATAGCGATATTGCCAAATGGATCGAAGGGGCTTGCTATTTTCTCGTTGAAGACTATGACGCTGAGATAGACAAGACAATCCGTGAGCTTGTGGAGATGATCAGGGGAGCTCAGCAGGAAGACGGTTACTTGAACGTTCATTATACTGTAGTCGAGCCTGACAAACGATGGTCCAATCTCAGAGATATGCATGAGATGTGAGTGGTTGAGCAACATCTCCCTTCATGCTTACTCCTTACTGATGGTAATAGGTACAACGCTGGCCACCTCATCGAGGCCGCTGTCGCCCACCAAGGTTACTATCACGACAACCTACTCATCGAGCCAATTGAGAAGTATGTAGCCCACATTCGAAGGCGATTTGGTCCTGGTGAGGGCCAGTTAAGGGGGTACCCCGGCCACCCTGAAATTGAACTTGCTCTGTTTCGCCTCTACAAAGCAACTGGGAGTACCGACGCCTTTGAGTTGGCACAGTACTTTCTGACAGAGCGGGGAAATCCAACAGGACAGGATGGCAAGCATTACTATGATTGGGAAATGGAGAAGAGGGGAGAGATCTCATGGCAGCGGCCCGATGCTTACCCTGAGCATGGTACCCTTTGGTACTGCCAGGCGGATTCTCCAATTGTCGAGCAAAAGACCATTGAGGGACATGCTGTCCGGGCTAACTACCTGCTTACTGCTGTTGCCGACATGCTTTACCTCTCGAAAGAGGACGGCCGGCCCATCCCCAATGCAGAAGGTTGGTCTGAAGCCCTGCACAGGCTCTGGGACAACATGGTCGACAAGAAGATGTACCTGACAGGGGGCGTCGGCGCCATCAAGCAGTGGGAAGGCTTCGGCATCGACTATTTCCTCCCTCAAGGAACAGATGAGGGCGGCTGCTATAACGAGACCTGCGTTTCCATCGCCGTCATGATGCTTGCCGAGCGAATCTTGCATCTTGACCTCGACGCCCACTATGCCGACATCATGGAGCTGTGCCTGTACAACACCGTCATGACTGCGATGAGCCTTGATGGAAAGGCCTTTACGTACGTCAATCAGCTGGGTAGTACCGAAGCCGACAAGAGCGTGCGTGAAGAGTGGTTTTGGTGTGCGTGCTGCCCTCCTAACCTAACCAGACTCTTTGGTAGTCTGGGTGGTTATCTATGGGATTATGGTCACGAAGAGAGCAACATCTTCATCAACGTGCACTTGTACACAGGTGCTGAGCTTACCTTCGATGCCAATGGGTTGCCTGTGACCCTCCAGCAGAAGTCTAATTGGCCATGGGAGGGCAAGGTAGACTTTCAACTCTCTGCTCCATCTTCGCTGCGAGTCATCATCCGACTGCGCCTTCCAGCATGGTCAAAGGGGGCGTACGTTTTGGCCCCATTTCCGCAGCCAGGTACAGTGAAGGTCGAAAAGGGGTACATCTGCCTATATCCGGCCTATGTTTCTGAGAACCCTTCATTCTCTCTTGAGGTCCTTGACTTTGAGCCTCGATACCTCTCTCCTCACCCATATACGAACCAGCGAACTCTGACACTCGCTCGTGGACCAATTGTATACTGTGTCGAAGATGCCGACAATCCATGGGAGACAAACCACTTCAAGGATGTCTTTCTCCGAACAGACTCAAAAGTGACTGAGAAGCTGGTGACCGATGAAGAGACTGGAGAAGAATACGTGTCTTTGAAGAGCAAATGCTGGAAGCAATCTATTTCCACTCATGCTTCCCTCAAAGCTGATGGAGACTCTGCCGCACCACGGGACCTGATATTTGTTCCTTACTATTTCAGGGCCAATAGAGGAGGGAAGGGACAGATGAGGGTTGGGTTGATGAATGGGGGTATCGAGTCAGGTGTCATCTTCCCTGAGAGACTGTAGCAACATGTGTAGAGTGGCTCGATAACCGAGCATTGAGGCTTGGAATTGAACAAAAATGTGCCTGGAATACATATGGAACTCTTGACAATGTATTTGTGAAGTTGGTGACCCCTAGGTACTCATCTCTTCATGACTCCAACGTATCTGTCCTTGATAAGCTTGGTTTGTCGTCCACTGAAGGGGAACCCCTCGGCATCCTATCGTCGAGGGCAAGTCTGCCCTTTCCGCATATGAAATGAATAAAAGACGGCATTTGTGGTTGGAACGTGATGGGTATAAGATTAGAGTGGCGGCCAAAGGTCGACCACCTTGGCACTCCTCAAGACGATATTCTGAGCAGAGGTCAGATGCCTATGGCTACGTTCCCCTTAAACAACGTTTCATCTAAGTGATTGAGTACGTATTAAGAAACTTGGGTCTTCCCCTGAATCTCGTGATCACCTTTGACTCAACTTAGTAGCCCTGTCTCGCTTCGAGTCAGAGCATAGTTCGCATGAGAGATCTGGTTACCCAGGCTTTGGGCCCTGCCTTATTCCGGGTCAGGTTCCCCGGAGTACCCCCACGGCAACTAGCAGCCGTATTCCGAATCAGTCGAGAGACATAGAGGCTGTGTGATGATGTAGTCTCCCGTCCGGGATGTCCTGGTCCCCGGATGAGACCCCGTATAACCGAACTGTCGATCACGGCAGCACTAATAACGTTGTTCTTGGAAGACCAGAAGGATTTCTGACAACGTGTCGCATGCCCTAGGGAGGGCGTGGGACCATGTGATCGTTTAAACGCTCGAGCCCGGCATATTGAGGGTTCGTGTGTAACGCGTGACATACCCGGGAGCCCTGTCGTTGCAGGCGAGTTTGGGCCTCATTTTGGAAGAAGCGGAAGAGTCACACTACCTCCTGACCTATGTGGTAACCATTGTCCAGTCGGAGTAAAAGCCCTATTCTGTACTGTAGCTACCGAGAGTGAGGCTTTCGTTGGGTGCCTCGGAAGTTAAATGTTGTGATTGCAGACGAGATGTTGCCCTGGTAAGCAGTGTTCAACCAACTCGTTCACTTTGATGTGGATTCAGAAATGCCAATCCATAAACGAACAAGATTAAGGACTAGTGTGAGAACTAAAGACGAAATATTTCAAATAAAATATCTCAAGATAAGACCTCCAACCGTTGAGCGCCATGTCCTTGGGCTACAAAGAACAATGGAGTTTTAAGTCTCTCCAGTACCGAAGCACATGCCTCAAAAGGCCTAGCGCACTGGAGCTGCCAGCCCCACCCGCGGTGGGCATTGCACCGACGCCCTCAGACCCTGTCCCTCATCCACATCCCGCCTTGTTCTGGGTGTGTCACCGTCATACCTTGTCTTACTACCTTACTTCTTACTTGCACGCCTCCTCAAAGACCTCCTCTTTCGTGCCGTCTCTCCTCTGTCAATCAAACCCGGACTGTTCGAGGACTATTTATTCTCTTTCGCGAGACAATTCGTGCCTTAGAACTACTCCATTCTATATCAATAAGCTTGGATTTGATCAGTGTACAAGATCATTATGCCTGGTACGTAGCTGCTCTGCCCCTCTTCAACATTGCACTCGACGATTTGGTCTCCCTTCGACTCAAACTCGCAGCAATTGACAGCTGTTCTGACCAAATAACTGCTCCAGGCGGCGCCATTTTCGAAGAGAGCGAATCCGCAGCTCTCGACGTACGAACTCGCGAGTCGGATGAAGAAGGCGAAGAGGCCCGGGACTCTGGAGCGACTGGCCATGGCGCCTCCGACGAGCAAGCAGCGTCCGACGCTGGTTCGCACCCTGACCACAGTGACGATGATCTCGAAGACGGAATGTTGTTGAGGGACCTTCCGAAGAGAACAACCTTCTACGATCCCGTCGCTGAACGTCAAATGAGCCAGACAGACGCGAAGTTCTTTTATCACCGAAACAAGGCCGATCTACGAAGTGGCGGTGGTGCTGGCAACCAGTCGATACCTCAGAGTCCCTTTCTGACCTCGAGCTCTCGTCCTGCGACTGAGTACGGCGCCGATTCTATGGTTCTAGACGCCAATGGCCGTCGTGTTGATTCCTTTGCGCCTGGGTTGGAGATGCCAGGCCCCGCTATCGACCCTGCAGCGATCACACAGTCACCCACCAGGATTGAGCCCCATCCTGCGCCTTATCCTCCTAGCCACCCTTCAGTGCCTCCTACTCGTGCTGGAACTATCGCGCAGGAGCCACGAGTAGGCGACGGCCCTGCTGCTGGGTTGCCTGCTGGAGGTCTCTTCGACACTGAACCCCATATTACTGCTGAGCTCAGTGCCATTTCCAAGAACATCCAAAGGATTTTGGATCTTCGACGCAAATACATTGCGCTTTCGCTGCAAGGGCCGGAAGACAACCCAAAAGATGACCCTGAATGGGACATTTATCCTCCCCCACCTGAGCCTGCATGGCAGCAACGTTCGCAGCATCAAGCTGCTGCTGCAGAGCACATTCCTGGTCAAGAGAATGCAGGATTGAATGGCAACAAAGAGACACCCGGTGGTCAGTCACGATCAGAGACTAGGGAGAGCAAGCGACCAGTGCGAAAGCGCAGGCCGGGCGAAGACATCGGCGAGGACTTTGATATTGCCGATTTGCTACCCCTTCCCAGCAACGACGGGCGCACATACAAGCTGGATGATAGTGGAGTCTACCAGGTGTTTGAGCGCGATGCTGAGGAGCCTTCGATCCGAGTTCCCACAATCAGGGAGTTCTATATGGACCTGGACGACATCTTGGACGTCTCCTCCGATGGACCCAGCAAGAGTTTCGCATTCAGACGTCTCCAGTATCTTGAAGGCAAGTTCAACCTCTATGTCCTTCTCAACGAGTACCAAGAAACGGCGGACAGCAAGAAGGTGCCCCATCGAGATTTTTACAATGTTCGAAAGGTTGATACTCACGTTCACCACTCGGCATGCATGAATCAGAAGCATCTGCTGCGCTTCATCAAGAGTAAGATGAAGAAGTTCCCCAACGAGGTGGTACTGTTCCGTGACGGAAAGCACCTCACCCTGGCCGAGGTCTTTTCCAGTATCAAATTGACCGCCTATGACCTCAGCATTGACACTCTTGATATGCACGTAAGTTTAGCGTTCTCTGAATCTAGCTGTTTCGAGATACGCGGCTGACTTTCACAGGCTCATACCGATTCGTTCCATCGATTTGACAAGTTCAACCTCAAGTATAACCCGATCGGCGAGTCTCGTCTCCGTACCATCTTTCTCAAGACGGACAACTTCATTCACGGCCGATACTTGGCTGAGATCACCAAGGAGGTCATTTCTGACCTCGAGTCGAGCAAGTACCAGATGGTTGAGTGGCGAATCTCAATCTATGGCAAGTCTATTGACGAGTGGGACAAGCTCGCTGCTTGGGTAGTTGACAACAAGCTCTTCTCGCACAACGTTCGCTGGTTAATCCAGATCCCCCGTCTCTACGACGTCTACAAAGCTAGTGGCTTGATGGAGACGTTTGAGCAGGTGGTTAAGAACGTTTTCCAGCCCCTTTTCGAGGTTACCAAGGACCCTTCAAGCCACCCAAAGCTACACATCTTCCTCCAACGGGTGATTGGCTTCGATAGCGTCGATGACGAGAGCAAGGTTGAGCGACGTCTCTTCAAAAAGTTCCCTGTGCCAAAGGTCTGGGACACTAAGCAGAACCCGCCCTACAGCTACTGGGTCTACTACCTCTACTCTAACCTGGTATCTCTGAACTACTGGCGCAAGAAGCGTGGCTTTAATACCCTTGTCCTACGACCACACTGTGGAGAGGCTGGCGACAGTGAGCATCTGGCTGTTGCCGCCCTTTGCTGTCACAGCATCAGCCATGGATTGCTCCTTCGTAAGGTGCCTCTTTTACAGTACATATTTTACCTGGAACAGATTGGCATCGCCATGTCGCCGCTCAGTAACAATGCTTTGTTCTTGGCATATGAGCGGAACCCTTTCCACCAGTACTTCAAGCGAGGCTTGAACGTGTCACTTTCTACGGATGATCCCCTGCAGTTTGCATTCACAAAGGAGCCTCTCATTGAGGAATATGCAGTGGCTGCCCAGATCTACAAGCTGAGTCCCGTCGACATGTGTGAACTGGCGAAGAACTCGGTGAAGCAGAGTGGCTACGAGTTGTCTGTCAAGGAGCAGTGGCTGGGACCAGGCTGTGACAAGCCGGGTCGAGAAGGAAACACCATGGTCAAGACGAACGTTCCTGACCGGCGTGAAGAGTTCCGACACTTCACACTGATGCAGGAGAGGGACGTGTAAGTTACAAATTTGGTCTCTGGATGCTCTTCCTGGTGCTAACCCTTTACCTCATAGGCTAGCAAAATATGTCCACTACAATGCTAACAGCGAGCTCTCGGCCCAACCCGGTGGCACTGATAGTAAGATGTCAGAGTCAGCGGTGTACATGGCCGGGCAGTCCACCGACGTGGGTCTTCCCTCTGGCGATGAGCCCTCGAATGTGGAAGCGTCCCCGTCAGCTAGCTATCATGCCGCAGCCGTAGGGTCACCTACTGGATTATCGACTGGTCGAGACCAGACCTGGACTAGTGATGCCATGGCAGATCTTCACCTGTCGGGAAGCGATCCGAGGATGTTCCCAGGAATCTTCACACGAGGACATCGCACTGGTAGCCTCCGCAACTTGAGCCAAGCTGCTGAAGGCCGGACGACATCTGACGATGTTTTTGGGCCCGATACATCCTGATTGGACAACACTAGGCAGCGAAATGCCTTGCGAAAGGCCCACTGGATAGGTTCGTAGAGTTATGTGAGTTTGGTATAGGTTGGGATGGCCCGGTGGGGCTATATAGACAGTAGCGTTTTCAAGACTCTGATCAAATAGGTACGGTTGGGAACTGTAGAATTGGTCTTTTATTGGTTAATCGGCCCCCCAGGCATGGCTTTCGAAACCGATGGTCTTTTAGCTCTTATAGATGCATAGGTGAAGTATGTGCGTAGAAGATAAGTACACCACATGTGGGTTTGTGCTCTAGACATATGGTACCTCAGCGAGATGGGCTTTCGAGGTTCTGGGCTGTGCCAGAGAGTGGCTCCGGGATTTTGGACAACGGTGTATGAAGTCTGAAAAACATCGCCCAACGTGATTGACCCAGTGGTGACTTCTGCTTGAAATATATTGAATGGTGGTGCGAATGCCTTGTTGCTTGCTGCAAGTTAGGTAGTGGGGAACTTGGAATACCCGCAAACACATGCATACGCAGTTGTGTAAGATTGTCATATCCTTGCTCATCCGCGACAGCCGGATAAACTCATCTGAACAACTTGGTACTCCGTATGTCCGTTCTCTTGACCACGGTACTTGTTTCGGTTGCCTTGTGTGTCGTTATGGGCCTAGAACGCAGCGCAGGTGAGCAAGTAGGCCGGTGAGACGGCGGCGATGTTGACGAAAGCATGTGGCTGAGGCAAGCCGTGTACAAATCCATCTTCTGGAAAGGGCCTATGGAAGGAGCTTACGTTGGACCTGCTTGCGGGGGATCCAGTGGAGTTCCAGGGTTCGACCTTGGATGAAAGCCCAACCACCTCGTCACCGAAGCAATGGAGAAAATGCTGCCAAAGTAAGGGGGTGACGCAAAATCCGCACCGTGATAGCAGCGAATTAGGTATATCACTGCGTGCGCAAGCGGCGCCAATTCGACACCAACTTAACTACGCCGGCGCTATGCCTAAAAAGGTAGGCACCTACCTAACGACTTGTCCAGGAGGCTCAGGTTCTCGAACTTGGTAGGGGGAAGGTGCGTCGGGTCGGTCCATACCTAGCCGTTGCTCACTCCTCAGACAAACGACGCACTGCGTCACTTCGCATCGCATCGCATCGCATCGTTCCGCTTCTACTCGTCTCCCCTCTCCTCTTCGCCCTGCTCGTTAGCAAATTCCCAGCGGATTCCTTCTCGAGGCACATCCGCCCGCGGTGCAGCTTACTGAGCCGACTCACGACTCTCCGACATGGGGTTTCTGGGGGTGTACCGGGCCGTCTACGACTACGCGCCTCAGGCTGAGGGCGAGCTCGCAATCAACGACGGCGATCTGCTCTACGTCCTCGACAAGAATGGCGACGATGGCTGGTGGAGGGCAAAGAAGAAGGCCGGCGCCGACGATGAGGACGAGCCGACAGGCCTCGTACCTAACAACTATGTTGAACAGGTGAGTTGGCCTTGACTGGGCCTCATATTCATGTGCCAACACGGTTATACTGACCTCCTTTCCTTCCTTCTCCAAAGGCCAAGCCTTTAGAGCACGCCCGCGCCCTTTACGATTATACGCGTCAGACCGACGAGGAGCTCTCATTTCCCGAAGACGCTCAGCTCGAGGTGTACGATACGTCAGACCCTGACTGGATCCTCACCGGCCTCGACGGCGAATATGGCTTCGTTCCGTCTAATTACATCGAGCTCGGTGGCTCTGAAGAACCTCAAGCACCGTCGTTGCCTCCCGCCCCCCCAGCTCTACCTTCGAGGCCGCAACCTGCTCCAGCCCCCGAGCCCGAGCCCGAGACGGCATCTCCGGACCTACCGAGCAGCGCTGCACCCGCTCTGGCGGGTCCTGCTGCTGCTCTCGCGGGTGTTATGCATACCCGTGCAGCCTCTCAACAGTCTGCAGCCCCTGCGAAACCTCCTCGTGCCTCCGTTACGTTCAGCGAACCCCCAGAATCCGACGACGAGCCTGTCCGATCCCCTGCGCTCCCTGCTCGACCGCGCGCGCCTGCTTCGCCTTCTCCGACATACGACCATCCGGCTTCTCCAGTTAATATGCACTTCCACCAAGATCCTAATCGACGTCAGGATGTCGAGCGTACCCCTGGCGGTTTCCACTTGTACAATATCAATGAGATGATCTCAATTATGGGCAAGAAAAAGAAGATGCCTACCACTCTGGGAATCAACCTCCTGACAGGTGTGATTTTGGTCGCTCCCGAGCATGCTTCAGATGGACCTTCACAGGAGTGGACTGCGGACCGGATGACGCATTATTCACGGGAGGGGAAGCATGTCTTCATGGAGCTCGTCCGCCCAAGCAAGAGTGTTGATTTCCACGCAGGAGCCAAGGACACTGCCGAGGAGATTGTCAGTGCATTGGGTGAGTTGGCCGGAGCTGTACGTGCTGAAGGACTCCGAGAGGTGATCATGGCGGGCACGCAGGGCAGCAGTGGTGGTGGTCAGAAGAAGGGTCAGGTTCTTTATGACTTCATGGCCCAAGGAGACGACGAGGTAACTGTCGCCGTAGGTGATGAGGTTATTGTCTTGGACAACACCAAGAGCGAAGAGTGGTGGCAAGTTCGCCGCCTGAAGAATGGCAAGGAAGGCGTCGTCCCAAGCAGTTACATCGAGATTACCGGCACTATCTCGTCATCGTCCGCCGGTATCAACTCTGCCAAGTCGCTTGTCGAGCAAAATCGCCTCGAAGAAATTCGATTGACTAAGGAGGCCATCAAGGCGGGCAAAGAACCTCAGCAGGTAGGACCGGGAATGCCTCTTCCCAAACGAGGTAGTAGCCTCATGGCGAGAGAGAATGGTAGTAATTCGGGACAACAGCGGAGCCGTCGAGAAAATGGACGAAGCGATGGCAGCAGCCAGCCACGGTCCAAGCCTAGTAAGTGTCCTCTCTGCCACCCTTTTGCGTGTGTTACCCCTTATTTGCGCTGTTTGGATACCATCAAATGCTGACTCTAGACCTCCCAGAGCCGGACTCGTCCAAGGTGCGCACCTGGACAGATCGATCCCGATCCTTCAGCGTTGAAGCCCAGTTCCTGGGTCTTAAGGATGGCAAGATCCACCTGCACAAGATGAACGGTGTCAAGATTGCTGTTCCCATCAGCAAGATGTCCCGTGAAGACCTTGAGTACGTTGAAAACTTGACAGGCATCTCTTTGGAAGATGATAAGCCACTGGCAGATGTCAAGCGAGCTAGGACCGCCGAGAAGAAGTCCTCCGAGTCTAGTACCCCTGCCGGCGTGACCATTGAGAAGAACAAGTCCGACTACGACTGGTTCCAGTTTTTCTTGTCTTGCGAGGTTGCGGTAGGATTGTGCGAGCGCTACGCTCAAGCCTTCATCAAGGATTCAATGGACGAGAGCGTTTTGTCCGATGTCGATGCAAGTACCCTCCGAGCTCTTGGCCTCCGCGAAGGCGATATCATCAAGGTCATGCGCTACTTGGACTCCAAGTATGGCCGTACGCGTGGCGGGAAGAGAGGCGTTAGCTTTGCGGAGGGAGATGGCGAAGGTGCTTCTGGAGGTTTGTTCTCTGGACCTGGTGGTGCACTACGAAACAACACTCGCAAGGGTCGACCTGCGCCGGCGGTTCAGACAAGCGATGTCGTGGATGCTAGCGCTTTTTCCAAGTCAGACGGCTCCAAGGCTGCGGATGAGGATGCGAAGTCGCCAGTACAGACTAGCCCGCCGAACAAGAGCCCCGAGCCTCGCCAGGCTGCTTCTTCAGGATTTGACGATGATGCTTGGGACGTCAAGCCCAGCAAGCAGCAGCCACCACCGCAATCACAGCCGCAACCCGCAGCCGAACCCGCCCCGAAGCCTGCCCCGGAACCATCGCCAGCCTCTCCTCCACCCCAGGTTTTGACGGGATCCATGAAGGAGTTGTCGCTCTTGTCAGCACCGCTTGAGCCTACAAAGACTGAGCCCACCCCTCCAGCCCCCAAGGTCGAAGTTGCTCCTGAGCAAATAGCAGCGTCGGTGCCTACGGCGCAACCCCTCGGCGGCGCTACCCCGTCCTTCTTCACGTCAGTCGCGCAAGCACGACAACGTCCTACTCCACCACAGGCATCAGTAAACCAGGCATCCCTTGTGCCTCCACCACCTCAAAGGCCTCTGTCGGCTCCGCAAACAGCCCAGCCCAGCGGATTTGCTCCCCCGCCGATGGTACCCCAGATGACGGGCGCGTTGCAGGGGCAGGTGGCACTCCCTGGCCAGAGCCTGAACGAGATAACCCAAGCTCGTCTGCAGCAGCAATACACTGCTCAGATGCAGCCTACCATGACCGGATTCCCTGGACCACAGGGCCCTCAGCCCATGATGTCCTTCCCTACCGGTGCCGGCCAATTCATGCAGCCAATGATGACCGGAATGCAGGCACCAAACCAATTCCAACAGATGCAGCCTCAGCCCACAGGCTTCCAGCCATCATTTGCGGCCACACAGTCTATGTATGGAGCCCCTCCTGGAGGCATCAACAACTACCTGCCACCGGCCCTCGAGCCCCAGCGAACGGGTATGCCTGGACTGCCACCCCAGGTTACTGGTATGGGCGGTATGAACAACACGATGAACAACACGATGAGCCCCCAGCCTCTGGTGCCGCAGCAGACCGGTCCACCACCCCCAGTCCGCTTTGGTGTAACAAACGAGCCCAAGAAGCTTGCTCCTCAGGCAACCGGACGAAGAGCAAACTTGGCGCAAGCGAGTAAGTTAAACCCTTGGCTGGTCCTAATCACTGCTAACATCGCCTGCAGCCCCCCAGAACCCATTCGGATTCTGATCTCGTGCAAGCCTATACATAGCATCTAGTTGTTGGCGGCGCGTTATTGGTCATGGTTGGCGATTGCTTTGGACATGTTTCTTCACATCTTGTATGCATATCTAGTCTTTGTCAGGCAACCCTACTAGAAGTTGTGTGTATGACGATGGTAATACTAAATCAATGACCGGCTCAGAGCAGCCTGATTCGGTCTCTTCTAATTATACTAATCTATGTGTCTAAACAATGCTGTGAGCGAATGTAAAGGCGCGAGTCTGCTAGCAAGGCGACTGGCGCCCCACGAAAGATTCGGCGCATGATCGTGTCGAGGACGACCAGATGCACCTCCCTCCACCCCTTGACTTTCACGACGCAATTCATAGTAGACAGGGATAGAAAACAGAACCTGGCTCTAGAACTGAACATACATATCCTTGAAGAAAGGATAATACAGCTCATGGCATCTCACCAAGTGCCGACGATGGACGTAGATCAGTAAGCAACCCCGCAACTCGATTGACCGTGCCAAGCAATCAAAGCACCATGCCTCCAGGAATCTAAGCGACCAAGCAAAGAAAGTAACCAGAAATGCGCGCGATTGCAACAAGCCTAGGCGATCTATCAAGATTGGAATCACCGCGAAGGACAAACTCAAGCCTTGCGACGTCGTCCACCAGAAAGTTTGGCCGCTCCCGTTCCCACAGCAGAAAGATCGATCTCGGCCTCGGTCACTGGGGTTTCGAGGGTTTTGTCCTGCGAGTCTGATGAGGGCTCGAAGCGCTTGCGAACAGCCCGGATCATCATGAAGAACCAGTAGAAATTGAGACTGTTGAGCGTGATGTTACTGGCGAGGTATGCCGCACCCAGCCACACAGGCACCGTTGAGTCCTCGTGTGCGAATGCCATTACTGGTGTTGTGAGCGCCTCAACGTTGGGGTGCGTGTTAATGCCGGCCCACACGTCTTTGAAGACACTGACGGACATATACGTTCCGTACACAAGTCGGCATGTGAAAAAGGTGAAAAGGAGCATGAGGCCGTTGTAGAGCTGAGCTCGTGTGCCCGTCATGCCCACCTTGTCCATGAACCAGTGAACGTTGAGGAAGGGGGTTGACAGTTCCCAGAGGATGAACACGCAGGCATAGTAGTTAAGGAATGGGCGCTGAAGTGAATTCTGGTTAGCAAAAAGGCAAAGAGCACAGAAAGTTTTGAAAAACATACAAAGCCCAGAGAGTACACCAGTAGGGCAGCGATAGCATGCGCCAGCGTTCCCAGGCCAAAAACATCGAGGTTAAGGCTGGTTACAATCAAGTCCCAAAGGAAGTAGCCGGCTGCAAGGGCCTGGATGAACCCAGCGGCACCAGTATAACCCCAAATTCGCTCCTCCCAAGTCATGTTCTTGATCTCATTATCGGTGAACATGACCCAAATAGCAAGGCCGTTAATGAGGCAGCTCTGCACCATGGACACAACGTGGGCATCCCAGTTCAGTCGTCGCTTTCGCGGGAGCTTGGAGTAGTGCTCCGGGGCCAGCAAATTCGATATCCATGGCGAAATTGGCCAGAAGACGACCGAGTATAGAAGAGCGGCAGCCAGAACTTCGTGAATATGGAGCGGTAGCGAGGGGAGATCGAACAAGTCAGCCCAGGGCTGTGCTTTCTCGGCGAGCCAAGGTACGGGCGGGAGGAAGAATGGGTCTTTCATGGTGAGGTCTGGTCGCAATCGGGTTCGCAGAAGCGGTCGCGGTCAGAGTTGCAAGATGTAAGTCGAGGGAAGAGGGAAAGCCTGGGATAAAGAGAGAAAAAGGCAGACAATGCGACGAGGCAATGCGCCTCAGGGAACAAAACGGGCAGCCTGCCTGTATAAAAAGATCAAGGTCACGTCTGTTGGGGAACCTCACGTGGGAAAGGCACGGGTACAGGTGCGTGCCGCAGGCCATCACGGAGCTTATTTCAGTATTCGTACTTTTCTCCAACCATTCTGGGTATTAGCGGCCGTTCCTCTAGTCCTCAATAGGCTTGAACTACGCAATGCGTCAATGTTGGGGAAGCAGCTCCAGCCTTAGGTAATCAGGGGACCTACCTGATGTGGCAGTGTATCAACCGTCTTCCCTGCCACCCCACCAGCTCCTGTCTGCCAGCTGCCAGCTGCCACCTCACTCGTTAAGAGCACCAGATACAATCACGACGGACGCAACACACATTCGCTACGCTAGTTCATCGACTCCCCGCGGCTAAACGGACCTGGCACGCATATATCGGACAGATCGACTCCACGTGGCCGCGTCGTTCGGCTTCCTGATCCGCCCACTATTGCAGGCCACCCGAGCTCGTCTCAGTTCAACAATCATACCCCCTTGGTCATCATGGCTGAGGCGCTGCGAGACTTGCTCGCTCCCGACCAGCAGGCCGACCCCGGCGCATTGGAGTATCTGACGTACCTTGCAGAACAGCAGTCCGACTTCTTGCAAACCTCCGAGCCTCAAGTCCTTTCCCAGACGTCCCACTCACTCCTCCTGGCCGTCCAGGCACTTTCGAAGCGGTCACACAAGCCCGTCGTCGAGTCGGCAGCCAGCCATGCCACGTTACGGCAGTCGCTGCCAGCTCTGGCCCAGCGAGCCTCTGATCTTGTCCAAGCAGTACCTCGCCTCGATACGCAGGCAGAGCACTTCTCGTCAGCTTTCGGCAAGGCGAGCGAGAGCAAGTTGCTGGCTCGAAGAAAACAGGCCCTGCTACTCCTTCGAAACTCGGAGCGCCTCGTCGATGTGATGGAGATGCCCCTGCTTCTTTCATCTGCCGTCTCGGCCACCCCCGTCAACCATTCGTCCACTCTCGAGCTCTATGCCCACGTCCGTCGCCTGGCATCCCTCTACCCAGATTCACCCCTCGTCACATCAGTCCTGGAGGAGGCGGACGCTGCTATTCGACAGATGGCAGCTGATCTCGTTGGCACGCTGAAGGCACCCAATTTGAAGCTGGCTGCCGCTGTTAGGACGATTGGTTGGTTGAAGCGCATCGTCCCAGACCTGGTTACGGACACACCGACCGAGGATGCTCTCCCTGCCGTTTTCTTGGTCTGTCGCTTGGCCACACTTTTGACGACACTGGAAGCGTTAGAACCCCTCAGAGATCTTGCCGACGAGGAACGCCTTCGACAGGACAAGTCGGCTAGTTCATGGTCTGGTGGGCAACAAACTGAGCGCTATCTCAAGCGGTTCATTGAGATTTTCCGTGAGCATAGCTTCAGCATAGTCTCTGTCTTTAAGAGCATAAGCTCGAGCTTTGCTTCACCAACTGAGCACATTGACGATCCCTTGCGATTGTTGCCGTCGCCAATGGCCACATTTCCCCTACACCTCGTTGAGATGCTCGTTGAGACTCTGCGCATTTATCTGCCCACAGTCAAAGACCAGACATCAAGGGAGAGCATTTTGACGCAGGTCCTCTACTGCGCGGGTAGTCTCGGCAGACTGGGGGCTGATTTCGGAATGCTTCTCGCCTCCATTGGCGTCGATGAGTGGGTTGAGTTGGTCAAGCGACATCGCCTCCTTGCTGGGCGCCTTGAATCAGTCATAGGCGACTATCGAGGCAGTCATGCTAGCGTCGCGAGTTGAGATGGTCTTTGCCCAATGCAACAAAGTGGGGCAATGTCACGAAACGGGGTCTGACACTTTTGGTCCGATTTCATCCCGTCACGTCACTCAATCAGTTCCCCGACATGTGGCCGGAGTCTGCGACTAGCCATGGGCCTCACAATTGTCAGCTCCCCAGCGCAGCACAATGATGCCGTTGCATCCCCACCAATGACTGAGCAACGGGCCTCACGGCCAGCAAACTCAGGTATGCCTTCCAACGAGGCCCAATGGCGACCGGTACACCCGGCGCTCATCGGCCTCGATTTGTCTGGTCGTTTTTTTCCCTGACATTACCATCCAGCTCACCATTTTGTCTCCGGCCTCGGCTCCGGAGTTGCCTCTGCGGTCATTCTTCAGCCTCTTGACCTACTCAAGACCCGGGTTCAGCAGTCTGGAGGCTCATCACTCACCGCCACACTACGTGATATAAGGCAGTCTTCAAGCCTAGTGCAGTCTCTCTGGAGAGGCACTGTTCCGTCTGCCCTGCGAACGGGCTTTGGTTCAGCCCTTTACTTCACTTCACTCAATGCTATTCGCCAGCACGCTCAGCGGACGGGCATCCTGGGACGTCGGCTCCAGACTCAGGGTGGCTCCTCCGTCCTGCCCTCACTCACAAACTCTGGCAACCTCGTATCAGGCGCCATTGCGAGGACATTTGCTGGATTTGTATTGATGCCTTTGACCGTCATCAAGGTTCGGTTCGAATCCAGCCTCTACTCGTATCCGTCCCTCGCATCTGCAGCCCTCGATATCCGGCGGACGGATGGGTGGCGTGGTTTCTTTGCAGGATTTGGCGCCACAGCACTCCGAGATGCACCTTACGCTGGAATGTATGTGCTTTTTTACGAGATGCTGAAGACGCAACTTGGCTCTCTGGCAGCAAAACCGGGAGCTTCCGATGACGGTCCGACCAAGATGCAGGCCACTCTTGCTAGTTCTGTCAACTTCACCTCAGCTATGCTCGCCGGCGGAGCATGCTCGGTTGTCTCCAATCCCTTCGATGCAGTTAAGACACGAATCCAGCTGCAGCCACATGAGTATAAGAACATTTGGCATGCTTGGTATAGAATGGTGTCGCAAGAAGGCGTTCGTTCACTTTGGGATGGTCTTGCACTGCGTATGAGCCGAAAGGCGATGAGTTCGGCGTTGGCGTGGACTGTCTATGAGGAATTGATTCGCCGGGCCAGGTGAATTGGTATTTGTACAACAACTGTAACAACAACTCATCTCAGATATAAAATAGATGGCTAGCGCTGAGGAACTGCATGTACCAAAAAAAAAGACAAGCTTCACAACTCATATCCAATCCGATCTTTCAGGTTTAAGCTGGGCGTGCCCCAGCCAAATACATCAAGAGCGACGGCGACTTGCTTCTACGACGCTCCTTTTTGTCAGTCTTTTTCCGCACCCATTCAAACTCCGGGTCATCTCTGCCATGCTTCTTCTCCTCGATCATCAGCATCTTGCCGCGTTTCTGGCGGATATACTTGGTGTGCTTCCACAGCTGATCTTGTTCCCACTCGGGCACCCAGCGCTTGATCAAGACATACTCGGGATCCTTGAGACAATGTTAGTTCGAGGTCTGGTATAAACTGGGAGGGGTAAGGGACCAGGGATACGTACGTCATCGAGATCAAAGTCAACCCCGTAGGCTCGCAATGATTCGATCGACAGATGTCGACGAGCCATGCGGGTGTAGGTCGGTCGGGGACCTGGGGCGACGGCCATAGGGGGGGCCTGGTTGGTGTGGGCGACGTGGTTGGGGTGGACGATGGGACCGACGAGTCCCCCATGAGGGGCAGGAGCGCCAATCTGACCCATGTTGGGAACCATCCCATGATGTGGTAGGGGACGATAGGGTGGCTGGGGCGAAGGCTCCCTCTTGATCTTTTCCTTCTTCATGATGGCGTCTATTGCCTCATCGTCGAGTCCAGACTTGACGAGGTCCTCCCGTAGTCGCTTCTGATACTCCTTCTCCTTGGCCTCCTTCTCAGCCTTTTCCTTGGCAATGCGTTCCTTCTCTTCTCGCTTGTACCTCTCGACGGCTTCGGCTGCCTCTCGTTCCCTTTGGTCTTTGCGTTTCTTCTCATCTGTGACGCGCTGTAGCTCCTTTCTCTTGTACTCTTCAATTGCGTCGTTGGCCTCCTTCTCGCGGCGGTCGCTCTCCGCCTTGGCTGCATCCTTTGCCCGGAGCCGCTTCAGATCAATCGCCTTCATGAGGCGTTCCTCCTCCGCTTTCCGAGCTTCCCGTTCCTTCATGGCGTCCAACTCGCGTCTGGACTGTTTCAACTCTTCCTCTTTGCGGAATTTCTCCACGATCCGACGTTCATCATCGTCGCGGGCATTGGCAAGTTGGACTTTCTCAAGCTGTTTGCGAGATTGCTCAGCCTCCCATTCCTCACGATAGCCCTTGACAAGTCTTTGCTCGTCCCTTTCTCGCTCGTTTGCAAGGCGCGTCTTTTCCAGCTCTTTGCGAGATCGTTCGGCCTCCCATGCCTCTCGGTGGCCCTTGACTAATTGCTGCTCATCTCTCTCTCGAGCGCTGGTAAGACGTATTTTCTCCAGTTCCTTGCGAGACTGTTCAGCCTCCCACTCCTCGCGGTAGCCTTTGACCATTCTCTGTTCATCCTTCTCGCGGGCATTGGCGAGGCGCATCTCCTCGAGCTCCTTGCGGGCTCGTTCTACCTCCCATTCCTTCTGCGCCACGTATGATGAGGAACCCGATCGAGACCGAGAGTGCGAGCGTCGCCGACGGGAAGATCGTCGCACAACCTGCTTTCGGCGATCGTCGTCATCGTCGTCAGATGAGAAGTCGTTGTAGATTCGGTTGTTGATAATGACGGGAGCTGGTAGTGGAGGGCTACTGGTGCGCCGGTCACGGGACCGGGAGCGCTCACGGGACTTGGATCGGGATATGACGGTGGTGAGACGCTCAGGTCCGAGGCGACTAGGCCCGGCAGGTGCATCGTAGTAGCTGTGAGGGCGCTGTCCACCCGAGACATAGCGGACACCACCTGGCGATGGGCCGCTTCGACGGACGTGAATGTCGTAGTCTTCGTCGTCGGAGTCGGTGTAACTGTAGCTGCTTCTACTCATTGTTCCAGGCAGCAACACCCAAGGTGAAGTGAAGTTGGTGAGAGGTTG